TGACTCGGTACGAACACGGCCGATGCGTGCGCAGTCTGCTCTCCGGTCACGCCGCGCGTTGTTTTCAGAACTCAAAATGAATGTAACGCGATAATGAATGTTTGGGGGAATGCTTTTTTTTTTAAATATATAGATAACGCGGACGCGAATTTGGATTATAGCGCAATTGAGTGAACGGATCTACGTCAGTTTAACACGTGTGAGGCTTTCGCGACCAATATTATTCATAATCAACGTTTTTGGGTTTAGATCGCGTTATTTATAAATGTGTCGTAACCCTCCACCACCCGACACGGCCAATCAGTAAGATCTACGTCGCGCGAGTCGGAACACGCGGTTGTGACGGCTGCCTCGGGATCGCCTCGTCGCGCTCGGCACCGGGATGCTGCTGGATGCTTCGAGATGCTACCCACGCGCCTCACTCTTTGTTCAACCCTGCGTATGTATCTCACTCGTTATCGCGGGCTGTGCTTTACCCCCCCCCCCCCACCGTATTATTGATTATAACGCGATGTTTCCAGCAACGCAACTCCAGCGTTACAGGCGAACGACAAGAAGAACAACGCTCCAGCGATGTCACTGCCCGGAATTCTCACTTGACGATGGACTTTAACGAACGACGACTGCCCAAGTCTGGGTCCGTCTCGTGACCGAAGGTTCACCGATGACGACCGGTGAGCCTTCCACGTGACAATGCCCCCCCCCCCCCCCCCCCGATTTGTATCCTACTGGGCGCCGAGCTTAAATGCCCCAGCAGCATCTTCAAGCGCCCGTGACACCCATCGCTTCTCGTCCAGGTCATTCTAACGCCCAGCTGTAGTTGACGTTTTTCGCATGGGGGGCACCCCTCCCACCGCGATGGCAGCTGTCTCTGCGCGGCACCAAGTCGACTGCAGAACCGAGCTGCAAGTGGCGCGCGAGTCGATGGCGGTGGCCTTCATCGCAAGACCCGCGGGGGGCCACTGCGAGGAGCCCTGGTGGCCTTTAGCGTGGCTCGTGGCGTGCGCGCCCCCCCCCCCACCCCGAACAATAAACACAAATTGTGAAAACACCCCCCCCCCCCATCGTCATCGTCGTCATCGTCGTGCTGATGTCGAACCCCCAACAATGTTTATTTAATGTGGCGGCCATCCTCACACCAATTGATGTCTTATCGGCGAAAGTGCCCCCCCATCCCCCCACCCCCCCCCTCTGGACTGGTCTATCGGTTACGGGGGCGACGTTGATATTGGTTAATGAAGCAATTTCCTCTCAGCGTTTAAACAATTTGCACACAGAGTTTACGAATCGATTTGCCTACGCGTGATCACATTACTCACGGTCCATTCCGAGATTTGCAAGCGAGAGAGTTACCCACGGTGATTCTTTTTAGGCGGACCCGGTGGGGGGGAGGGAGGGAGGCAAATGGCACGAACAGAGACGAGAGAGTCAGAGAATCGATTATCGAATCGAACCGCGACCACCCCCCTCCTCCCCCCCCCCCCCAAAAAAAAATAAACCTCGAATCGCCCTCCAGTGGCGTGAATCGTTTACGCGTCCCGACCACCCCGTCTCGCGTCGTGTCGAATGGCGCAAGGACGCAAAGAGAATACAATGCAGTCGAATATCATGTCTACTGTGCGTAGGCAAAGGCAGGCAGAGATGCACGACACGAAGCGGCTCAGGAAGACACTAGTCAGTACTGCTCGGCCTCACGGTGGGCATTCCACGTTACCATGGCCGGAGGCCGGTCTGTTCTAAAACACAGCTATTGCTGACTACCTGCAACGAATTTGTAAAAAAAGAAAGTTCAACATTCCTACGGCCATGATAGGTTCATACCTACTCAAACACGAACGCCACCACTGTGAACTGCCCTGCAGCAAGTGGTGACGATTCCACGTTACTATGATGGGGACCAGCACATTCATCAACGCGACCATAGCCTCGGTGGGCCCAGCCTCACCAGGCGATGCTCATTTGACTCACCCCGAGGTGTGATGATAAAGGTGATCAAGATGACGATGGTGATGATGATGACGATAATAATAATAACGATGGTGATGATGATGACGATGGTGGTGATGACGATGGTGATGATGATGACGATGGTGGTGATGACGATGGTGATCAAGATGACGATAGTGGTGATGATGACGATGGTGATCAAGATGACGATGGTGGTGATGATGACGATGGTGATGATGATGACGATGGTGGTGATGACGATGGTGATGATGATGATGGTGGTGATGATGACGATGATGATGATGACGATGGTGATGATGACGATGGTGGTGATGATGACGATGGTGGTGATGATGGTGATGATGTCGGTGGTTATGGTGGTCGTAACGGCGACGACGCTGTTGGTGACCCATGATGGTGATAATGACGATCAGGAAGGTGATGATGATGATGGAGATGACGGTGATGTTGAAGACAGTGATAATTGGTGACCGTGACGATGAACACGACGGTTATCGCTGACGACGGTGGCAGTGGTGAGGATGATGGGCCTGAATCCACCCCGTCCGAGAATTCAACTGCCAACATTCTACCTCCGAGAGCTGTCCAAGTGATAACCACCACTGCTCCCCCGTGCAAAAACCTCTACATTCTCCCATGTACAGCACACACACACCCCCGTCAATTATGAAACCTCTGCACCGATTACCGTATTCTCTGCAGTATAAACACACTCGCGTTTCCCCCGTGTTTTCAAAGCAATAAAGCGAGATGTTAACTCCCTCGCCTCGTATGCATGAGGTCGTGGGTTCGATGCCGACCCTGACGCCTGCTGCTGCTGTATATTTGGAGTGTGCGTGTCTCTCTCTCTCTCTCTCCCCGTGGTCTGGTGGATTTTTCTCCAGTTTTCCCCTCCACATCACGCGTTTCAGAGTATATGGCTGCTATACATTTCCACACGATGATAAGCCACTTCGTTGAGCTATCATTTGTGGCCAGGTCACTCTGAAAAAGAGCTACATTATATAGTTCAGTGGGCCTTACCTGGCAAAATAAAATGTTTAGTTTAATCCGGTAGCTGCGTGTGTCAACATTTGTAGCAACTTCATTGCCATCGGGCACATGATTTGGGGTGCGTCTTACTTTCCGAAGCAAGTTATAATCCAGAGAATACGGTAAATATAGTGACTATCATCGAATAGTCCCCCTACCAGTGCTCCAAGTCGTTTATAGTTACGGCCTGGTCCAAGATTAAAAAGGCTACAACCATGCTGACGAGGAAGAGCATGCGTGGAACTGGTGTACATCCAGTTGTCGTGTAGGCTGGGCAGTGCTACACTCGCGCTACTGATGATCTCTATAGCTACATGAAGCCACTACTGATGCATTCGTCAACATGTGCTAGTAATGACTACACTGCACTCGTGTGGACGAGACTAATATCAACACAGTCGTGTATAGAGCGGCGGTGCTATCCGACCGATGAGCTACAATGCGGCATTCGTGGAGTTTCTGGATAGCTGAGCATGGTCACACTGCACCGACGATTCCTAATGTGAACGAAACCAGTGTCAACACACACACATATATATGGCGTAGGAAAGCCTCACGGATGATCTCTGTGGGGGGAATCATTCCACTACCGACACAGGTGTACACACAGATGAGTACGGATACACTTGCACTGATGACTCCTAAAGCGTAAGAGGACCAGTGTCAAAGCAGCTATGTACAGAGTCACGCGACCTCGCCGGTGATCTACAATAACTCACCTGGACGGCCACACGTGCGAGTATGGACACGCTCTGCTGATGATTCCTAAAGAGCGTGGCAACCAGTGCCAACATCGCAATGTATCGATGATTTATCGAGGAGTTCGGATTCCTCACTGATGAGCCATATGAACACTGAAGCCAGTACTGACAAAGTTGTCACACAGATGAGTAGGACCATGCTGAACTGATGACTCCTAATGCGGATGAGACCAGTATCAACACAGTGGTTACAAATACGGTCGTAGGACTGACCTCACTGATGAGAAACCTATATTGATGCAGTGGTTACATTTGTTAGCAGAGGTGCACTAGACTGATGAACTCTAATAAGTGTGAAACCTGCAATTATTCTTAAGTTACATAGCTTAGTACAGCTACACTACACCGATGATCTCCAGTAAGTGTGAAACCTACAATGACCCTGTGGTCACATTGCTTAGTACAGCTACACTACACCGATGATCTCCAGTAAGCGTGAAACCTACAATGACCCTGTGGTCACATTGCTGAGTACAGCTGCACTACACCGATGATCTCTAGCAAGTGTGAAACCTACACTGATCCTGTGGTCACATTGCTTAGTCCAGCTACACTACACCGATGATCTCCAGTAAGTGTGAAACCTACAATGACCCTGTGATCACATTGCTTAGTACAGCTGCACTACACTGATAATCTCTAGCAAGTGTGAAACCTGCATTGACGTTGCAGTCACATTGCTGAGTACAGCTGCACTACACCGATGATCTCTAGCAAGTGTGAAACCTACACTGATCCTGTAGCCACATTGCTTAGTCCAGCTGCACTACACCGATGATCTCTAGCAAGTGTGAAACCTGCATTGACGTTGCAGTCACACACTGCTCAGCGCAGCGGGCACGACCCTGTTCCGAACGTGAGCGAGATCCAGTCAACCGCAGCCGTCATGCCGCTGACGAGCAGCTCATGAGCAGCCAGCTGTGCCACGCATTGCGCCGATGACGACACGGCACGGTGCAGCGAAGTGGAACTCGCGGGCACCAGGAGCCGAGCCGCTCCTGGAAGGCCATACCTCGTGCCGCCGGCTCGAAGCCCCCGTGGAATAAAATCAAGAGGCTACTCATTTGTGCACGCACACGAATAGAAACCTTCCCCCTAACCCCCCCTCCCCCCCACTATGAACCATACTTCACCCACTGTTTGTGCTGCAATTGGGACGTTAAATATATTAATAACCAAAATGTATCTCGATTTTCCCCCACAAACCCCAACCCCATCCCCCCCTTCAAAAATCCCTAACACCCACGCCACGTGACCCGTGAGCAGTGCAAAGCATTGCGACTAATGACGTCATTAATTAGGGTAATTGGTTACCCGGGGCGACCCAGCCCTCCCCGTGCACCTGGGTGCAACCCTTGTGCACGGTATTAGTGTGCTCTTGTGTACCTGTGTGTGTGCGTGCATCTGTGTGTGTGCATCTGTGTGTGTGTGCATCTGTGTGTGTGCATCTGTGTGTGTGTGTGTGCATCTGTGTGTGTGTGTGCCTGTGTGTGTGCATCTGTGTGTGTGTATCTGTGTGTGTGTGTGTGCCTGTGTGTACCTGTGTGTGCATCTGTGTGTGTGTGCATCTGTGTGTGTGCATCTGTGTGTGTGCATCTGTGTGTGTGTGCATCTGTGTGTGTGTGTACCTGTGTGTGTGCATCTGTGTGCATCTGTGTACCTGTGTTGGTGTACACCCCCTCGTGTGCCATGCCGGCCTTCATAGGTGCTCGCTAACACCACTTGCCCCAAGTCTGTATAGACTATACGGGGGATATCTTCGTGTTTGTCTTTGTGTGTGTATTCACCTATGTGTAAGTACCTATGTGTAATTGTGTATACTTGTGTGTGTACCTGTACGTACTTGTGTATATCTGCGTGCGAATACCTAAGTGTAAGTGCGTACAGGTGTGCATACTTGTGCCCGCATGTCCCAGTAAATGCCCATCAACGCGAACAACATCCCGACGAGTACACGTGGCCGTGTACTCTGTTATCAGTCGACACGGTGAGTATGCGCCACGTGTATATATACCCTACCGCGAGTTACACGCGGTGTGTACACGTGCGTCACGTGTGCGTTGCCAGCAGTACACGTGCGTCACGTGTGCGTTGCCAGCAGTATGCGTGTCACGTGTGCGTTGCCAGCAGTACGCGTGTCACATACTCTGCACGGCACGCAACCAGCCCTAACAAAACACGGGAACAACAGCGATAATTCAACAACTATCGTGATAATAATTATAATTATTATAATAATACTGAAACCCTAGTAAAACAATGCCATCTATTGTTGAACATTGCCAAAACAATATTCCGCGACTGTGACAATTGCGGAACAAATAAATGATCCATAACGACTACAGGCGTTGCGGAAGCTGTCGAATTGTGGATTATATCTGCACGATCCTCATTTGGCCTCCTCCTCCTCCTCGGCACGGCTCTCTCCGTCTGCCGGAATCATTATGCGCTGCGTCCGTCGTCCTTCGAGCGTCGTCCTTGGAGCGTCGTCCATCGAACTTTGTCCACCGAACGGTCGTCCTTCAAGCGTTGGCCGTCGACGCGTCCTGCGCTGTGCGACGCCGAATAACGCCACGGAACGCAGGGAACCCGCCAGATAAACCCGAATTCGCTTGGTTCGTTTTCGTCGCGTGGCCACGCTGTTATAGCCCCTGCAAGGAGGAGGAGGGGGAGCCGTCGCCCCACCCTCCCCGATTCTGGAAGTGCTACTCCTAGCAGTCAGTTGTTCGTGATTGTGGAAGTGCACCCAAGTGGACAGATTATGGATTAATTGTGCTGCGTGCAGTCTTTTGACCGTCTCTCGCTCGATCTTCTCGGGGGTTCCCTCATCTCTCCGCGCGCCTCGCCACCTCTTCCTCCAATCCGCACCTCGTCTCTTCCAAACTCCTGAACCCATTCATCGCTTCCCCCTCCTGATGAATCCCCACCCACCGTCTCGGTCTCTCCTCCACGGTTCTTCGTCTTAAGTCTCACGGCTCTTGAGTCTTTTTCTCCCAGACGCCCTTGCCTCGGAGTTCCTCCATGCTCACCCTCCGACTTCGCCACTCGGCACCGTGCGAGGAAACCGTCGGCCGAGCGTCTGCTCAACGGTCGCACGGCCTCTCTCTCGGTGGTTGGGGGTCTTTCGCTCCCCTCGTCCCCTCTCTGGGTTCTCTCTCTCTCTTGCCTCCCTCCTGTCCTGCTCTTTCTCTGAGGTTGATCCAGTTGCTACGCAATTCCCCGTTTGCCTCTTTCCCGCTGGTCTCTGCCACTGATTTCTATCTCCTCTCCAGGCCGTCGCCTCTCCACTCTCAGCTCCCATCGCTGCCTCTCTTCTAATCCTTCCTCTTCCTTAAACTCTCTCTCCACTCTATCTCTCCGAGCAGTCTCCCCCCCTCTCACACCGACCTCTCTTCCTCTTCCTCCTCCCCTCCACACCGCACCTCGTGTGTCACACGATGATGGTGGCGGCGGTGGCGTTGGCGGCGTTGGCGGCGCTGTTGGCGCCCGCCCGCACCTTGAAGAAGCCATCCTGGCTGCCGGCCTCCCTGAAGGTGACGGTGATGAGGTGCGCCGTCACGTCCGTCACCACCACGTGCGCGTGCAGCGTGTGACGCGGGGGGCTCCACAACAACCGCTCCCGGCGCACCGCCTCGTCCACCTCGTCCATCTCCATCTCCTCCTCCTCGTCCTCCTCGTCCTCCTCGTCGTCGTCTTCTTCGGTGTCGTCGCGGCCGCGGCCCCTCCTCGGCGACGACTCGGCCGGCCCGGCGCCGCCTCCTCCCCGCGCCGCCCTCGGCAGCAGCCGCCGCAGCAGCCGCTGGCGCTGCAGGTGCAGGTGGCGCCGGTGGTGGCGGCGGCGCGAGTCGGCCGTGGCGGCCGTGGCGGCGGGCGCGGGCGGGCGCCGGCACCGCGGGCGGAGGGGCCGCAGGGAGGAGCCCGGCGCCGGGCCCGAGCCCCCCCGCCCGCACGGCGCCACGGGCCGTCCGTCGGGCGGCGCCGGGCGGCGCAGCGTCGCCGGGCGCCGGCGGCGACGGCGGCGTCTCTGCCGCAGGGCGACCGCCACGACCCCGTCGCCCCCCGCCTGCGGGGCGGCGCCGGCGCCGGGTGCTGCCACCGCCGACGGGGCTCGGAGACGCCGAACGGAATACGGGCGGGCGGGCGACGGGGAGCGCGACGGGCCGCTCCTGGGCGGCGGGGGGGGCGGCGGCGGCGGCGGCGGCGGCGGCGGAGGCTCGGGTCTGCATGGCGCGAGCGCCGTCGTCGTCGTCGTCGTCGTCAAAATTGACGTCGTAGTCGGCGTCCCCCACGTCGTCGTCGTCGTCCTCCTCGTCGTCGTCGTCGCCGTCGTCGCCGTCGTCGCCGTCTATCACCGAGCCGCCTCTGGACTCCCCGCTCGGCGGCTCCGCGTGGAGCTGCGCCGTCGCGGTGGCGGCGACGCCGCGCGGCCGCAGGGAGGAGCGGGACGACCGCGACCCCAGGCTCGAGATCTGCGCGGGGCGTGCGCACGCGCGCGAATGCACGTACACGCGCGTACACACAACAACAACCGTCATTCGACACTAGTGGCGATAACGTCACCATGGCATCGCCACACCGGGCTAGGTACACTCCGAGGCCACGTGAAGTGGCGAAGGCTCGCCGCTGGCAGGAGGTCACGGGACAGACCCAGGCGCCGTGATTTGACTGACCGAGACGACTGGCAGACGCACCAGCCGTGGCCTCTACAATGCCAACTTGTTGGATTTTAGCCACCCGGCGCTCCGCTCGTTGTTGTGAGCGTCGCTCCTCTGCCCTCCGTTCTTGTTGGAGGGCGAGTGCCTCCAATTGCCCATTAGCATCCTTAACGAGCCTCCTCCACAGAAGCCGATGTTGACACCGCTGGTACCAGCCATTGGCCCTAAATTTGAAGCTTTCGTGACTGCAAGGATTCATACTCTTAGGTTTTTTCGGTAAATACATGTAAGTAATAAATAAGTAAATAAAAAATAACTAATATAAATAATAATATAAATAAACAGCCACTTGAAACTCCGATCAAAACTATCACGTTGCCATACATAGCAGGCGTGACCAAAAAGATCTCCAAAATTTTAAACAAACATAAGATCCAAGTCCGATTCAGTACAGTACATAATCCGTGATATAATTCCATCTGTGAAGGATGTCATCCCTGACTTGCAATACCCTGGAGTCTATAAACTGAGTTGCAGCTGTGGTGATTGTTACATTGGGGAAACGAAACGTCATATCTCTGATCGTAAATTTCGATTTAAAGCTTTCGTGACTGCAGGGATTCATCTTCTTGGTTCTTTCGGTAAAGTCACGTAGAAGGGAAGTAATAAAATAATAAAAATAAAACATAATAAAACAATTCTCACGACGTTTCGGTCACAACGCAAGCAGCCGTCCTCAGGTGAAAACCAGGTCCGTCGAGGCGACAGAGTCTGAATGAAACAGCACACGAGCTTGGAGCATATATATAAGCTGGGCGCATTGACAAAGGAATTTGCATATCAAAAGGAATTTAGCATATTTATGGGAAATGCAGGAATGTGATTAGTACTGCATATGCATGTGCATTATGCAGGATTAACAGCATCAAAGGGAGCTGCAGTTACTGCTGCTGCTGCAGTTGCTGCTGCTGCAGTTTCTGCTGCTGCTGCAGTTGCTGCTGCTGCTGCAGTTGCTGCTGCTGCTGTTACTGCTGCTGCTGCACTTGCTGCTGCTGCTGCAGTTGCTGCCTTATCCATTTTAATATAACACTATGTATTATTCTACCCACCCTAATGTGTATCACACTGCTATATGTTTACTATACAATTACGACACCATACATTACTCTGCACACTGCACCATGCCAGTGAGTGGAACGCGGTCAGTGAGTGGAACGCGGTCTGAAAGAAGATGAATCTCTGATCGTGTCCGCGAGCACAAGTCAGATCTGAAACACGGCAAAATTGAGTCTTCCGCCGTTGCCGATCATTGCTACAACGCCGTGGGCTCTCATGATATTGTCTTTTCTGAGACCAAGGTGCTCTGCAAACCTTCTGGCTACCATCAAAGGTTTGTACACGAAGCCATCCGGATATACAAACACAGACATAACGTCAACCGTGATGATGAGTACAAACTGAGTAATCATTGGAAAGATGTTATTAACCATGCAAAAAAGTTTTAACTACACTTATTTGGACCATCTTATTTGACAGATACTATTCTACTTTACCGAGTGTTGACATCCCCAGCGTTTAACAGCACTCTCCTTTTTGTGTTTGTCAACAACACCGGGTAGTACGACAACTTGTACACCTATTGTTCTCTTTCAACCCTGCCCACCCCCCAACACGTTCCATTCATTGGCTACCACATTCAGATAAGCCCCCCTCCCCCTTAACTTGTATTTAAGAACCTGTCTCTTGGATTTTTGCCTCACTTGATACAGTAAATTTTGCTGTGACGGTCCCACCTGATTACGGAGACTTGTGTTGCCTCCGAAACGTCGTGATTTATTATTTTATTTCTAGAATTATTTCAAATGTAACTAGTTATTTTATTATTTATTTATTTTCCCCCTACGTGACTTTACCGAAAAAACCTACGAGTACGTGGCTTGCCCGTTTAGCAACCTCTATCCGGCTGAACAAAAGCTGTTTGAGCTTGCGGTGGTGGGGCATGCGGGCTGCATGACCCAGCCAACGCAGCCTTGTCTGCCAGAGGAGCTTACCGATGGAACTTTGTCCAAATCTTTCAAGGATTATGAGCTCCGCACACAATCCATCCTGGTTAAACTCAGGATGGATCGTAGGCAGGCAAGCCTGAATGTTTCTAATGGGTGAACATGTTCCATTAGAGGGATCCACGTTTTGCAAGCATAGAGAAGGGAGGGCATGACTGTGGCTGAGAAGACCCAAAGCTTCGTTTGGAGCAAGATACCAGGTAGCTTCCACACAGTGTTACTCAGCCAATGAAAGATAATGCCATTCGACTGATTCGGAATAAGATGTCTGCTGTTAAACCGGTGATAAGGACACTGCCCAGGTATGGATGCCTCTCCACTCTTTCAACTGCCCCATCACCAATGGGGAGTTGAGAAGGTGGAGTTTTTGATGACACAAAATACCCAGACAGGTGCTTAGTTTTGGAGGAGCTGATGGTAAGGCCCCACCTCTTAGTAGTACGCTCCAGGTCAAGCAGCAGCGCCTCCAACTTCTTCTCTGAGTGAGCAGCAATCACCAGATCACCAGCATACATAACATGGTTGACCAATAGAGAGCCATCCCATGACCGCACCCAGGCAGCATTGATCAGCCTTCCATTGTATCTATACCATATGGAGATTCCTCCGGTATAGCCATGGAAGGCTTCTCGAACTATGTGGTCGAAAAATGTTAAATAATGTAGGCGCCAGAGGACATCCTTGTCGTACCCCAAGGTCAATAGGGAATGGCTCACGGCCACACAGCTTTACCCGGGCTTACTAATCATGAAATACCATGAAGGTATTTCATGATTGTGAGCAGAGAGTCAGAGACTCTGAATGTAGAAAGAACAACCCAGAGCCCAGGCCTATTGATGATTTCATAGGCCTTGATTACACACACACACACACGTGGGTGTACACGTGGGCAATGACGGAGCTAGGATTTTCAGGTAGGGGGGGCAACCCCTCCAGCAATGAAAAATGATAGAGGAGTTGTTAGTAAATAAGTAGTTGTTAGTAAGTAAGGACTTGTCCCTTGCTTTTAATTCGATGCGATTCCGGCGATCGAGGGTCGAATTCGAACCGCGTTGTGTGATCGGCATCGCGCTCGCTGAAGGTGAATGCCTTCAGGGAAGTCGTGTACTGTATACGAAACTGCGCACAATTCTGAGTCACTTATAACTGCTTTGCCGTTACGTATTGCCAATTATGGACTATTGTCCTATCATCTCATATCAGTCCCTGGCACATAATAATATGCTACACAGTGGCAGTATGGGTCACAAAATGCCGATTTATTACTAATAAACCCCAATGATCCCATCGATTTCGATCGGATCATTGGGGGGCACGTGCCACCCCCCCCCCCCACACACGTGGGTGTGCGTGTACACATGCAACAATGCAATACGGACTTGTACTGCGTCAACTCTAACCCTGACCCTAACCCTGACTCTAACATTAACCCTGACTCTAAACCCAACATTGACTCAAATCCTGACCCTGACTCTAATCCTAACCTTGACTCTTTAACCCTTGCCTTGACTCGTTCTCTGACCCTGAATCTAACCAGTTTTTTTTTTATTAAGTACAGCAATGAAGCAAACATAAATCAGAGCAAAAACAACCACCAGAGGGCAATTCTAATGTTAAACTAATATTGATTTGAAGCTTTCGTGACTGCAGGAATCCATACTCTTTGGTTCTTTCGGTAAAGTCAGACGGAAAAAAATATAATCCAGCAGTGGAACTGCTGAACTAATTACCTATGCAATGCTGCCAATGAAGATGCTGCTGCTGCGTTGGCAGTGGTGATGCACAAGCACAACCAACAACACTCGAGCACATTCGTCAACAGGATTGCCTCGAGGTGTTGGGCAATAACCCTTCTGCAGGGCGCATACATGTGAAAGGAAGCGAGCCAATGCCTGATACGTCACTATATATGTATGTGATGTTGTTGTCCTTCCCCTGCACCTCCGATTAGCACGGTTGCCTACGTACAGTGGTGTTAAACAAGTGCGACATGCATACAGTATATAAATGTTATTCTTATGAGGCCAAAGTGTTATCGACGGATGCGTTATTCTTCTTGGTTCTTTCGGTAAAGTCACGTAGAAGGGAAATAACAACACAATAAAAATAAAACATAAAATAATTCTCACGACGTTTCGGCCACAACGCAAGCAGCCGTCCTCAGGTGAAGAATGAAACACCCCCAAGTTTGGAGCGTATATTTAAGCTGGGTTGGAGGGGGAAGAAGAGCGCCTTGACAAAATAATTTGCATATCAAGGGGAATTTAGCATATTTATGGGAAATGCGTTGGTAGGTGGGCGGGGGGGTTTCAAAGTCATATTATGCCCGTGCATTATGCAGGATTAGCAGCATCAAAGGGAGGGGGTAGGGAGTAGCATTATCGACGTTCTCTGGTAAACTCTAATGGGTTGGAAAGGCGTCAGGGCGCCGTCTCTGGCAACGGCGGCTTGCCCCGGAGCTCTACCGGCGACACGTGATGTCCGACCTGCAGCACGAGTCTCCTGGAGCGAGGGCCTCTCCTCCGCAGGCCAATCGCTCGGTCCCTCTGCTCCCTGCACACAGAGACGACGACGACGACAATCCCCCCCGGAGAGCCTTGAACAGACCGTCGGGTCGAGTGCTGCTAGCGAGTTGCGCCTGTGAAGGCCGGCGCGGCACACAACGGGGTGGGTGGGTGGGTGGCCTGCTACCACGCCAGGCTGCCTTTGACTCCCCCGTGCTGATGTTTTGTACACACACAGACACACACAGACACCGCACGAGGTGCGCAAGTTGCGGCTGTGTTGAACTAAGCGAGGCCCAGGGAACCCGTTCAGATATTAATCACCGATGTTGGGCCATGAGCGGGAATTGACCTGCGACCGCCGGGTTCACAGCGCAGTGCGTCAACTACTGCGCCACCGCTCTCCACACACACACAGACACACAAAGACAACAAAGATGCCCTGTGTAGCTTTAACAGACTGTAGCACAGAGGTCGCAAACGGGTTTTGATTCCTTACCCGTACCCGGCCGCACCAGGGTCGCAAACGGGTACCCGTACCCGTACCCCGTACCCGGCCGGGTACGGGTAGGGTACAGGTATCGGGTACCTGATTGCGACCTCTGGGATAAAGCCATGTTGCAGGCGCGGGTGGGTTGATTCTAGGAACTTGAATTGTGAGAAGAGACAAGACGTTGGGAAATGAGTGACAAACGGTGACTCACCAGTGACTCACGGCCTACCCGTACCCGTACCCGGCCGCACCAGGGTCGCAAACGGGTATCCGGCTACCCGTACCCGGCCGGGTTTCGGGTGTCGGGTAGGGTACGGGTATCGGGTACCCGGTTGCGACCTTTACTGTAGCAGCAAGTGCTGTTCGCGAGCGCCTATGAAGGCTGGCATGGCACACGAGGGAGTGGGTGGCCAACACCGCGCCCAACCGCCTTTGTCTCCCCAAGTGACGATGTTCACACATTGCACAAGATACTCACTTGAAGATTTGGACTGAGGGGAGGCCCAGGACCGGTTATGATCATCGTCACTGGTGTCGACTGTGAGCGCGGTGCGCTAACAGCTACACCACCGCAGACACACACACAAAGTGTCATGCCAGTACACACACTCGCCTCCTCACCAAAAGCCAACTCTCTCACCTCTCTTCGTAGGCCATCACGAGGCGAGGGTCGAGGATATTTTCTTCTGGTTCCCACGTGCTATACCTGATGGCGTCATCATCAACATCATCATGAGCGAGAGCAGCAGCAGCATCATCAGCAGTGTAACTAAATCCAAGACGTGAATAATCCACCACCACCACCGTCGTCGTCGTTACCCACAGATCACCATCACTGTCATTACCTCCTTCTTCATCATCACCACCGACCCCAATATCATTACCATCACAACCATCATCATCGCCGTCATGGTCATCATTAGATGAGTCTCTGACGAGCACGTTCATCTAACATCATGACCATAACCAGCATCACCACGACAACAATAATTACCATGACCACAATTATCACCACTATCACAGTCACCACCATCACAATCTGTCATCACCACCATCAACATTCACAACACCCACAACATCACCACCACCATCACCAACATTTACACCATCCACATCATCCGTAAAAAATACACCAATCAACAGCATTATCGATCACCTCCATTCGCAACATTCTAGATTTGAAGCTTTCGTGACTGCAAGGATTCATATTCTTAGGTTTTTTCGGTAAAGTCACGTAGGTAAAAAATTAAAATTAATAAAAGTAAAATAAAATAAAAATCACGACGTTTCGGAGGCAACACAAGCTTCCGTCTTCAGGTGGAACCGTCACAGCACGATAGCTGTATCAAGTAAGAGAAATTCCAAGAAAACAGTATTTGTATATATACTGGTTGAGGGTGGGAGGAGCCAAGGTAGGCCCTGGATATTATTTTTATGAGGTTCGGTGCGGCTGAAGCACGCTGTTAGGAATGAGCCTTTGTTGTGTAAACTAATTAATTAAAAAATTTTACCCACGTGACTTTACCGAAAAAACCCTAAGAATAGCATTCGCAACATCACCAATCACCGTCATCACCATCATCATTGCTGCCACCAACGCCATCACCAAAGTCACGATGAGGTGCTACTCACTTCGGGGACCATCCCTTCCACTTGACCAGGTATTGAACCCTTCCCTGTGGAGGCGACAAGGTGGGCAATGAGGTGAATCACGTGACACGACGTCACCTCTGCACAGAGCACACGGCGCGTGTGAATGTGTGTTGAGGTGTGCGCGCGTGTAGAGGTGTTACGTGCCGGGGTGTAGCAAGCCATTACGTTGCGGTGTCTACATCACGGTCCGTGCGTGGGGTGGCTACATCGACGTCCGCATATAGCCCCGCCCCTCGGGAGGGGGCAGTTGGGTATATAGGGCGGTGCGCGTGAGCACTCGGGGAGTCGTTGGAGCAGAAGAGCCGGTGAAGAGTGAAGACGGAGCAAGCTAGACTGGGACCCTGGGACCGCTAGCCCCGCCGCCCTTGTCAGGGCCGGGACTCTGTGTGGCTCAGTGGCGAGACCCTGGGAACCCCCGGTTCCCGACGTCCTTATCAGGGCCGGGTCCGATGGGCCAGTGGTTGGGACCCGTACCCTAGCGAGGTCGGGTCAGATAGCCTCCCCTAGGAAGTGCACAGCTGGAGGACCTGAGAGCGTAGCCGGTGTCAGGCACGCGTAGCCGTAGGCTGTGTTCCTGGGCTGTAGAGCTGACTGTTACTGTAGGGTGTTATAAATAAATACGTGTTGCCTCCGTCAACTGTCTCCTGCATAGTTTACGCCATTACACGTGTAAAGAGTGTAATGTGTGTGTGTAGGGAGAGAAAAACGGCGGCCGGGCGCTGGCTTACAGCAATTTCCCCAACAGTCTGTTCAAGGCTATACGCGGGATCTTTGTTTTTGTGTGTAGATGTGTGTGTGTAGGTGTGTGTGCAGGTGTCTGTGTGTGTAGGTGTGTGTGCAGGTGTCTGTGTGTGTAGGTGTGTGGGTGTAGGTGTGCCGGTGGCCCCCGGGGCAATCCACCCCCACAACTCCCAAGCGGTGATGGGGCAGTTGTGGAGAGAGTGGAGAGTTTCCCATACCTGGGCAGTGTGCTCATGACAGGCTCCGGTTTCACAGCAGAGGTCTCACTCCGAATCAGTCGAGCGGCAATATCTTTTCGTTGGTTGCGTAACGCTGTGTGAAAGCTACCTGGTCTGTCGCTCCGCACGAAGCTTCGGGTCTTCTCGGCCACAGTCATTCCCTCCTTTCTCTACGCTTGTGAAACGTGGACCCCCCTAATGGAACATCTTTACCGGTTAGAAACATTTAGGCTGGCCTGCCTACGATCAATCCTGGGTTTAACCGGGCTGGATTGTGTAAGCTCACAATTCCTCGAATGATCTGGACAAAGTCCCATCGGTGAGCACCTCCAGCAGGCAAGGCTGCGTTGGCTGGGCCATGTAGCCCGCATGCCCAGCCACCGCATGCCCAAACAGCTTTTGTTCGGCCGGATCAAGGGGGCTAAACGGGCGCGGCACGGGCTAGAGAAGAGATGGAGTGACGTGGTACAGGAGGACGTGGAGCTGAGTGGACTTGCCGATTACTGGTACCAGCAGTGTCAAGATCGGCCTCTGTGGAAGAGGCTCGTGAAGGACACTACTGGGCAGTTGGAAGCAGTCGCCCTCCAACAACGGAGGGCGGAGGAGCGACACTCACAACAACGAGCGGAGCGCCGGGTGGCTAAAGCACAGCAAGTTGGCACAGTAGGGTGCACAAGTGGTGCATCGGCCAGTCATCTCAGTCAGTTGACCTGTGGCACCTGGGTCTGCCCCGTGACCTCCTGCCAGCGGGCGTTCGACACTTCACGTGGCCTCAAGGTGCACATGGCCCGGCACAAGCGTCGTGGTGACGTCATCGCCACTTAGTGGCGAATGGTGGTTGTATATGTGAGTGGGGAGCGGTAGTGTAGCGGTTAGCGTGCTCCGCTATGAACCTGGCGACGCGGGTTCGATTCCCGCTCACGGCCAACACCAGTGACGATTATCTGAACCGGTCCTGGGCCTCCCTTAGGTCGACTCAGCCTGATATGAGTACCTGGTGCGGTGTGTAAACATCGCCACTGGGGAGACAAAGGCGGTCGGGCGTGGTGCTGGCCACCCACCCCCTCGTGTACCGTTCCGGCCTTCATAGGTGCTCTCTAACAGCACTTGCCCCAACACTCTGTTAGGGCTATACGGGGGATCTTTGTCTCTGTAGGTGTATGTGTGTGTGTGTCTTGTGTGGTCACCTTGCGAATTCTCTTTTTCTTGATGCTCTCCACCGCGAACACGCGTTCCCCCACTGCAGACAGCTCCATAGCCGCTTGTCCATGCGACGGGCTCGCCCTCACCTCGTCGCCCTTACCTCGTCGCCCTCACCTCGTCGCCCTCACCTCGTCGCCCTCACCTCGTCGTCCTCCCCCCACAGCCCTTCCTCCTTGACAAATTCTCCCTTTTACCGAAACTCACCACCACCTCCTCCCCACATATTCCTCAACAGCTCGCCTCTTCAACCTCATCTTTTGGATTCCTCTTCATACAACTCTTCCTCACCATCACCTCTTCATACAACTCTTCCTCACCATCACCTCTTCATACAACTCTCCCTCACCATCACCTCTTCATACAACTCTTCCTCACCATCACCTCTTCATACAACTCTTCCTCACCATCACCTCTTCATACAACTCTTCCTCACCATCACCTCTTCATACAACTCTTCCTCACCATCACCTCTTCATACAACTCTTCCTCACCATCACCTCTTCATACAACTCTTCCTATCACCTCCTCGTCATCACGTGGTGCCCCAGCTCCTCTTGAATTCCTCCACTCCTCCTCTTCACTTATTTCCAACTCCTAATTCTTCTCCACCTCTTTAACCTCGTCTACTTCCTCCTTATATTCGTATTTTGCCCCCCCCCCCTAATTCTCCTCCTCCTCCTGCTGGGCTTGCTATCTTCTCGCTTCCTCCACCTCTTCACTCGTTCTTTGTTATGCGTCTCTCTTGTTCTCTCTCTCTTCCCTTACTTTAAATGAGGTGATGATGTTGTCAGCAGAGATGCACTAACGACGGTTCCGGGTGAGGAAGAGGAGCGAGGAGGAGGAGGAGGATGACGCAGTTTGAGGAGCGCTATCGGCAGACGAGGTGTGCCAATGACGAGGTGGTGAGACGCCTTGCGGGTCCCGTGTGACGGGCGAGGGACACGTGGAGATGACCCGTCTGAAGAGGTGAGACCTGGACCAGGAGAAATCGTGACGAGGTTAGGCGACGAAGTTGGCGAACGATGTTTTGATGAGGTGGGCTGACGAGGCGACAACGAGGATGGGAGGGAGGCGTTTTAAAGCGGTGGCGTCCTTTTGAAGCGACGAGGTGAAGATGACGCGGAGGCCCGAGTGATGAGGTGACATTGACGTCGGAGGTGGCCGTGGTGTGACGAGGTTCGCGACGACGTTGCGAGAACGACACAGGGGAGGTTACGATGTCGGGTTGATTCCGTGACGAGGTGATGATCGTGGTGATGGTGGAAACGAGGTGATGGAATCAGGAGATGCTCATGCCGTGACAATGTTACCGACGACGATGATGATGACGACGATGGCGGTGGTGGTGATTTCACGAGCTGACGATGGCACAAGATGTTGGTAATATTTGTTTTGCGTGTTAAGTGAAGATTGCGATGTTTAATCGCGCGATGAAGTTTTACGGCCGGAGTGACGAGGTGAGCGATGCTTCAGTAATGAGGTGAGTTATTTCATTATTCTTATTCCAGGTGCTAGCGATCGCGTTTATCACGCGATGAGGTGTTGAGTTGGTGATGAGGTTGTGATGAGGTTGTGATGAGGTAGTGATGAGTTGGTGATGAGTTGGTGATGAGGTTGTGATGAGTTGGTGATGAGTTGGTGATGAGGTTGTGATGAGGTGGTGATGAGTTGGTGATGAGGTTGTGATGAGGTGGTGATAAGGTGATGAGGTGGTGATGAGTTGGTGATGAGGTTGTGATGAGTTGGTGATGAGGTTGTGATGAGGTGGTGATGAGGTGATGAGTTGGTGATGAGTTGGTGATGAGGTGGTGATGAGTTGGTGATGAGTTGGTGATGAGGTGGTGATGAGGTTGTGATGAGGTTGTGATGAGTTGGTGATGAAGTGATGAGTTGGTGATGAGGTGGTGATGAGGTGGTGATGAGGTTGTGATGAGTTGGTGATGAGGTGGTGATGAGTTGATGATGAGTTGGTGATGAGTTGGTGATGAGGTGGTGATGAGGTTGTGATGAGTTGGTGATGAGTTGGTGATGAGGTTGTGATGAGTTGGTGATGAGTTGGTGATGAGTTGGTGATGAGGTTGTGATGAGTTGGTGATGAGTTGGTGATGAGGTGGTGATGAGGTTGTGATGAGTTGGTGATGAGTTGGTGATGAGTTGGTGATGAGGTGATGAGTTGGTGATGAGGTTGTGATGAGTTGGTGATGAGGTTGTGATGAGTTGGTGATGAGTTGGTGATGAGGTTGTGATGAGTTGGTGATTAGTTGGTGATGAGTTGGTGATGAGGTGATGAGTTGGTGATGAGGTTGTGATGAGTTGGTGATGAGGTTGTGATGAGTTGGTGATGAGTTGGTGATGAGGTTGTGATGAGTTGGTGATGAGTGGTGATGAGTTGGTGATGAGGTGGTGATGAGTTGGTGATGAGGTTGTGATGAGTTGGTGATGAGGTTGTGATGAGGTTGTGATGAGGTTGTGATGAGTTGGTGATGAGGTTGTGATGAGTTGGTGATGAGTTGGTGATGAGGTGGTGATGAGTTGGTGATGAGTTGGTGATGAGTTGGTGATGAGGTTGTGATGAGGTGATGATTTGGTGATGAGGTTGTGATGAGGTGGTGATGAGGTTGTGATGAGGTGGTGATGAGGTGGTGATGAGGTTGTGATGAGTTGGTGATGAGTTGGTGATGAGGTTGTGATGAGTTGGTGATGAGTTGGTGATGAGGTGGTGATGAGGTGGCGATGAGGTTGTGATGAGGTTGTGATGAGTTGGTGATGAGGTTGTGATGAGGTTGTGATGAGTTGGTGATGAGGTGGTGATGAGGTTGTGATGAGGTGGTGATGAGGTTGTGATGAGGTTGTGATGAGTTGGTGATGAGTTGGTGATGAGTTGGTGATGAGGTTGTGATGAGGTGGTGATGAGGTTGTGATGAGTTGGTGATGAGGTGGTGATGAGGTTGTGATGAGGTTGTGATGAGTTGGTGATGAGTTGGTGATGAGGTTGTGATGAGGTGGTGATGAGGTTGTGATGAGGTTGTGATGAGTTGGTGATGAGTTGGTGATGAGGTGGTGATGAGGTTGTGATGAGTTGGTGATGAGTTGGTGATGAGGTGGCGATGAGGTTGTGATGAGTTGGTGATGAGGTTGTGATGAGGTGGCGATGAGGTTGTGATGAGGTTGTGATGAGTTGGTGATGAGGTGATGAGGTTGTGATGAGTTGGTGATGAGGTGGTGATGAGTTGGTGATGAGGTGATGAGGTTGTGATGAGGTTGTGATGAGGTGGTGATGAGTTGGTGATGAGGTTGTGATGAGTTGGTGATGAGTTGGTGATGAGGTTGTGATGAGTTGGTGATGAGTTGGTGATGAGGTTGTGATGATGTTGTGATGAGGTGGTGATGAGGTGGTGATGAGGTTGTGATGAGTTGGTGATGAGTTGGTGATGAGGTTGTGATGATGTTGTGATGAGGTGGTGATGAGGTGGTGATGAGTTGGTGATGAGGTGGTGATGAGTTGGTGATGAGTTGGTGATGAGGTTGTGATGAGGTTGTGATGAGGTTGTGATGAGGTTGTGATGAGTTGGTGATGAGGTTGTGATGAGTTGGTGATGAGGTTGTGATGAGTTGGTGATGAGGTTGTGATGAGGTTGTGATGAGTTGGTGATGAGGTTGTGATGAGTTGGTGATGAGGTTGTGATGAGTTGGTGATGAGTTGGTGATGAGGTGGTGATGAGTTGGTGATGAGGTTGTGATGATGTTGTGATGAGGTGGTGATGAGTTGGTGATGAGGTTGTGATGAGGTTGTGATGAGGTTGTAATGAGTTGGTGATGAGGTTGTGATGAGGTTGTGATGAGTTGGTGATGAGGTTGTGATGAGTTGGTGATGAGGTTGTGATGAGGTGGTGATGAGTTGGTGATGAGGTGGTGATGAGTTGGTGATGAGGTTGTGATGAGTTGGAGATGAGGTGGTGATGAGGTTGTGATGAGTTGGTGATGAGGTTGTGATGAGGTGGTGATGAGGTTGTGATGAGGTTGTGATGAGGTGGTGATGAGGTGGTGATGAGGTTGTGATGAGGTGGTGATGAGGTGGTGATGAGTTGGTGATGAGGTGGTGATGAGGTGGTGATGAGGTTGTGATGAGGTGGTGATGAGGTGGTGATGAGGTGGTGATGAGGTGGTGATGAGTTGGTGATGAGGTTGTGATGAGTTGGTGATGAGTTGGTGATGAGTTGGTGATGAGTTGGTGATGAGGTTGTGATGAGTTGGTGATGAGGTTGTGATGAGGTGGTGATGAGGTTGTGATGAGGTTGTGATGAGTTGGTGATGAGTTGGTGATGAGGTGGTGATGAGGTTGTGATGACTTGGTGATGAGGTTGTGATGAGTTGGTGATGAGTTGGTGATGAGTTGGTGATGAGGTTGTGATGAGTTGGTGATGAGTTGGTGATGAGGTTGTGATGAGTTGGTGATGAGTTGGTGATGAGGTGGTGATGAGGTTGTGATGAGTTGGTGATGAGGTTGTGATGAGGTTGTGATGAGGTTGTGATGAGTTGGTGATGAGGTTGTGATGAGGTGGTGATGAGTTGGTGATGAGGTGGTGATGAGTTGGTGATGAGTTGGTGATGAGGTTGTGATGAGGTGGTGATGAGGTGGTGATGAGGTGGTGATGAGTTGGTGATGAGGTTGTGATGAGTTGGTGATGAGGTTGTGATGAGGTGGTGATGAGTTGGTGATGAGGTTGTGATGAGGTGGTGATGAGTTGGTGATGAGGTGGTGATGAGTTGGTGATGAGTTGGTGATGAGGTGGTGATGAGTTGGTGATGAGGTTGTGATGAGTTGGTGATGAGGTGGTGATGAGGTTGTGATGAGGTTGTGATGAGTTGGTGATGAGGTTGTGATGAGGTGGTGATGAGTTGGTGATGAGGTTGTGACGAGTTGGTGAGGTGGTGATGAGGTGGTGATGAGGTTGTGATGAGTTGGTGATGAGTTGGTGATAAGTTGGTGATGAGGTTGTGATGAGTTGGTGATGAGGTTGTGATGAGTTGGTGATGAGGTGGTGATGAGGATGTGATGAGTTGGTGATGAGTTGGTGATGAGGTGGTGATGAGGTTGTGATGAGGTGGTGATGAGTTGGTGATGAGTTGGTGATGAGGTTGTGATGAGTTGGTGATGAGGTGGTGATGAGGTGGTGATGAGGTGGAGATGAGGTTGTGATGAGGTGGTGATGAGATGGTGATGAGGTTGTGATGAGGTGGTGATGAAGTGATGAGGTTGTGATGAGGTTGTGATGAGGTTGTGATGAGTTGGTGATGAGTTGGTGATGAGGTTGTGATGAGGTTGTGATGAGTTGGTGATGAGGTTGTGATGAGGTGATGAGTTGGTGATGAGGTGGTGATGAGGTTGTGATGAGATGGTGATGAGTTGGTGATGAGTTGGTGATGAGGTTGTGATGAGTTGGTGATGAGTTGGTGATGAGGTGGTGATGAGGTTGTGATGAGGTGGTGATGAGATGGTGATGAGGTTGTGATGAGGTGGTGATGAGTTGGTGATGAAGTGATGAGGTTGTGATGAGGTTGTGATGAGGTTGTGATGAGTTGGTGATGAGTTGGTGATGAGGTTGTGATGAGGTTGTGATGAGTTGGTGATGAGGTTGTGATGAGGTGATGAGTTGGTGATGAGGTGGTGATGAGGTTGTGATGAGATGGTGATGAGGTGGTGATGAGTTGGTGATGAGGTTGTGATGAGGTGGTGATGAGGTGGAGATGAGGTTGTGATGAGGTGGTGATGAGATGGTGATGAGGTTGTGATGAGGTGGTGATGAGTTGGTGATGAAGTGATGAGGTTGTGATGAGGTTGTGATGAGGTTGTGATGAGTTGGTGATGAGTTGGTGATGAGGTTGTGATGAGGTTGTGATGAGTTGGTGATGAGGTTGTGATGAGGTGATGAGTTGGTGATGAGGTGGTGATGAGGTTGTGATGAGATGGTGATGAGTTGGTGATGAGGTGGTGATGAGGTTGTGATGAGGTGGTGATGAGATGGTGATGAGGTTGTGATGAGGTGGTGATGAGTTGGTGATGAAGTGATGAGGTTGTGATGAGGTTGTGATGAGGTTGTGATGAGATGGTGATGAGTTGGTGATGAGGTTGTGATGAGGTTGTGATGAGTTGGTGATGAGGTTGTGATGAGGTGATGAGTTGGTGATGAGGTGGTGATGAGGTTGTGATGAGATGGTGATGAGGTGGTGATGAGTTGGTGATGAGGTTGTGATGAGTTGGTGATGAGGTTGTGATGAGGTTGTGATGAGGTGGTGATGAGTTGGTGATGAGGTGGTGATGAGGTTGTGATGAGGTTGTGATAAGTTGGTGATAAGGTGGTGATGAGTTGGTGATGAGGTGGTGATGAGGTTGTGATGAGGTTGTGATGAGGTTGTGATGAGTTGGTGATGAGTTGGTGATGAGTTGGTGATGAGGTTGTGATGAGGTGGTGATGAGTTGGTGATGAGGTTGTGATGAGTTGGTGATGAGGTGGTGATGAGGTTGTGATGAGGTTGTGATGAGTTGGTGATGAGGTGGTGATGAGTTGGTGATGAGGTTGTGATGAGGTTGTGATGAGTTGGTGATGAGGTGGTAATGAGGTTGTGATGAGTTGGTGATGAGGTTGTGATGAGGTTGTGATGAGGTGGTGATGAGTTGGTGATGAGGTGGTGATGAGGTGGTGATGAGTTGGTGATGAGGTTGTGATGAGGTTGTGATGAGTTGGTGATGAGTTGGTGATGAGGTTGTGATGAGTTGGTGATGAGTTGGTGATGAGGTTGTGATGAGTTGGTGATGAGTTGGTGATGAGGTTGTGATGAGTTGGTGATGAGGTGGTGATGAGTTGGTGATGAGGTGGTGATGAGTTGGTGATGAGTTGGTGATGAGGTGGTGATGAGTTGGTGATGAGGTTGTGATGAGTTGGTGATGAGGTTGTGATGAGTTGGTGATGAGGTGGTGATGAGTTGGTGATGAGGTTGTGATGAGGTGGTGATGAGGTTGTGATGAAGTGATGAGGTTGTGATGAGGTGGTGATGAGTTGGTGATGAGGTGGTGATGAGGTGGTGATGAGATCAGGTGACGATGTCAGGGGATGGATAAGGTATTTTTTGTTTACGTTTGTGTTGACGTCAATGTGGTAATGATGATGGTAGTCAGGTGCGTGACGAGCTGACGATGAGGTGAAAGTGACGAGGTGATGATATAATTGCGGTTACTAATTGTGATGTCGAGGTTATGGTCGTGATGGGCAGGTGACAGGTGATGTTGAGTTGGCGGTTGGTGATGTGAAGTGACGAGGTGATGATGATGGTAGATGTTATAATGCTTGCGATGAAGAGGTGGTAACAATAATCAGATCATGACGACATTCGCAATAAATAACGGTGATGTCAACGTACTGCGATGTCAAATGTTAATTAGTTTACGTGACGAGGTAGTTGAGATTTTGGGTGGTGGGGGGCGGTGTGGAAATAAAAAAAACATTTAAAGTGACAGTGCAGAGGTGACGAATCGTGCGACGAGATGATGCAGGTGATGAAGATGATGTGAGATGATGTTATAGCGAGCTGCGTCACTAAACGAGGTGGATGCACATGGCACGCTGCCTGGCAGTCGCAGGAGGTTGCCGATGGTTCGTGACGAGGTCGCAATTCGTGGTCGTGACGATGTGACGATGAAGCTGTGACGAGGTGAACAGCGAATTAAGTGTGTGGGGGGGGGGGGGGTAGTGTAACGGTGTCTGTGTAATAGCAATGACGCTGCTGCTGCTGATGATGATGTCAGGATATATACAGTGGCAGTGGTGTCAGTCACGTGACAAGGTGATGATGATGATGCCGCTGCTGCTGCTGCTGCTGATGATGCTGCTGCTGCTGATGATGCTGATGATGTTGATGCTGATGATGTTGATGATGATGTTGATGATGATGATGCTGATGTTGATGATGTTGATGATGATGTTGATGATGATGATGTTGATGATGATGATGTTGATGATGATGTTGATGATGATGATGTGGCGTCAGTCTCCGCTCTGCGTCCAGCCGCACGACTCTCCTCCTCCTGTCTCTCTCCACGCATTTGTCGAGAAATGAACGCGACCTCTGCCGTTCGCACAAACGAACGCAAACGTGGGTACACACACGCACACACGTGTACACACACACGCACATACGTGTACACACACACACGTGGGTGTACACACACGTGTGGCCCACACACGCGCGCACTACGCGCCTATGTCGCACACACGCACCGTTCACACACAACACACGCACTTGACACACACACGTGACACATACACACGTGACACACACACACGCACCGTTCACACACAACACACGCACTTGACACACACACGCACTTGACACACACACGTGACACACACACGCACGCACGTGTCACACACACGCACTTGTCACATACACACACGTGTACACACACGCACACGTGGGTACACAGACACGTGTGGGTCACTACGCACCTATGTCGCACACACACACGTGTCATACACACACGTGTCTCACACACACACACACACGTGATACACACACACACTTGACACACACACACGTGTCACACACACACACGCACGCACTTGACACACACGTGTCACACACACACACGTGTCACACACACACACACGTGTCACACACACACACACGTGTCACACACACACGCACGCACTTGACACACACACACACGTGTCACACACACACACGTGTCACACACACACACGCACGTGTCACACACACACACGCACTTGACACACACACACACGTGTCACACACACACACACGCACGTGTCACACACACACACGCACTTGACACACACACACACGTGTCACACACACACACGCACTTGACACACACACACGCACTTGACACACACACACACACGCACTTGACACACACACACGCACTTGACACACACCCTGCTTGCTGCCTGTCCGTGTGCTGCCGCCGCCGGTTCTCGCGACGCAATCGCAGAGAACGCGGTGGGGGGGGGGATAGGGGGGCGGGGGCAGCAGCGGCGGGGGGCGGAGCCACGCGCGGTGTAAACACGGGACGACATCAAGGGGGCGGGGTCTACTGCATCGGTGGGCGGGGCCTACTGCATCGGTGGACGGGGCCTACTGCATCGGTGGGCGGGGCCTACTGCATCAGTGGGCGGGGCCTACTGCATCGGTGGGCGGGGCCTACTGCATCAGTGGGCGGGGCCTACTGCATCAGGGGGCGGGGCCTACTGCGTCGGTGGGCGGGGCCTACTGCATCAGTGGGCGGGGCTACCAAGGGGGCGGGGCTATTAAGGGGGCAGGGCTGATAAGGGGACGGGGCTTACTGATGCAATGGGCGGGGCTACTGAGGCAGTGGGCGGGGCTACTAAGGGGGCGGGGCTGATAAGAGGGCGGGGCCTACTGATGCAATGGGCGGGGCTACTAAGGGGGCGGGGCTACTAAGGGGGGCGGGGCTGATAAGAGGGCGGGGCCTACTGATGCAATGGGCGTGGCTACTGAGGCAGTGGGCGGGGCTACTAAGGGGGCGGGGCTACGGGGTGGGGTCCACTAAACGCCGTGGCGACGAAAGGAGAGGGGGCGTGTCTTCCGCGGTGAGGGGCGGGGCGCACTAAACGCCGTGTGGGCGGGGCTACGAGGAGGCGGGGCCTCTCATGGGCGGGGCTACGAGAGATGGGGGGCGGGGCTACTACGTAAAAGGGGTCTGTGCTACGTTTGTAAGGGCGTGATTATGGGTTTAACGTGAGTGGCTGTCGAGGGCGGGGCTATACTTGAGGGGCGGTGCCGTGGGTGATGGGCGTGGCCAGAGGGGAGGTGATGGGCGTGGCCAGAGGGGGGGTGATGGGCGTGGCCAGAGGGGGGGTGATGGGCGTGGCCAGAGGGGGGGATGGGTGGGGGTGGGCGTGGCCAGAGGGGGGGTGATGGGCGTGGCCAGAGGGGGGGTGATGGGCGTGGCCAGAGGGGGGGTGATGGGCGTGGCCAGAGGGGGGTAATGGGCGTGGCCAGAGGGGGTGATTGGCGTGGCCAGAGGGGGGGGTGATGGGCGTGGCCAGAGGGGGGGGGGAGGTGCGTGGCCAGAGGGGGGGGGCCCGGGAAGTGGGCAGGACTACGGCGTGAGGGGCGGGGCTAGGGATTTGAAGGAGGGGAGGGGGACATAGGTGAGGGGTGACGGCGTAAGGCACTACCACTAGAGTGCAAGGTAGAGAGGGCGCATATCCATAATACGATATTACACCATTGGAACCTCATTTGCCAGTAAAAAAAATATGATAATTGTTTTTTTACCCTTCTATCTGGCAAATGAGGTTCCAATGGTGTAAATGCTTACCCCGAGCTCTCATACTCTGATGGTGCATTGTCTTTGAGTTGTGCGCCTTTTGGCGTCATCTGGTCCAATACCACGTGAGACTAGGCTCTAAGGAAAGCTGTCTCGGGTGTGGACCAATCAACTTCAAGGACAGTGCATACATTATCAGAGTTGTGTTTTTTTGTTTACATTATGACTGCAGGTATTGTGGTCAATGTAAACATGACTCCTTATAAAAAAAGGTGTCAGTTTTGTTGCCAGATAGAAGGATAAAAAACCAATTATCATACGATATTAATTGACCCTACATGCATTTAGCCTGTGAACATGTCCATGGAAATGAGGACAAGGTAAGGCGAGATGGATGCGGCGTGTATGTTGAACTTCCTTCGCACCGTACCTAGCCAACCGTGCTAAATTGGAGGCGCGAAAATCATTGCCAATCGCGGCTCACAGGCGCACACCTACCGATTTGACTTTAAGAATACTGGAGACAATAAATGCGTCTCATAATCCTGAGAATACGTTGGTCGTGGTGAGTGGATCGGTGGTGAGTGGAGGTGTCCGTGGGAATTGTGGGACTTATAGGGTAGGGTGAGTGGGAATGTTGAGGGGGGGTGAGTGGGTGGGGTTCGGTGGGTGAGTTGAAGGCGATGGGGTGGCAGGGATTGTGGTTGGCAGATACTTTGGGGTGAGTGGAGACAATGAGTGGAGGTACTCGTGACGGTGACGGGAGATGTGTGTGTGGGTGGGGGTATTGGTTTTTGGCCGTGGTAACGAGAGGTGCTGGCATTAATGAGATTGGCAATGTCTCGGGGCGTGGGAGGGGTACAGGGCTCTAGGGCTCCTGGGACGTCAATGGTGACTGCTCAGAGCAAACACACTTAATGGGTCGCGTCTATAATTAACCAGGCCTCACTGTATTTCCCATAGCACACGGATGGGCATTGGACGCACGAAAGCTCTCAAGCCTTGCGCATTATGCTAAACCACCAGTTCGGAAGAACTGCAATGCGGTCAAAGTTCAGCGTACAGATAAACCGACAAGGCAACAGCAGCAGCAGCAGCAGTGAGACGAAGACACAAGTTCTCTGTGTGTATGGTGAACTTCTTTAGCACCGTACGTAGCCAACTGTGCTAATCGGAGGTGCGTGGAAAGGACAACAAACCAAACACAAAAAGTGTTTTTTTTTTCATCGAGATTATGATTTAAAAGTGCATAGCTCCTGTGGCTTCCTAATTTCGGAAGAGCATTCCAGACGGCCGCAGAAGCGCATCTGGAAGCGCATCGATGCGGTGACCGTCTTTGTTCGATGGAGCATCCAAATTTGTGCTCCTCGTTCAACGTGCACGTGCAGCGCGTAACGACCTCAAAAGTGAAACCCTGATTGAATGTCGACAAGTGGCGTGACCTGCGGCGTGTGTGTGGTGAGCGAGTGAGATGGTGGTTCACCAAAAGCCGCTGCCGTGATCAGCACCGGCACGCCTCCAATTGGCCACCTCCACCGATATGCTCAGAACTGGAGCAGTTCACGGGTCACGATTCCAGAACGGATCATGTTTTTAAATCCTTTATATTAAGTTCACTCGCTTGCTTGCTTGCTTAGGACCGTGCAAATCTTTCGGTCGTTTTTTAACCCACTTCCCGTGATCCAATTGAGCTGACATTTTGCACACAGACTCGTTGTGCGTGACAATGCATTTTCGTGAAAAAAATGTTCCAAAATTTTACACTGTTTAGGGAATTTTTAAAAAATATTTATTTACCAATTGGTTAATGCTGCCACACAATCATCTGACCCATAGGTGGCAGCCATCTCAAGCCAGAGGACGAGAGGACTCTAGCCGCCCCGATGCCACGCATATAAAAGTTTTTTATAGTGAAAAACTTTGTTTTTACGGGTTAAATTTCCCCCGTTCTACCTCGTCTCTGTTATAATCCACCGGCCAAAAGAAATATGCCAATCGCGTAACATTCGAACGCACGTGCAGTCCGATTCTGACTGCACACGATTCGATGGATGTGCTGCGGTGCGCGCGAGTTATACGGATCGATTTTCATCGGTGAACCTTCAGAGCACACTTGGTATCCGCGCGGTCGTTCTCACAGCCGAGGCTATTCAGTCGACAAGGATGTGTCCTCGCACCGGCAACACTTACCTGTCGGGCGAGCGACTGGGTCTTTGATGAAAACGTGACCCACGACCTCGGAGTCAGGATTTGCCGGCACAACTTAAACACTTGATACAGCTGTCGGGCTGTGACTGTTCCACCTGAAGACGGAAGCTTGTGTTGCCTCCGAAACGTCGTGATCTTTATTTTTATTTTATTTTACTTTTATTAATTAAATTTTTTTTACCTACGTGACTTTACCGAAAAAACCTAAGAATACAACTTAAACAATCAGCATCACGGTAAAAATGTTGTTCTTCCTTTTAAAACGTCCTTGTTTTCTCTCGCTTGCTCCAAAATCCCCTCGCCACTCCCTTCCCCATCACTAACTCCATCCGTCTTCCCGACTTTACCTACCCATTCATCATCACACTCACTCGTTATGAATAACCACTCAATGTCACTTTCATCATTGTTTATATCACGCGCCGTCATATTCACGTGCTACCACCATCCTCATCAAACTATTCTGCTGTACGATTGGCTCATTGGTCAAGGCGCTATATAAATTCATACCTGTGAACGCATACCGGTTTACCCCGTAGTCTTGTAAAGGGAAATTTAGTTTTCAGGTCCACACGGAGTACAGCCGTTTCAATACGGGCAACATTTGTGTTGTCTATTTGTTTGTGCTTCTCCCTTGCGATGGGACTTTGTAGGATGAACGTTGAGATTTATAAGGGCACGGCGTGACTAATAAGGTCTGAACTGGTCTGTAATAAGGCAGGGCACTGGTAAGGAGTTGACAGGTATATAAATTAAAATAAGAACACTACGATGACGATGCAGCTTTGTTTGTTGAGAAGCCTGAAACACTGACACCAGTTCTCCTGAACTTGTTCCACAACAATGCAAGACATTATTTTTCATGGTTCATGGCACAAAAAAAAAGTCCGGAACTTGGACTTCAACCCTCCAGAAGCACCCTGCGTCATCAAGTGGCAGGAATGTCTCCCTGGGATCTGCACAGACCACTGATTGGACGACGTAGACCTGAGGTTATTCGCCGAATCGGCCTGGCCTCGGTAATAATGAATTGTCTTAACCGCATTCGGACCCAGAAACCGTTAAGTCTGGGCACCCAATTGAGTCTACCAGTGCTGTGTTTTCTCAGTTTTGTTGTTGCATGATGCGGAGGCCTGGACATCGCTTCAAGCCGATTAGGATTGGCTGCAGTCCGTCCACACGCGATGCCGAAGGCGCCTTCTTCTTGGCGTCCGATGTTTTCGACTTTGTCAGAAATGTCACCGTTGGATCTGCGATCGAGAGGTGACTTCGAGGGCGACGGCTGTGTCGCTCCGTGGACACGTCGCGCCGTCTTCGTGCTGCGCAGAACTCCAGCAAATTGCGCACTTCAATTGGCGGTCGACGTTCCAAGTGGACTCTAAAAATGACACCGCACCCGTGGTCGCCCCTCCTGTGATACGTGGATCACTTGATGCAGTAATTTTAGCTGTGACGGTCTCACCTGATGACGGAGACTTGTGTTGCCTCCGAAACGTGTGATTTTTTATTTTATTTTGCTTTTATTAATTTAAATTGAATTTTTTTACCTACGTGACTTTACCGAAAAAACATAAGAATGTGGATCACACAAATCACTCGCTACACCGGTACTGCATGGCAATAGAAGCAGTTTATGCGAACGCTGTCGCAAGAGGTCACACGTCCCAGTGTGCAATGGTCCTTCGCTGAATGTATGCGCGATGAATGTGTAATAACAGCCATAGAGGGTTCACGTGGGGATTGGCTTGCCGGTCCTGCTCGTAGCCAATAAGGGTTGAGATTGGGACCATGGCCCATGCGTCATCACGACAGGTCATCGGAAGTGATTGGCCTAGCCATTCGGGGCCCCAGCGAATGGGGAGCCGGATGAGGGGCGTGGTCCCGGGATTGACAGGGAACCATCGAGAATGGTGAGAGCTGTCCATACATGATTGGCTGGGGGAACCACGTGACGAAGGTCTTAAGAGCGAGCGAGAGGGAACGATCGCGAGCAGACTGAAACTAACAGGAGCAGGGTCACGCGCGGACGCGGGCTGGGGGGTTGCCACGTGCGCGGAGAGGACTGAGTGTGTAGTCTGTCCTCTCTCCGTTGTCTGCCAGCAACGGAGAGTGAGTGAGCAAGTGTATTGGAAGTGGAAATAAAGGACTGATTCCGAAGCCGTCTCCGGGAGGGTTATTACAAATGTATGAAATCATCAACGGAGGAAGACAGGAGTTTGGTAGTGGGGCGCGATGTGGCTACGTGTAGATAATCGACAGCCGTGCAAATTTTGGCCATGCAACCCAAACTATGAACCCTGTAAGTGGAGGGGGAACAGCAAAACTACACGAACTCGCTGTCTCCTCTCTCTCCTGAAACCCTCTCGTTGTGGCCATCAGATCGACGTTGACATTTAGCCCCCCGTGCCACACTGCTGCTGCCATCGTGCGCAAGAACAGAATTCCAACTTGGTGAATTGCAGGTACTTTAAAAAATAATTGGACCATGCCACCGGCATACATGGTAAGTAAAGCTCGAGATCTGAGCTTATGACTCGTGCTATCGTTGGTTTGGGACACAGGGCATCAATTAACGCTGAAAAGATCGAGGCGAAGGACTATGGTTAGGGGGGGTTAAGGCTACAGTTAGGGCTACGCGGTGAAGACGACGATCAAGCCTAGGTTTAGGAGTTAGAATTCTTGTTCGGGTTAAGGCTGGCGTGAGGGTTTACCGAGGAAAGATCTCGGGTAAAGGCTAAAATGGCAGATAGAGTTCTGGGTAGTTACATAGGATATGGGCAGATGTCGAGTTTGGGTTAATAGTTAATATTACAGCTATAGTTAGGTTGAGCGTCTAAGGATTATGGCTATGGTTAGGGATTTGTATTTAATGGTTAGGATTAGGGATAGAGTTTGAATTAAGTGTTAGGAGTAGGACTTTAGTGAGGGCTCGAGTTTGTGGTTATGTATGTTGAAGTTCTTTCGCACCGTACACAGCCAACCTTGCTACTCAGAGGTGCAGGGGGGTGGGGGTCATGGTTATTAGGGCTATGATTGGGGCTATGATTGGGGCTATGATTGAGGCTATGTGGCTATGATTAGGGTTGGCCCTCTCTGCTCTGAAGGGCCATTAACGAAAACGTCAGTCTTACCAGTGCTGTATGTTTCAGTTTTAAGGAACAGTTATTTTATTTGTGGTGGTGCGTTTGCTCAGTACACCGCTACCACGAATCAACGCAGTCCTTTCGATTTTTACTTGAATGACAACATTAAATGCTTATTTTGTCCCAAACGAGACGTGACCACAAAATGAACAAAGCATAATTATGAGTCATTATTAGATTAATGAATACAGGAAATCGGAATTAAAACAGCAGTTTCTTTTCACCCGCATGACTTTGTTGAGACAGCAGTAATTGTTTAATCTCAATTCAGATGCACACTCAAAAGTAGCCGTGACAACAGACGATGACAATTGTAACTATGATCACGTTAATTATGTTAATGCCGCAGGCACGAACATAAACACACCTGTAACGTAGAAAGGCCAGCGCCTCATTCCATCTCATTCCAAGTGCCACTGCAGGCAGCTGCTTCCATCAACATCCTTATCATCAGCTTCATCATCATCAGCTTCATCATCATCGTCGTCATCATCAACCGTTATAATCGGAGGTGTGGGGAAGGACAACAAACTCAACACAAAAATAAGTTCTAAAGAAAGGCACTAACCAGAATACACTCAAGTTACTTGCCAAACCAGTGGTTACGGCTTTCTGATGAGCATTAATAAACGAGCCTCAAGTTGTTTACACTATTGGAACCTCATTTGCCAGTAAAAAATATGATAATTGTTTTTTTACCCTTCTATCTGGCAACAAAACTGACACCTTTTTTTACAAGGAGTCATGTTTGCATAGACCACAATACCTGCAGTCATAATGCAAACAAAAAACACTAGGCTCTAAGGAAAGCTGTCTCGGGTGTGGACCAATCAACTTCAAGGACAGTGCATACATTATCAGAGTTATGTTTTTTGTTTGCATTATGACTGCAGGTATTGTGGTCTATGCAAACATGACTCCTTGTAAAAAAAGGTGTCAGTTTTGTTGCCAGATAGAAGGGTAAAAAACAATTATCACTGACCCTCAAGTTGCTACACCAATGTGTATCGGCCAATAGCTCGCCTTCGCCGATCATCACCAATGAGTAAGCTCGCCGTTTTTACACGCTTTTATTTAACTCACTCTGCCTGTTGTTGTTGTTGTATCCTCAAATCTTGTCACTCAATTTTAACCCACTTCCCAATGTGGTATCGACTGCAAATTTGGTATACTTATGTCATACTGATGACAATAGCATATTCTATCATAAAAAATAACAATTTTAAACGATCTTTTTACACGCTTTCTATGAACTCACTCTGTTGTTGTTGCCGTATCCTCAAATCTTGTAACTCAATTTTAACCCACTTCCCAATGTGGCATCGACTGCAAACTTGGTATAGTTATGTCATACTGATGACAATACTATATTCCATCAAAAAAAATTAAAACAGTTTTTTAAAAACATTAATTTTTCTTTGTTATGTTTCGGCTTGGGTCTAATTGTCCACGCTCAACTGACGTTGGCTGTAAATCACCACGGCCCCTTTACGCTGTGGCAAGCTTTGCGAACATTTCCTGGAGTCGTGGAGTTCTGCCATTACTCGTACGGTACATTTCATTAAAGCGTGTCTTCAAAAAAGTTTTTTTTATATTACTTATTACAGCTCAACTTAGCCAGTGGCCCACTGATGAGAACCAACAACGAGTTTTACGCCTTCGCTCAACGTTCAAGATCGTTGTACGAGTCGCGCTTTGCTCCTGACGAAAATTTCCCAAAATTTGGTTCAGACCTCACCGATGAGCACAGCAAGGATGACCGGCGATTACGCCAACAACGATCTTCGCGCCGCTGTTCAGCCAGGCAGGGTGGCCACCCGGAATTCTACTCCCAATATCCATAATCGAGTATATTTTGGGTTAGAGCGTGTACATCTAAATGCGTCGTAAAACCCGCAAACTAATTGGCACGTTTTATTTTCGTGGCAAAACCTCACGAATTGGATGTGTCGGGTGGTGGCGGGTTTAACGACACATTTACGTGATCTAATGCAAAAAAATACTCTCTTATGGATATTGGTCTTGAAAGCCTACTACGCCATTGGAACCTCATTTGTCAGTAAAAAATGATGTTTTTTTACCCTTCTATCTGGCAACAAAACTGACACTTTTTTTTTACAAGGAGTCATGTTTGCAAAGACAACAATACCTGCAGTCATAATGCAAACAAAAAACATAACTCTGATGTATGCACTGTCCTTGAAGTTGATTGGTCCATACCCGAGACAGCTTTCCTTAGAGCCTAGTCTCACATGGTGTTGGACCAGATGACGCCAAAAGGCGCACTACTACGTGTTATACATTCCACCCCACCCTTCACATACACCACATGCACAGCAGCAGCAGCAACAGCATCCGAGTCATCTTGCACTTTCAATGAACACCGAGGCGACGCACAGCCGTTCCGGCCAGCGAGCCTCCGAGTCGCGCTCAAACTTTTGCGAAACTGTGCACATTCCGATTTAAAGCTTTCGTGACTGCAGGGATTTATCTTCTTGGTTCTTTCGGTAAAGTCACGTAGAAGGGAAGTAATAAAATAATAAAAATAAAACATAATAAAATAATATAATAAAATAATATAATAGCTTTAAAATGTTATTATTTCCCTTCTACGTGACTTTACCGAAAGAACCAAAAAGATGTGCACATTCCGTTGCGTCTTACTCTCATGACAATCACAACTGGCCAGTGACTGCCAAACATCACGACGCTGATGCGAGTTTGCCGAAGATCACTCAATAACTTGGGTGGTGTTCGGCGCCAATCGGTTGTTAACCGAACGTTTCCTCCCAGCTTTAAAATGTAACATCTTTCGTTTCATCATATGTATGTATACACACAGTATACGGGATTTAGTTCTATAAAACAGCCACTCTGTGCTAAATACACACACATGCATATTTGTGATGGACAGGACTGTTAAGAGTGCAAAAACAAATGCTCACACTTACGAATTACACAGTGCCTCTACCATGTACAGCCAGTGTCGTAATCATTTGACCAATTTTACAAGTAATCCTATTACTCTGTTGTTCCTGTGTTAATCTGGTTACCCTTCCTAACTACCAGATGCATGTCCTAGTAGTTGCTCGAAAAATAATTACTTAACATTTTAGATGAGACACGGCATAGGGTGGGTGGCCTTCATCCAGTGGCTTGCTGGCTGCATTCCTGGGCCACCTGGCTGCCTTGCGGGGGGGGGCCATGTGTGCGATGGTGATGCCACCTGCATCCCCCCACAGCGTTGAGCCGCGTTCGTGCATCGCGCCCCCCACCCCGCTCGGCCACCCTCCACCCCGGCCGTGTATCATCGACTACATCAGACAAAAGTTTGGCTGGCTGGCTGGCTGGCTGGTTGGTAGAAGAGAGGGACAGAGGGGATGGGTGGATGGACGGACGCGTCAAAAGGACGAGCAAGCGGCTAATTTAAAATGACGGCGCAACTCCGAAATAAATTACCGGAGGAATTGATGCCAGCAGGTTTGCTTGATGCTCGGCGTGGCAGCAGCTCATGCAGTCAGATCACAAAACACAGCCACGGCTACAGGCGAGCGATGTCGTTTGCGAGCCTCAATCGAACCTCATTATTATTTTTTTAAAGAGTAATCGCGAAAGCAATAAAGTGACGCGGCCCACTCAGCGGGGTGTCTTTTAACCATCGACCATAACACACTACGCGCAAGTCTGCTTCACGGTAGACGCTTAAATACCCGCTCACCTGATGCCGCTAAAAACGAGCAGGACGTACCGCGCACGTGCGTGACCACTTCAGCAGCAATTGGTTCAAGCGAGCCTGGCTCTGCTGGCGAGACAGGGAACGTCGAAACCGGTCCGGAGTTTGCTTGCATCGATACCAACGCCGCTGAAATGACGCACTCCAAGGAGGCCGTGCAGCCGATTAGGTGTGTTAAAAAGACTGGCATGGCAAGATATGGGAGGAGGCATGTCGTTTGCTTACACTGGTCAACACACTTTTTCTGGCATAAGGTATTCCAACGGTTTTAATGTGCTGATTCCAAATCTGGCATCAGTTTTTGTCTATCACATCAGGTTTTTGAGATATCAAATATTGCATTTTCAATAAAAACTGCGGAAGAAAAATATTAAATAAATGTGGATATCTACATAAAATGATATTATAAACACACTATCCTAAAAATACGGCACCATATTTTAACATTAAAGCAGTCACTGACTCGCAACAACTTGCAATCAAAAGTGAGTTAATTCCGGGTAAAATAAATGAAAATGGGGTATGCCGATAGCATAAAATGAGATGTGATAGAGCAAATCTGAGATCAGATTTGGAATCAGCACCCTGTGAAATTAGTTTAAAACAGCTGCAAAAGTCCAGGCCAGAAAAAAATGTTTTTATTTTGTTGACCAGTGTAATTAATCTTCTTACTCGACATTTTAATGCTTCCTTCTCTCTTGCAACACCTCCCTCTCCTACTTTTGCTCTCACGCCCTCTTTGCTCTGAGACTGAGAGTCAAAGTAGCCATGCAGTGATGGTGGAGTGATTCACAGTGTGCCGTTATCTAAAATGCCTTCCAAGACCTGTGTATGGATGGAGGGTGGTGGGGGCTGGGTATGAAGTGTTGAAGGTCGCGTACTGAGGTATGCATAACAAAGATCCCCTGTATCGCCTTAACAGACTGTTGGAGCAAGTGCTGTTAGCGAGCACCTATGAAGGCCGGCATGGCACATGAGGGGCTGGGTGTCCAGCGCCACGCCCGGCCGCCTTTGTCTCTCCAGTGGCGATGCTTAAATACCGCAACGGGTACTCATTTGAGGCCTAGTCGAGCTAGGCGAGGCCCATGACTGATTCAGATCATTGTTGGTGTTGGCCGTGAGCGGGAATCGAACACAGGTCGCTGGATTCGTAGCGGAGCGCGCTAACCGCTGCGCCACCGCTCTGTTTGAACACACACAGGTGCGTGTATATCGGGGTACGGTCCCTGCAACTGCTTTGCTCACGTCACTGCTGCCAGAAGGGCCCTCCGCCAGAGTGAACTCTACGTGCTGTGTGCCCCGCCCGACTCGTCCTTGGAAGAGGTGGGCATGCGTGCCGCTGAAACGCTGCCGTAGTTCGGCTATTCGTACCGTACGAACGTACGACAGAGTCGTGTGTGTTTGTATGAACCTTATGGCGGGACCCCGGGGTCCCATAAGCCCCCGGCTCTCGCATAAACATTATATTGTAATGTGAACAAAAACTTTGCTCTTTTAAAGGATGTTGGCAAGTGTTGTCTTGTTACGCTATGCCTTTAAAACTGAATACACTCTGTCAATCATCGCGTTTCTCAGTGTGGATTTGTGAACACGCTTTGTAAACAGTACATAAAATAGTACGCGTTTACAATGCGCTGTTCATATTGTAACAAGCGTTTATACCGATGTTACTCTACAGAGTAGTGAGTCTCCGCTCCTCTAATCCGCGTTGATACGAGCGGTATGTGGGGACTATGGCTTAACCGCAAAAAAAACCTATTTGCACAGATGCATACGGACAAGAGAAGTATTATCAAACAGGAGGAATTAACGGTGCAACGCATTTCATCTGTTAAATATCTGCAGGTAATAGGATTGTCATCGATTGATCCTGGCTGCAGAGATTGGTAGGTCACAAATAATAATGAAGAGAGCAGTTTCACTGTATTATGCATCCCGTGATGACAAATAAAGGACTTAAGTCGTGTAGGCAGTTTGAGCAGCTTTGGATAAGACTTATGATCCTGCCCATACCCGAGCATGGAGTGCAGCATTCGCTAGTTCAGCTCTTGTGCGCATTCGTCCTCGCTGCCGCTGCGCTTGGACGACGACACGACAACAGAAAGATCCGCGCCAGGTGGGTCGCGGCGTTTATGTGCGTGGTGGGACGGAGGCGCCCAAAATAAATACATTATTTACTGTTGTGACTTCCGTTCATTCGGGACCCCGGGGTCCTGCCATAAGGTTCATATATCCAAGCTTAACGTGCTCGTGGCACCTTGCCATACACGACGATAGAGAATTTCAGTTCCGTGCGAGTGAAGGTGCGTGTGTCTGTGCGCGTGTAGGTGCGTGTGTGTCCGTGCGCGTGTATGCGGGTATCAATGTGTGTGTAGGGGTGTGTGTAGGTGTGTGTGTAGGTGTGCGTGTAGGTGTTTGTTTGGGGTTGCGTGTAGGGGTGTGGAGAGGTGTGTGTGTAGGTGTGTGTGTAGGGGTGTGTGTAGTTGTGTGTGTAGGTGTGTGTGTAGGAGTGTGTGTAGGGGTGTGTGTAGTTGTGTGTGTAAGTGTGTGTGTAGGGGTGTGTGTAGGTGCGTGTGTAGGTGCGTGTGTAGGTGCGTGTGTAGGAGTGTGTGTAGGGGTGTGTGTGTGTAGGCGTGTGTGTAGGGGTGTGTGTGTAGGGGTGTGTGTACGGGTGTGTGTGTAGGCGTGTGTGTAGGGGTGTGTGTGTAGGTGTGTGTGTAGGGGTGTTTGTAGGTGCGTGTGTAGGGGTGTGTGTAGGGGTGTGTGTGTAGGGGTGTGTGTAGGTGCGTGTGTAGGGGTGTGTGTAGGGGTGTGTGTAGGTGCGTGTGTAGGAGTGTGTGTAGGGGTGTGTGTGTAGGCGTGTGTGCGCGTATTTGTGCGTTACGCGCATCTGCTTGCGCGCGTGTCTTCACTGCCACTCCAACGTGACGGCCTCGGACAGTGGCACGGTGAGGTTCGACACGGACAACACCTGGGGGACACGGGGACAACGTGAGCACCCTCGCCACAGCCCTTGTACCCTCCCCCCTGGCCTCGCATTAATATTCACCACAACTTTGTGTTAAAATGCGGCCCCCCCCTCCTTCCCCCCATCACCTTCCCCTCTCTGTGCCCCCCTCCCCCCCCCGTGCCCCCTGTGCCCCCCGTCACCTGCGTGGTGTTGGTGTAGGAGAAGGAGACGTCGCCTCCGTTGAGGCGTACGCGGTTGGGGCGCCGGGGGACGCCCATCACGGAGACGGAGCCGAGCGGGGGCAGTGGAGTGCCGGGTGCGGCATGCAGCACGGTGGAGTGCAGCGTGCCCTACAAAGAGAAAGATCCCCCGTATAGCCTGAGCTGACTGTTGGGGCAAGTGCCGAGTCGATCGACTCGGGTGTCCGGATTTGTACCGCGGCGCGCTGACCGCTACACACGCATGTAGAAAGACAAAGATCCCCAGTGTAGCCTTAACAGACTGTAGGGGCAAGTGCTGTTAGCGAGCACCCATGAAGGCCGGCACGGCACACGAGGGGGTGGGTGGCCAACACCACGCCCAGACGCCTTTGTCTCCCCAGTGGCAATGTTTACACACCGCACCAGGTACTCATTTCTGGCCGAGTCGACCTAGGGGAGGCCCAGGACCGGATCAGATAATCGTCACTGGTGTTGGCCGTGAGCGGGAATCGAACCCGGGTTGCCAGGTTCATAGCGCAGCGCGCTAACCGCTACCCCACCGCTCCCCACAGGTACACACACGCACGCGTACACACAGCTACGCAAGCCCCCAATCCACCAACGGCTGCTCCCCTGCCTGACCTGCGTGACCTTGAACTTGAGGGCCCAGTATCGGCCGCTCTGCAGGGGCCCTGGGGTGTCCCCGTCATCCCAGAAGAGGTCCCCTTGGGCCTCCTCTTCCTCTCCGCCATTGTCACCCTCGTCGGAGTCCGGTGGCCGTAGCGCAGCCACGATGCCCAGGGGATTCCCGCGACTCGCACTGCTCGTCGTGTCAGGGACCTGAGGGCAGACGGGAGGGGAAAAAGGGAGCGTGGCGTGGGGGGGGTGGCGGGGACCCAGGGGGGGCGGGGATGCGGGGAAATGATGGAACGCGTGAGAGCACAGGCAGATGAGCGAAGATGCGAGGAAACGCAGGGAGACAGCACGGAGCCATGAGGGGACATGAGAGGGAGACGAGTGGATCAGAGACGCGGTTCGGTTCATCGCGGCCACCTCTGCCCACGTGGCGAACCTCCCTGGGATCCTATGGGGGGGCGGGGGGGTGGGGGGGTGGGGGAAGTGCCACCGCGCTCACCTGTTGGGGCACGATGAAGCCGGCGCGCAGGTGCAGGTTGATTTTGTCGAGCGGAGCGTCGAGGGTGAAGTTCTCCCCTTTGCTCCGGATCGCCGATCCCTGGGGGAAGGAGGAGAGAGAGGGAGGGGGGTGCCCAGACTGAACTCGCTGACCTCGAGAATAAGCCACGCACTCGCGTCAATTATTCTGTGTCACTTGCCAGCATTGATGAGAACTCGATTGTTTGGGACTAGGCCACGTAATTATCTGATTAAATTGAATTATTCTAATGTATTCTATGAGATCTCTTTTACCAGTGGCAAAATATAGTAGTAGGTTTTTACCCTTTTAAACTGGTACAAAACTGACACCTTTATTCAAGGCATCATGTTTGCAATAACCACAACACAAGTAGTCAAAAAAGCAAACAAAAAGAAGCCATCTCGGGTGTGGACCAATCAACTTCAAGGACAGTGCATATTATTATCATTATCAGAGTTGCTTCTTTTTGTTTGCTTTTTTGACTACTTGTGTTGTGGTTATTGCAAACATGATGCCTTGAATAAAGGTGTCAGTTTTGTACCAGTTTAAAAGGGTAAAAACCTACTACTATTCTAATGTATATTTATAGAACGCCTTCACTCAAGTCGCTCTATGACGTAGCTTACAAAACGATGACACAGAATGGAATTATACTGGTAGGAACCTCCTGGTTACACCAGCCCACAGGGGATTATTGTGTCCGTCCGTCGTGCAGGGAGGGGCTGGGTGGGGAGGGTGGGGAGGGGCTGGGTGGGGAGGGTGGGGCTGGGTGGGGGGTGGGAGGGGTGGGGCTGGGTGGGGAGGGGCTGGTCACCCCGTGGTGCCCTTACAAAACTCAACGTTTAACCTACTCACACCGGCTTGTGCCCACCCTCACAGTCGGGCATATTTGCGGAATACACCACGCCGCCGTTGAACCTGGCCATTGACCGAGCAACCCAACGTTCCTACCAGCTCCCTCCGCAGGAGGAATGTGTTGTCGATGGCAGGGGCGGTGCTACAGAGATTGAGAAATGAGCGACAGCGATAGAGGGGTACTTCGGGATCACTCCTTCCCGTCCCGAGTGGAAGGAGTGGAGGAACGAAGGGAGGAAAGAGGAAGGGAATTGGGCAACAGAGAAGAGGTGAGGATTGAAGACGCTCTGCCACCAGACTGGGCCAAATTAAATTGTCACGTGGTGCACAAGGGATTTACTGTGCCAATTCATACTGTTTCAGTTGAAGAATAATTCTCACAACAAAATTTAGCTCATAGATACATTTAGTGTTTCACTTGTGATACACTTGTGATACACTTGATACAGCAAATCTGGCTGTGACGGTCCAACCTGATGACGGAGACTTGTGTTTTGCCTCCGAAACGTCGTGATTTATTTTATTTTATTTGTATTAATTTTTATTAAAATTTTTTACCTACATGACTTTACCGAAAAAACTAAGAGTATGAATCCTTGCAGTCACGAAAGCTTCAAATCTAGAATGGAGATGACAATAGGCAACAAAAGTTTTGTGGTGGTTCCAAAACCTGGGAGCAGCCACGTTAAATGCTCTTCAGCCAAATTACGTGTGAAATCTGGGACCTATTAACAGGATTAATAGGATCTGCGGCGCAGATTATTAGGACTGTCCAATGGCAAGAACAGACTTAACGTGGAGCACCTCCCAGGGGTGTGGGGGTGATGTGGCCGGAGCGTACCGCTGGGTGTCCGTGGTGCGGTGCGCGATGGTGCGGCGTACCGTGTAGAAGTCGTACCACGTGCCGGCCGGAAGGTAGGCCTGCACGGACCGTGCGCCTTCCTCCAGCGCCGGCGAGACGAGGAGCGCCGGCCCCCACAGCAGCTGCCGGTCGATGGCGTACGCCTGCTCGTCATGCGGAAACCTTGCGCCGTTGAGCACACACGCACACACAAAGACAAAGATCCCCCGTATAGCCTTAACAGACTGTAGGGGCAAGTGCGGTTAGCAAGCACCTATGAAGGCCAGAACGGTACACGAGGGGGTGGGTGGCCAGCACCACGCCCGACCGCCTTTGTCTCCCTAGTGGCGATACTCACACATCGCACCAGGTACTCATTTGAGGCTGAGTCGACCTAGGGGAGGCCCAGGACCGGTTCAGATAACCGTCACTGGTGTTGGCCGTGAGCAGAATCGAACCCGTGTTGCCGGGTTCATAGCGCAGCGCGCTAACCGCTACACTACCGCTCCCCACACACGCACACAAGCACACACGCGCACACACGCACACACGCTACGTGAGCAACGCTGATCGTGATGAGCCGTTGACTGACGTTGGCTTTGCATGAAGGAACCAGATCAGCAGCACGACGTCTCCTTCGCATACAAGTGTAGAGGAGTAAAATGGGGACGTGACGTCATGTGTGCCATCATGTGTGCCGTCCAGTGCGATGACGTCATGTCTCGTGGAGTACTTAAGGGAAACTCCGTGATGAGAGCAGGGGCACTGTGGGAACGGGTTGAGTGAGAAGGGTAGAGAGAGGGAACCAGGGGTAGAGGGGCGAAGTCGTGAGTCTGGAAGGACGCCGGTGGTAGCCGTAGAGGTGCTTCTCTCTCCGGTCGGTGGAGTCGGCAGAGTCACCGATCCGACACGAGAGAGAGAGACCGGAGCTAGCCGGGTAGGGACCAGGACTCAGCATAGGAGCTCTAGCCCCTGGCAGTTGTGTACCCTTGTGTGTTAGATTGTAACATCTCTAATCAACCTTTGGCGAAGTCCATAACTTTACCTCCGTCTCTGAGTGCGTCCTGGGAACTCCTCAATACAAGCGTCCCTCCACATTATTTCGCGCATCGACCCGTGTCGATCGGCGAGAGTTTTGTGTAAACGAGTCGGTGAATCAGTTTGGTTCTGCTGTTGGAGCGCGGTTTGTGGAGTCTGTAAATGATGACCCATCCGACACGGGAGACGCTTGTATCGTCCGATGCAGAGCGCCGGTCAACCCACCTCAACAGCACGGTCATCTCAGCCGACAGAGAGAGTCGTCGGACACGGCCAATTAGTAAGGTTTGTCGTGTAAACAAAACGTGCCAATTAATTACAACTTCAGGCCACCAGTGTTTTGGAGAGTAATTTCCCAACATTTACAATGTGAATACGACATTTCGCTGATAACTTACATCAAGCATCATTGGGCGATCTTTCCAGAATTGTGTCAAACTGAGGACAAGGGTGAGAGTGAGGGCAGCAGGGAGCGAAGTTATGAGAGGGGGGTGAGGGATGGAGAGTTGGAGGAAAGAAAAAGGGAGCTCACTCAAAATTGAGAGGAAGAAAGGATGCCGAGTGGGAGTGAGGTAGGGAGCGAGTGAGCGAGTAAGGAGAGAGTAAAATAATGAAGTAGAGTAAACAGTCAGGGTTAAGGGTGCAAGGCTGGTGGATGGTGAGACGGAGCGAGGGAGGAAAATGTGGAATAAGGGAGTAAGGAGGGAGTGAGTAAGTAGTGAGTTCAGATTATGAGAGAGTGATGGGAGTGAACTTCTATCGCAACGTACGTAGCCAACCATGCTAATCGGAGGAGTGAAGCTGTGAGGGAAGCAGTAGTAAGGAGAGAAGAAGGGGGTGATGGGAGTGAAGCGGTGAGGTGGGAGGGAGGGAGGGAGGGAGGGGGAGGGGAGGGAGGCCGGGGGACCCCGTCTCACTCGAAGAAGAGAGGCCGTGCCACGGTGCTTCCGCTCTGGTGAGCGCCCATGAAGAGCGAGTACAGGAGGGGCAGCAGCGAGTAGCGCGTGAGGAGCGCTCGCCGCATCGCAGCCTGAGCAGCGGCCGAGAACACCGTGGGGTCCTGGGGCTACACACGCAACGCACACACACACACACAATGTATACACACGTAACGCAACACACACACACACAATGTATACACACATAACGCAACACACACACACACAATGTATACACACGTAACGCGCACACGCACGCGCGCGCAAACAACAAAGACATAAATGCACACACACATGCATTAGTACACAGGTCCGCACACACAAATACAAAACATCCATACGTACAAAGGTGCGCACACACATGCAGCAGGTACATAGGTGCACACACACACACACAACGCCCGCACACACACGCATGCGTACACAGGTGTGCGTACACGCGCGCACTGAAGCACACAGGCGTACGAAGAAACAAAACGGCACTTTCCCCAAGAGTAAGTCGAAGGCTATACGGGGCATCTTTGTCTTTGGTGTGCGAGTCTCACGGCGGCGCCGATGGTGTTGTGGTTGCGGGAGAAGGGGTAGAAGGCTCCGAGCTGCATCCACCGCACGCACAGCTCCTCGTTGGTGTCGCCATTAAAGCCACAGATGTCGGCTCCCACCAGCGGCACGCCGAAGAGGTTGAAGTTCAGGACGCCTGGGAAGAGGGGACGGGTGCAGCGACAACAGCAGCAGCAGCAGCCATTCGCCACTAAGCGGCGGTGACGTCACCACGGGGCTCGTGCACCAGGCTAGGTGCACTTTGAGGCCACGTGATGAAGTGTCGGAGGGTCGCCCGCTGGGCAGGAGGTCACGGGACGGGGCCAAGTGGCACGGCGTTGACTGTAACGTTCTTACCCGCCCCGACTGGACATCTGTGAAAAAAAGGCTTTGTAGCTCATTGGATTTTTCCAGTATAAATAAATATTCTGATTCTGACTAGCAGATGTACGCACACGCACACAAAGGCAAACGTCCCCCGTATAACCTTAACAGACTGTTGGGGCAAGTGCTATCAGCGAGCACCTATGAAGGCCGGCACGGTACCCGATAGGGTGGGTTGGCCAGCACCACGCCCGACCGCCTTTGTCTCCCCTTAGTGGCGATGTTTACACACCGCACCAGTTACTCGTTTGAGGCGAGTCGACCTAGGGGAGGCCCAGGACCGTTTCAGATAATCGTCACTGGTGTTGGCCACGGGCAGGAATCGAACTCGCGTCGCCGGGTTTGTAGTGCATCGCGTGCCGTGCTGGCCTTCATAGGTGCTGCTCGCCAACAGTACTTGCGCCAACATTATGTTAAGGCTACACGGGGGATCTTCGTCTTTGTGTGCGTGTATGCGTGCGCGTGGGCCCTACCGGCTATGGAGCAGGCCAGGTCCTTCCACGTGCTTCGGTTGTCTCCAAGCCAGTGGCCCGCGTAGTGGCCGTGGCTCGGGAAGGTGGAGCGGGAGATGATCAGCGGCCTCCTGCCCCTGAGCTCCTCCATTGCACTCCCCGTCGCCACCGCCACCATCGCCGCCGCCACCGCCGCCACCGCCACCGCACACAAAATCAACGACCGCACGTTAACCGCAAGCCACACGCACCGGTAACCATGAGCGTCGCATTGTGGGGGGAGGGGGGGGGGTAAGTCAATGGTGGTTGGCCCCCGTGAATAGACGCGCTGCCCACCACAGCAATGTGGAATGTCCACCACTGGGCTCTGCAGTGCTGTGAGCAGGAGATGAGCTCGTCTGGCTTCAAGCCTTCGGCTGCAGGCAGTGTGGGCCGAGCGGAGGGTGGACGAGCGAGTCCGTACGTACGTTGAACTTCTCTCGCGCACCGCACGTAGCCAACCGTGCCAAGCGGAGGTACGGGGGAAGGACAACAAACTAAACACAGAAAGCAGTTCTAAAGAAATGAGTTTTCACATTTAGATTGAAAAGTGCATAGCCCCAGTGCATCTGAAAGTGCACGACGCCGTGATCGTCTTTGTTCGATGGTTAGCCAAAAGCCGCTGCGAGGATGACCAGAGTTCGCGCGACGGTTTACGCTCCTTGACAAGAAAGGGATTGTGGTTCATTTGTGGCGAGCACTTTTGTGTGTAATGAGCGGGAGCTTGTAATGTAGTCGGACACCGAGAGGCCAGGTGAGAGTACAGGTGAGCTACCTGTAGGAGACCATGGCCTCGGTGAGCCCGTACAGGTTGTGCAGGTTGTAGTGGGAGGAGATGGACTGCCGCGCAGACGCGCAGATCGTCTTTGCCTTCAGAGAGTCTCCCTGCACGGCTGAAACACGGAGAGATATACCGACACAATGTTTTGTATATATTGAGATGGAGGAAGATCCCATCTACATAGGCTACCGGGGCAATGAGCGAGCGCGTCTGGAATACAGCATGGCGTACAACAGCCGACGTCTATAAGCATGTGTGCGTGTGCACTATTGTGTGTGGGGAGTGGTAGTGTAGCGCGCTGCACTATGAACCCGGCGACCCGTGTTCGATTCCCGCTCACGAAAACCAACACCAGTGAACCGTTCCTGGGCCTGTGCCCTGAGGTCGACTCAGCCTCAAATGAGTACCTGGTGCGGTGTGTAAACATCGCCACTGGGGAGACAAAGGCGGTCGGGCGTGGTGCTGGCCACCCACCCCCTCGTGTGCCGTGCAGGCCTACATAGGTGCTACTCGCTAACAGCACTTGCCCCAAAATACTTTAAAGGCTATACAGGGGATGTTTGTGTGTGTACGTGTGTGGGTGTCTGTGTACGTGTGTAGGTGTGTGTGTGTGTACGTGTGCAGGTGTGTGGTTGTGTACGTGTGTAGGTGTGTGGGTGTGTACATGTGTAGGTGTGTGTACGTGTATGTGTGTAGGTGTGTGAGTGTGTACGTGTGTGTGTACGTGTGTAGGTGTGTGGGTGTGTACGTGTGTAGGTGAGTGTGTGTGTACATGTGTAGGTGAGTGTGTGTGTACGTGTGTAGGTGTGTGTGTGTATATGTACGTAGTATAGCGGTTAGCGCGCTGCGCTATGAACCTGGCGACCCGGGTTCGATTCTCGCTCACGGCTAACACCAGTGACGATTATCTGAACCGGTCCTGGGCCTCCGCTAGGTCGACTCAGCCTTAAATGAGTACCTGGTGCGGTGTGTAAACATCGCCACTAGGGAGACAAAGGCGGTCGGGCGTGGTACTGGCCACCCACCCCCTCGTGTACCGTTCTGGCCTTCATAGGTGCTCGCTAACAGCATTTGCCCCTACAGTCTGTTAAGGCTATACGGGGGATCTTTATGTACATGTGTAGGTGTGTATGTGTACATGTGTAGGTGTGTGTGTACGTGTGTAGGTGTGTGTGTGTGTGTGCGTACCAGGAGTGTAGGGTGGGTTCTCCAGCTCGTTATTGGGACATCCGTCCACCGAGCCATCCACGAAGTTAGATGGCTCATTCATGTCCTGCGCGAGGAGAGGGGCGATGGGGAGAGGGGCGATGGGGAGAGGGGCGATGGGGAGAGGGGCGATAAGGAGAGGGGCGATGGGGAGAGGGGTGATGGGGAGAGGGGTGATGGGGAGAGGGGCGATGGGGAGAGGGGCGATGGGGAGAGGGGCGATGAGGAGAGCGGTGATGGGGAGAGGGGTGATGGGGAGAGGGGCGATGGGGAGAGGGGTGATGGGGAGAGGGGCGATGAGGAGAGCGGCGATGGGGAGAGGGGTGATGGGGAGAGGGGCGATGGGGAGAGGGGCGATGGGGAGAGGGGCGATGGGGAGAGGGGTGATGGGGAGAGGGGTGATGGGGAGAGGGGCGATGAGGAGAGCGGTGATGGGGAGAGGGGTGATGGGGAGAGGGGCGATGGGGAGAGGGGCGATGGGGAGAGGGGCGATGAGGAGAGCGGCGATGGGGAGAGGGGCGATGGGGAGAGGGGCGATGGGGAGAGGGGCGATGGGGAGAGCGGCGATGGGGAGAGGGGCGATGGGGAGAGGGGCGATGGGGAGAGGGGCGATGGGGAGAGGGGCGATGGGGAGAGGGGCGATGGGGAGAGGGGCGATGGGGAGAGCGGCGATGGGGAGAGCGGCGATGGGGAGAGGGGCGATGGGGAGAGGGGCGGAGGGGAGAGGGGCGATGGGGAGAGGGGCGGAGGGGAGAGGGGCGATGGGGAGAGGGGCGATGGGGAGAGCGGCGATGGGGAGAGGGGCGATGGGGAGAGGGGCGATGGGGAGAGGGGCGGAGGGGAGAGGGGCGATGGGGAGAGGGGCGATGGGGAGAGGGGCGATGGGGAGAGGGGCGATGGGGAGAGGGGCGATGGGGAGAGGGGCGATGGGGAGAGGGGCGATGGGGAGAGGGGCGATGGGGAGAGGGGCGATGGGGAGAGGGGCGATGGGGAGAGGGGCGATGGGGAGAAGGGCGATAGGGAGAGCGGCGATGGGGAGATAATGATACAGTAACGAGGTGGCATACGCTCAGTTATTTGTTCCACCGTGTGTGTGTGCACGTCGTAGCGCATCGTACATCGCCAAACTTTATCGTTAAATTATCCATGGGGAAATCGCTTTCGCTTAAACGCACTTTTCGCTGAATGCGGCACTTTTCAGGAATGTATCTACCGCGTTAAAAGAGGCCTTGCTGTACTTCTAATGGGACATCGATTTGAATTTGTATCGACAGATAATTACTGTTTAATTGAATGGTTAATCAACGGCTAAAGAGTCGTGTATCCCTTCGTGGGAAGTCATCAGTCGATAAGATTGGCCCCCAGCATAGAAATTTGGAATTTCCACTACTGGCTTTCGAACGCCGTTGGAAACGCGTGCTTCCGCATTGCTCATACGAGTAGGCCAGGCACCGCGATTGAGTGTTACGGCCGAGTGGACCAGGGGGAGGGACAAGCGCGCACGTACAATCCATAGCCCGTCGAAGGGCACGAGGTCGTGCAGGGACTTGAGGTTCTCCAACCACCAGCGGCGCGTCGCACGGTTCGTGAAGTCGGGGAACGCAGTCTCGCCCGGCCACACCTGAAACACGACGGAACACGCACTCAGACACACACTCAGACACACACTCAGGCACACACTCAGGCACACACTCAGGCACCGACTCAAGCACACACTCAGATACACTCAGACACGCACTCAGACACACACTCAACCACGCACTCAGACACGCACTCAGACACGCACTCAGACACACACTCAGACACACACTCAGACACACACTCAGACACACACTCAGACACACACTCAGGCACACACTCAGATACACTCAGACACGCACTCAGACACGCACTCAGACACGCACTCAGACACGCACTCAGACACGCACTCAGACACACACGCACACAAACACGCACTCAGACACGCACTCAGACACACACTCAGACACACACTCAGGCACACACTCAGGCACACACTCAGACACACACTCAGACACACACTCAGACACACACACAGACACACACACAGACACACACTCAGACACACACTCAGGCACACTCAGACACGCACTCAGACACACACTCAGACACACACTCAGGCACACTCAGACACGCACTCAGACACACACTCAGACACACACCTCCCCCACACACAAGCACGCACACCTCCGCACATGCACGCGCACCTCCACGCACGCACTCTTCCCCACACGCACGCACGCACGCACACCTCCACGCACACCTCCACGCACGCACACCTCCCCACACACACGCACGTAAGCACCTTTCCGATGAGAGGAGCGGTGCCGTCGGTGTTGTTGATGAAGAGGCCGCTCGCGAGCGCGACGTCGAACGCTGGGTACGTGCCACGCGGCTGGGAGCTGCTCACCCCCGGGTCCTGCGTGCACGCGGGCGTACACTTTCAGGTGCGCTTCTGCGGCCGTCTGGAACGCTCTTCTTTCTGATGTTTGGGAGCCGCTGGAGCTACGCACTTTTAAATAATTTAGATTGAAAACTCATTTCTTTACAACTGATTTTTATGTTTAGTTTGTTGTCCTTCCCCCACACCTCCGATTAGCACGGTTGGCTACGTACAGTGGTGACAAAGAAGTTCAACATACGTACGTACGTACACACGCGACGTGCGTACGCATCGAGACGTCGCCGTGGCCAGAGCCCCTGATGGCACCGCCGCACCGCACATCCAACGCCGTCTATCCCTCCTGCAGACCCTGAAGCTGCTGCACTGGAGACGCTGCTCAGCGTCTCTGACCCGGGTATCAATCCCCTAGGCCTCCTCCCTGAGGTCGACTCAGCCTCAAATGAGTACCCGCTGCGGTGTGTAAACATCGCCATTGGGGAGACAAAGGCGGTCAGGCACGGTGTTGGCCACCCACCCGCTAGCACTTGCCCCAAACAGTCTGCTAAGGCTATGGGGGGGGGGATCTTTGTTTGTGTATATCCACCTCTAATCCAGCCCAGGGGTTTCCTGAACCCGGACCCCGTGTCTCCGGAATTCTCATGGTGCGAGCTCGAACACACACGTGTGCGCCACGTGTGCGTTCGTGCATGTCACACGCACAAGTGCGTGCACACACACGTACCAAGATGACGACGTATTTCTGGCCGTGCGCGTGCAGGTCTTGCACCATGGCCGGGAGGCTCGCGAAGGCCTTCGTGTCGTACGTGAACACGAGACGCTTGTGCATGTACTCAATATCGTTCCACTGCGCATCCTGCAACAACACCACGTGACCCGTACAATAACGATAACAACAACCAAAAACAATGTCGCCCTCTGGATCTATACAAGGCCTGCTGAGCCAATGACCAAATCACCTGGAATAATACAAAATAATGATGATGATCGTGCAGGGATCAGCAACTTGTGGCTCCACAGCCGCATGCGGCCCAGTTTATTTAGGACCCCTTTATAACCTATTCTACAGGCCCCACACTACCTTAATGCGGCACTGTGGCAGTGCTGTGACAATTCGCGCTCCCATCGAGAACCCCACACACGAACCCGCTCGCGACGATTCAGGCTCACGGTTCATTTTAACGATCGGTTGGTTCAGTTCAAGAATCACGTGGCAATGACACCTTGCTGGAGGAGGCGGGGGCAGGGAAGGTGCGTGGTGCGAGAGGGACGATAGAGGGAGGGAGAGGGAGGCAGAGGGAAGGGTGGCGGCCCGACCTGCGGGATCCCTGCCGCCCTCATGGCGCGCACGGTGCTCATGGTGCCGTCGCTGCTGTTGTAGCCCCAGCGGCACAGGTGGAAGCCCAGGGCCCAGTACGGGGGCAAGGCCGGTCGCCCTGTAGGCACGCACACGCACGCAAGCAAGCACAGACAAAGATCCCCTCCGTACGGTGAGCACTCGCTTAGTGTGCGGTGCTTATGCTATAACAGGTTTTCGCTACAAGGCGGTTCTTCCGTTCGGAATGTGCGTCCTGTTATAACGCCAAACGGGCCCCGTTATAACGTGGTTTCTCAGCGGTTGATGGCAAGCCACTTTCTTGAGCTGTGAGGACTAGTGGTACAGTGATGCACTACGCGGAAAGATACATTAAATACGGCGGCGTCGTCTCAGTTATTTGTCCAGCCATATTACAGTGTGTGTGCATACATCGTATCTCGCCAAACTGTATCATTACATTATTAGTGGGAATATTGTTTTCGCTTCAAGTATTTTTCCCTTCACGTGGCACCTTTTAGGAATGTATATACCGTGTTAAATGAGGACTTGCTGGAGAAACTTTAACAGGATTTTGGGTCAAGTGCTGTTAGCGAGTAGCACTTATGAAGGCCGGCACGGCACACGAGGAGGTGGCCGGCCAGCACCACCCCCGGCCGCCTTTGTCTCCCTCATGAGGATGCTTACACACAACACCAGATACTCACACACGCACGGACGCTCACGCACCCATGTACAAAATGTACGCACAGAGACACACGCACGCTCATGCGTGTTCGCACGCACACGTATGCACGAAACTGAAGACAAATATCCCCCTATAGCCGAAACAGGCCATCACCAGCGCACGAGGGGCTTGTTGTGGCCTGAACTATTTGACCGCCACAGCCTTGCGCGGGCTACACGGGGGTAGGGGAGGGGGGATCGTTGTCTCTGAATGTGACGTGCGAGCGAGTGCGCGAGCTGCTGACCTACGACCTCGGTGTACTGCTGCACGACGGCGTCGGGGGTGGGCCCGAGCAACACGTAGAGGTCGAGGATGCCTCCGATCGTCCGCCACGTCACGGCCGGCGCCGGCTGCAGCACCACATCTGCACGGCGGCGACATCAACAATAACAACAGCCGCCATTCGTCACTAAGTGGTGGTGACGTCACCTTGGCGCCTTTGCCAAGACAGGTGCACCTTGAGGCCACGTGTGAAGTGTCGAAGGGTCACTGGCAGGAGGTCACGAGACAGACCCAGGTGCCATGGGTTGACTGACTGAGATGATTGGCAGCTGTGCTCCCCACTGTGCTAACTTGCTGCATTTTAGCCACCCGGTGCTCCGGTCGTTGTTGTGAGCGTCGCTCCTCTGCCCTCCGTTGGTGCCGGAGGGCGACTGCCTACAACTGACCAGTAGCGTCCTTCAAGAGCCTTCTTCACAGAGGCCGATGTTGACACCACTGGTACCAGTTTTTGGCAAGTCCACTCAGATCCGTATCCTCTTGTACGACATTATTCCATCTCTCCTCTAGCCCGTGGCGTGCCCGTTTTTCAAACTCTATCCGGCCGAACAAAAGCTGAGCATGCGGTGGCTGAGCATGTGGGTTACATGACCCAGCCAACGCAGCCTTGTCTGGCCATGCGGTGGCTGGGCATGTGGGTTACATGACCCAGCCAACGCAGCCTTGTCTGGCCATGCGGTGGCTGGGCATGTGGGTTACATGACCCAGCCAACGCAGCCTTGTCTGGCCATGCGGTGGCTGGGCATGTGGGTTACATGACCCAGCCAACGCAGCCTTGTCTGGCCATGCGGTGGCTGGGCATGCGGGCTACGTGACCCAGCCAACGCAGCCTTGTCTGGCCATGCGGTGGCTGGGCATGTGGGTTACGTGACCCAGCCAACGCAGCCTTGTCTGGCCATGCGGTGGCTGGGCTTGTGGGTTACGTGACCCAGCCAACGCAGCCTTGTCTGGCCATGCGGTGGCTGGGCTTGCGGGCTACGTGACCCAGCCAACGCAGCCTTGTCTGGCCATGCGGTGGCTGGGCATGCGGGCTACATGACCCAGCCAACGCAGCCTTGTCTGGCCATGCGGTGGCTGGGCATGCGGGCTACATGACCCAGCCAACGCAGCCTTGTCTGGCCATGCGGTGGCTGGGCATGCGGGCTACATGACCCAGCCAACGCAGCCTTGTCTGGCCATGCGGTGGCTGGGCATGTGGGTTACATGACCCAGCCAACGCAGCCTTGTCTGGCCATGCGGTGGCTGGGCATGCGGGCTACATGACCCAGCCAACGCAGCCTTGTCTGGCCATGCGGTGGCTGGGCATGTGGGCTACATGACCCAGCCAACGCAGCCTTGTCTGGCCATGCGGTGGCTGGGCTTGCGGGCTACATGACCCGGCGGCGACATCACCCGTGTCATCAGAACCATCGAAACAGCCGCCACTGCCGCCACCACCACCATGGCCGCCATTAGTACCGAGACCATCAAGGGGTTGTGAGAAATCCATGGGATCGTCACGGGACTAATGGCTATCGTCAGCAGCACTATCACCAATCGCTGCCACCTCACCATCCTTACCAACAGCATCCTCACCGCTATTAGCACCACAAACTCAACCACCGCCACCACTATTACCATCACAAACACCACAACGATCATCATCATCATCACTATCACAGCCACAATAACCATCTTCAGCACCATCATCACCACCATTACTATAATTGTCAACACAACGACCACCACCATGACCCACCCAACCACTTTCACTACGAACAAAGACATATAGCCTTAATAGTGCTGTTGCATGTTGACATTTTTTGCACCATACGTAGCCAACCGTGCTAATCGGAGAAGCGGGGATAGGAAAACAAACTAAATACAAAAAACAGTTCTAATGAAATAAGCTTTCAATAAAAGTGATTTCAAAGTGCATAGCTCCAGTGGCTTTCTAACATCAGAAGAGCGTTCCAGATGGCCACAGAAGCACGTGACCACGCCCGCTGTGCGTGCAGTTTTAAAGAAGTTAGTTTTCAATCCTCACCATCAATAACGGCAACAACAAAACCGCCATTCGCCACTAAGTGGCTGTGATGTCGTCATGGCGCTTGTGCCAGGCAATGTGCACTTTAAGGCCACATGAAGTGTTTAACACCCACTGTCAGGAGGTCATGGGAAAGACCCACGTGCCATGAGTTGGCCGAGATGACTGGTCGATGCACCGCCTGTGCCCCCTACTGTGCCATCTTGCTGTGTTTTAGCCGTCCGGCGTTCCGCTTCAACACTACCACCATTTTCAAGATCACCGCCACCATCGCCACCACCGCCACCACCACTGCCACCACGCATTCTCCCCAGGATGGCCTCTCACCCATGGCGTTGCTGTTGAGCAGGAAGACTCCGTGTGCCGCTCCGCCGGCCTCCAGGGCCAGGTAGAATGGATGGGCACCGTACAGGTTCGTCGACTCCTACAAGCGGCGGCAGCAGCAGCAGCAGCAGCAGCAGCGCACAGACGGGCAACCGGCAACGGTGACAAAGCGTTCAGCCCTGCGCTGCAAGGTCAGAGTTCGAATCCCCGTTGGGGGTTCACGCGAGCCATCGTCATCATTCTTCACAGGCGTTTTGGGTTAGATCGCGTAGGACGATTTCTCCACGATTCTGGCTGTCGCTTGATGACATTGGTTGTAATAACCGACGAAACGTCATGGTGCTCAAAGTGTCAATGTTGTGGGCTTATTCTCCAACACACCGGTGTGCTGAACTAGTAACTAATTGGCATGTTTTGTTTACATGACAAACCTTACTAATTGGCTGTGTCGGGTGGTCGCACGTTTAAAGACGCATTTATATTTACGCCATCTCATCCTAAAAAACCTCTATTATGGAAAATATTGGTCGCGAAAGTCTACTACGTGTTAAACATCATCACCATCATCATTGTAATCCGCATAGTGGTGGCTCACGTAGAGCTGGAAAGTGTAACTGATTAAACATTTTGCGTGGTCGATTACTCAGGCCGAAGGATACATGATGGCCACCCCCAACATCTTTGAGTATTTGGCTGCTATAAACCCCCAACATTTAGAGTATTAGGATGCTATAAATTTCCACATGATGAGCCACTTTGCTGATCTATTCCCTGTGGCCAGGTGGTTTCTGAAAACGAGCTATATAGCTCAGTGGACCTAAAATTAAAATAGTTTAGTTTTAGTTTTTGTTTTAACATCCTGCCTCGTGAAGGCAGCACACCCCCGACAAAGCCGCACCAGGAATGACACGGCCAATGATGTCACCAAGCCCGGGCCATCACCTCCAGTCCAGCGGCACACGCGGCAATGGATGATGTTGGTGTAATCCCACGAGTCGGGTAATCGAACCGATATAATCAGTCGGTAGAGGAATGGATTTTTAAAAAATCGGATTGCAGCCCAGCTCATCACTCAAGGGACAGATCAAATTAGTGTCCTTATTGCGGGGCAGTTCAATGGTGGTTTGTCCTGCGGATAGACTGACCCCAGCTATCGGAATGTGGAATTTCTACCACTGGCCGAGAGACACCAATGGAGATGAGCATCATTACTTGCTTGCCTGGGCACTGACAAACTTTGACTTACAGCAAATGGGTTTACATCATCATTTAGTACGACCAATGTTTAAATATAGTCATTTATCAACCCTAGAGAGATGATGGGCGGGGATGACCTCTGAACACCTGGTTATAAACAGATATCATTACTTAATTTAATAATTGACTGATGGACTTCCTGATTAAATTATTTACCTATTCAATGATTCATTCATCAACTGATTGAACTGCTAACTAAATGACAGATGAAATGACTATCGAACTGACTAGCAGATCGAATGACTAATTGACTAACTGAATGAGTGAATGGCTGACTCCCGACTGAATTGAATTATAAACCAACCGACCAATTGAACGTCCAGCTGCCTGAATATGTATTCAACCAATTGAATGATAAAATAGACTGACGGAAAAGGTCCGCTGACCGACTAGGTCAGGGGTCGACAACCTGCCGCTCCGGAGCCACATACGGCTCTTTAAGGACTGTTTGGTGACATCATTTATTAAGGACCCACCCTCTTGAAATAGATTTTTTTCAAGATTTGAAATTTATTTTTTTCATCTACGTGACTTTGCCGAAAGAACCAAAGAGTATAGAGATTTTTCTTTCACAGAATATTTATTTATACTGGAGCAATCCGATGAGCTATGAATCTCTTTTTTAACAGATGCCCAGCAGGGGCACGGGGGTCACAACGGTTACGACGACAAACAATACAAAAACACGGCAGGTGTGCAAAGCATCGAATTCGGAACAAACAAAAAACCACCTCATCATTATTTCGGTTTGCTGACCCCCGGACTGGGCCTATCGATCTTTCCGTCCGACGGGCGGCTCCCCTGGCCTGACTGACCGTCGGAGGGTTGTCCCGTGCCCAGAACGACAGCCGGTTCCAGTTCACGTTTTGGCGGAGGCCGGCGCGGTGCTCCCCGAGCCCGTAGATCTGCGTCGAGGGCAGCCGCGTCGACAGGGACAGGAACTGGTCGGCAAACACGAGCGGCGCCACCGTGGTGTTGATCCTGGCGGAGAGGGAGATAGAACGGGTTTCGCTCGTGTGTGTGTGTGTCTGTGTGTGTACGCAAGGGGGCACAGGTGGTGCGTCGATCCAGGCATCTCAGTCAGTCAAGCAGTGGCACCTGGGTCTGCCCCGTGACCTTCCGCCAGCAGGTGTTAGACACTTCACGTGGCCTTAACGTGCACATGGCCTGGCACAAGCGCCGTGGTGACGTCACCGCCACTTAGTGGCGAATGGCGGTTGTTGTACGCAAATACGTATGTTGAACTTATTAGAAACCGTACGTAGCCGACCGTGCTAATCGGAGGTGCGGGGGGTGGTGCCTATTTCTGTTGGCAGCCCAGCCCTGAACTGCTTTCAAGAAATTGCACATTCCTATGACAGGGGTCAGGCTCTCCGCAAGACGGCTGGTCGGTCAGAGTGGTGGTCACTCATTAATTGACAAGTTACGGATGGTAGGCCAAGTCAACCCACCACTGGTATTTGAACTTGTGACCTGCAGTGTGTGTGTGAGAACATCCAGTGTGTGCACTAGCCTGTGTGCGCAAGTGTGTGTAAGTAAACATGTACGTGTGAAAAGTTGAGCGTCTGAATGCTTGGGTATGTATGTGTGTGCGTATGTAACGGGGAGCGGTAGTGTAGCGGTTAGCGCGCTGCACTATGAACTTGGCGACCTGGGTTCGATTCCCGCTCACGGCAAACATCAGTGACGATTATCTGAACCGGTCCTGGGCCTCCCCTAGGTCGACTCGGCCTCAAATGAGTACCTGGTGCGGTGTGTAAACATCGTCACTAGGGAGACAAAGGCGGTCGGGCGTGGTGCTGGCCACCCACCCCCTCGTGTACCGTTCCGGCCTTCATAGGTGCTCGCTAACAGCACTTGCCCCTACAGTCTGCTAAGGCTATACGGGGGATCTTTGATCTTTGATGTAACGGTTAGCGCGCTGCGCTACGAACCCGCCGACCCAAGTTTGATTCTCGCTTAGGCACATGTCCAACACCAGTGACAATTATCTGAACAGGTCCTGGGCCTACTCTAGGTCGACTCAGCCTCAAATGAGTACCTGGTGCAGTGTGACGGGGGAGACAAAGGTGGATGGGCGTGGTGCTGGACACCCGCCTCCTCGTGTGCCGTGCCGGCCTTCACAGGTGCTACTCACTAACAGCACTTGCCCTAACAGTCTGTTTCGGCTACAGGGGGGATATTTGTCTTTGTATGTACATATCCTCTTATGTGAGAGTGTGTAAGCATGTGTGTGTATCGGGGTGTATGTATGCATATATAAGGGTGTGTGCACATGCCAATGTGCTCTGATATATCGGACTTGTGGACGGTGATGAAAGAGATGGAACAAAAGCTGAAAGGTGCGCAAAGATGCGTGGAGATGAACGATCGCCATCACACCCAGAGACTGAAAGGGGCAACACGTTGACCGCCAAGACCCCTTGGGGAGGGACGAGGCCTCCCTTCACCGCCGCGGCCGAAGCGCCGACAGGCGTGCGCGGCTAGCGGACTCACAGCACGGCGCCGGTGGAGCGGCGTACGACGAGGATGCCGGGCGGCTCCTGCGTGAGCTCCACGCGGTACAGCTGGCTGGGCGCGCGGCGCGACACGTTCGGCACCGACACCGGCACCTCGAAGCGCGGCGCCGACGCGTCCGTCAGCTGCGCGAAAAAGATAATTTTCAAAAGCAAACAACCACAACCTAATTTTTAATAAATGTATCGCTATTTTTTTTTATGTATAACTTGTATCATTTTTACCCTCGTGTGCCAACGGCCCGTGTGGCTGTACTAGGCCCCCGTATTTTCATCCTCGGCCCTGTGCGATCGTGAGCTAGCCTCCAGCGAGAACCTGCATTAGCGCCCCGTGCGCGACCGTGTTAGTCTCCCTTTGCCCCTCCGTGATTCCGATCCTTGTGCGATGGTCTTAACCCCCCGGTACCGGGCTAAAGGAATTGACGACGGGCACTCTAGCGCCGCGTGCGATAGCAGCAGCAGCTCGTGAGCAGCGGTCAAGCGAGCTAGCCCGGGCGCTGCCGTGCACCCGCCCCTGTGCGACGAACGCGTGCGTGAGCGCGTGCGTGAGCGCGTGTGTGAGAGCGTGTGTGAGCGCGTGTGTGAGCGCTTGCAAGGACGCCACCCGTATGCGCAGGCGGCTGTCGGTTTCCATGGCGACGCTGAGCCGCACGGTGGCGACGTCGCGCGGGTAGGGGCTCCGCGCCACCAGCGTCAGGTTGCCCTCCATGCCCAGCGCCGTCTCCACCCAGCCGCCCGCCGGCGCCACGTACAGGCCATAGCCCGGCCCGTAGAAGCACCACGGCACGCCGATGCCGTCGCCGCGGCTACCGCCGTTGCTGTCACCCTCTCCGGTCACCACGGGAACGTAGCAGCAGTTGCGGGCGGCGCACATAGCCTCCGTCACCACGGCGCCTCGTTCTGGATAGCAGTCGAAGCGCCAGGACTCGGCGACGGACGAGCACGACGATGATGATGAAGATGATGTGGATGATGATGTCGATGAAGCGTTGCCTGCAAGGAATGCGAAAAATAAATTGGAGAACACAACACAAAAATTATTGTGAGAGAGACTCATGCCACAATTGCTTCTCACCTAATTATGAATTTTTTATTTTATCAATAATAAGACAACTTGCATAATTTCGCAAACGTGACTGCACAAATTCATATTCTTTGGGTCTTTCGGTAAAGCCACGTAGATAGGCGCAAAAATAGCATCACATTTTAATTTGTTTGGCCACTTAATTTGGCATGAGCCGCACTACTCCCGAATCTGGACGCGAGAAGATCACGAGTCAATCAGGTGTGCGGAGGAGGATGGGATACGCAGCGGATGGGAGGGGGCTCTCCTTCATTCCAACCTGGTCGTGGGCGTGCAGGTGCTGGTGGGCGGAACGGCCGTGACGACTTGTATTCGGACCACACCACGCACACGTTCACCGCCAGCAGCAGCACCAGCACCACCGCCAGCACCGCCAGCAAGCGCCTCCGCACTACCGAGGAGGTCACCGCCATCGCCGCCGCCGTCGCCGTCATCGTCGTCGTCTGTTCGCCGCCGACACGAGGAAGCGGCAGCAGCAGCAGCGGCGCGGCATCGTTCCCACCGTCGGCACCGTCGCCACCATCATCGCCGCCGTTGCCAGCGCCGCCATATTGGTTCTTGACGTTCTTGAAAAAAGGACCCGTCATGGTCGCGTGTGAAGCACGCGTTCAAAATGGGTTGGTAGGGGGGGCACTACACGGACTCGGAGGAGCGGAGTGCGGGGCAGCTGGGGGCGGGGGGGGTGCTTTAACGAGGAGTTGGGATCCCCAAGAGGAAGTTAAGAGAGCTGCGGATCTGTAAATTAGAGAGCGTGGGTGGATGGGGGTGGAGGGGGGTGTGGGGGAGCAGGGCTTCAAGGAAAATCAGGGCCCTGAATGTTGCTTGGCTGGTGGGCTGGTTCTTCTTGATGAAGTGGAGGGGTCCTCTCCTACAGAGACAAAAAGACACAAAGAGATCCACGCCTGCACCGAACAAACGTCATTCTCATGACAACGTACGCGTGGCCAAGTTCAAAATTGAACCTGCAGGGAGGTCACGGTGTGCATGCAGGACGAGGGAGGGGGCGTGCGAGGGCTGTGGAGCCGTGGTGAGTTCAGGGTTGTGTGTGTATGTGCGTATGGGGAGCGGTAGCGTCGCGGTTAGCGCGCTACGCTACGAACCTAGTGACCCGGGTTCAACTCCCGCTCACGGCCAACACCAGTGGCAATTATCTGAACCGGTCCTGGGCCTCCTCTAGGTCGACTCAACCTCAAATGAGTACCGGGTGCGATGTGAGTATCGCCACTAGGGAGACAAAGGCGGCCGGGCGTGGTGTTGGCCACCCACCTCCTCGTGTGCCATGCCGGCCTTCATAGGTGCTCGCTAGCAACACTTGCTCCAACAGTCTGTTAGGGCTACACGGAGGATGTTTGTCTTTGTATGGTATAGTACCGAAAACGAGTTGTAGGAGCGCATGAGGCCGTGGGTGTGCAGGACACGAGGGTGTTTGAAGCCTGGGGGTGTGCAGTGGCACCCAAGGTGTGTTTATCAATGCATGTACGTTGACCTTCGTGTCAGCTGGATGTAGCCAACTGTGCTCATCGGAGGATAACAACCTAAACGCAAAAAGCAGTTCGAAATCAAATTAGTTTTCACTACAGATTGAAAGGTGTACAACTCCAGTGACTTTCTAATGCTGTACCTACTATAATCACTCAGGAATGTCCTTAACGCTCGTGACGTCACTCCACGTTGAATCAGCCCCCCCTCATTAATATTCATTAGCAGGTGCCATCCTGAAAATGGACACCCCCCACCCACCCCTTCTCATTAATAATCATGAACGGCTGACGTCACCCCATACTGGGTACCCCCCCTTCATTAATAATCATGAATGGCGGACGTCACTCCTCATTAATAATCGTTAACGGATGACGTCACTCCACAAGCAGAAATGTGGAGCGGAAACTTACATTTGTTTAGGCACAATTGCTTGCACTACGTGTAACCCAAGGAGCCGCCCATAAATGACGTCACGTACCTAGGGGGGGGGTCAGACATTTGTAACGATGTGTGACGAGGGGGGGGGGGGGTTGAGAAATGTGACGTCACATCAAAATGCGCAACTTTAAATAAATATAGACAACACGTTCCACTTAATTAAATAGACTTTGTAAAATAAATGTTTTCTCCTACAACATTAGAGTGCAGCGCCACATTAAATACGCACTACAATGACAATAGTTTAAAGCGATTTGAAGCATGTTTTATTTTGGGGGGGGGCAGAGCTTTGTGACGTCATATTTGAGGGGGGGGGGTCTGACTTTTTGTGACGCCGTGTGACGATGGGGGGGGGGTCAAAAATCGTCCAAAATCGCGTGACGTCATTTATGGACGCAAACGGGTACCCGTTTGCGACCCTGGTGCGGCCGGGTACGGGTAGACCGCGAGTCACTGGTGAGTCACCGTTTGTCACTCATTTCCCAACGTCTTGTCTCTTCTCACAATTCAAGTTCCTAGAATCAACCCACCCGCGCCTGCAACCTGGCTTCATCCCAGAGGTCGCAATCGGGTACCCGATACCCGTACCCGGCCGGATACGGGTAGGGTACGGGTACGGCCGGGTACGGGTACCCGTTTGCGACCCTGGTGCGGCCGGGTACGGGTATGGGATCAAAACCCGTTTGCGACCCTGGTGCGGCCGGGTACGGGTATGGGATCAAAACCCGTTTGCGACCCTGGTGCGGCCGGGTACGGGTATGGGATCAAAACCCGTTTGCGACCCTGGTGCGGCCGGGTACGGATATGGGATCAAAACCCGTTTGCGACCCTGGTGCGGCCGGGTACGGGTATGGGATCAAAACCCGTTTGCGACCCTGGTGCGGCCGGGTACGGATATGGGATCAAAACCCGTTTGCGACCCTGGTGCGGCCGGGTACGGGTATGGGATCAAAACCCGTTTGCGACCCTGGTGCGGCCGGGTACGGGTATGGGATCAAAACCCGTTTGCGACCCTGGTGCGGCCGGGTACGGATATGGGATCAAAACCCGTTTGCGACCCTGGTGCGGCCGGGTACGGGTATGGGATCAAAACCCGTTTGCGACCCTGGTGCGGCCGGGTACGGGTATGGGATCAAATCCCGTTTGCGACCCTGGTGCGGCCGGGTACGGGTATGGGATCAAAACCGGTTTACGACCTCTGTGGTTTATGCTCCTTGACGAGATGATCGAGGTATCGTGGTTCACTCGTGGCAGTGGCACTTTGCGTGTGACGAGTTGCGGGACCTCAGGGGGCATTCCGGGTGCCATCAACAGCGCGTGCTGCGTTTTACCAAAGTAACACAAAATTTCTAGCTGTGATTTCCACACCTGATGATGATTGCTTGTGTTGCAATCGAAACGTCGTGATTTAATTTAGTTATTTCTATTTAAAAAACATTTTTTTACAAAAAATGTTCACCTACGTGACTTTACCGAGAGAACCAAAGAGTATAAAAACAAACAGATTAATATTAAAACACAATTTTTTTTTAACTTGCGTAATAATTTTTTTTTTCATTTGCTATACAGCCAGATAATACGCCAAATCGCTAACCTTAAACACCCAGTCGTTCATAAAAGTCGAAGGTGGTATAGTACTATAGTAATAGAGCAAGTGCAGAATCACTGAACCGGAATTGATAGCTTGAAAGCATTTAGCGCGGGGGGCCCTTCAAAGTGGGGGGGGGGGGGGGGGGCTTCAAAGTGGGGGGCCCGTAGCATGACGTAGCTACTTGTGCTCCCGGGATAATGCTGGCGTTGGGTGCGCGCCACGTGGGTGCGTGGGGAGCGGTGGTGGAGCGATCGGCGCGCCGCGCTTACAAAGCCGGCGATGCCGAGTTCGATTTCCGCTCACGGCCAACACCAGTGATGATTATCTGAACCGGTTACCTGACCCTCTCCGGAGGTTGAGTACAGAACCCCAGTGCGGTGATGTGAACATCGCCGCTAGGAAACCCCCCTCCCCTCGTGTACTGTATCGGCCTTGGAATGTGCTACTCACCAACAGCACTTGCCCTAACAGTCTGTGAAGGCGATAACGGGGGGGGGGGGGGGTCATTGTTTTGTGAGTGACGTTGGGAGTCTGTGTGACACACAGGGGTGTGAGTGACACACACACAGGGTGTGAGTCTGTGTGTAGGTGACACTCAGGGTTGTGACACACACCGGGTGTGAGTCTGTGTGTGACACTCAGGGGTGTGACACACAGGGTATGAGTCTGTGTGTGTGTGACACTAAGGGTTGTGAGTGACACACACAGGGTGTGAGTGACACACAGAGAGTGTCAGTCTGTGTGTGAGTGACACACACAGTGTGTCTGTCTGTGTGACACTCAGGGGTGTGAGTGATACACACAGGGTGTGAGTCTGTGTGTGTGACACTAAGGGTTGTGAGTGACACACACAGGGTGTGAGTGACACACAGAGAGTGTCAGTCTGTGTGTGAGTGACACACACAGTGTGTCTGTGTGACACTCAGGGGTGTGAGTGATACACACAGGGTGTGAGTCTGTGTGTGACGCACACACAGTGTGTCTGTGACACACACAGGGTGAGTATGTGACACACAGGGTTGTGACACAACACAGGGTGTGAGGGAGCCTGGGTGCGAACGACACACGGGGGTTGGTGCACGTACGTGAGTGTGTCTGGCTGGGAGTGCAATACGCTGGTGCGAGTGAGAGAGAAGAGAGGAGAGAAGAGAGGAGAGAGTAGCAGCAGCAGCTCGCTTGGACTCACCTTCCCGGAACAACTCAGCAGCATCACGATCAGCTGCTGCTGCTGCTACTGCCCCGACCTTTGACCTCGCCGCCTCGACCAATGGGCGGCTGCGTGGCTGCGCGGCCACGTGACGCGGGCTGTTTTTGAGAAATCAGCCGATGGCCCTCCCGTTGCTGGGCTATTATAACCCACAACAATGATAAATAAGTAAAGCAAATAAGATAATTTCATTGAACTTCACACTATTACGAGAGCCGGACGGGGGAGGGGGAGGGTCTGCGGGGAGAGAGATGGAGGCGGCGATTTGGTTTATTTATGGGATGAATTTCGTCATCATTGGCCATTGTTTTGTTACTCAGAAATAACTTCGATTTAAAGCTTTCGTGACTGCAGGGATTCATCTTCTTGGTTCTTTCGGTAAAGTCACGTAGAAGGGAAGTAATAAAATAATAAAAATAAAACATAATAAAATAAACTAATTCTCACGACGTTTCGGCTACAACGCAAGCAGCCGTCTTCACCTTAAGACGGCTGCTTGCGTTGTAGCCGAAACGTCGTGAGAATTATTTTATTTTATTATGTTTTATTTTTATTATTTTATTACTTCCCTTCTACGTGACTTTACCGAAAGAACCAAGAAGACCAGAAATAACTTCATGGACCCGGGGAAAGAATTGAGATTCAAAAAAAAATAGTTGGTTTATTTATGGGATGAATTTCGTCATCATTGGCCATTGTTTTGATACTCAGAAATAACTTTTTATGGACCCGGGGAAGGAATTGAGATTTAAAAAAAAAATAGTTACAACCATCACGTACATACATCGGGAATTAACCTCAGGGGGGGGGCACGCAAATACTAATGCGGGAACACATTCATACGACCACGCGCCATGTTACGGATTTTCCCTGAGAATTAAAATTGTACTTTTACCCCACAATTATAGGAATGAGTGCGAAATAATACAATGCTTGCACGTTCACACCTAAATACACGGGGAGAATATGGATCTCTCTCCCCTGAGAATTAAACTACAACTATTAGCATCATCTTGGGAACGAAAATTAAATACCTTAATCTGTAAGTGTCTCAAAAACCTCTAAGGTACTTCCCGACAATGTATAAAGCTGAAAGATGGTACCCAGATCGCTTTTAGGACACCAAACAACAGGGCGAAAAATCTGAAAATTAGAGATTTTTTTATTTTAAGGCCCCCTAAATCTCGATTTTAAAAACAAATATAAGATTGCGGGATTGTTTCGTTTGATTGAGCGTTAGACGGAAAATTAAATTAAAACGAGAACCATTGTTCTATCTTTTATTGTTTTTGAGATACTTCGGGTTCAGGCGAGTTTTGAATTTTAAAAAACGCATTTTATGATGTTCAAATCTGAATAATTCTGAAACGGGAAAATGTAAGAGAGCTTCCCCTCGTAGAGTATTAAGTTAATTACTTTTTGTTCTTTCTAATAAAAAAATAACGGAATCTTTAAATTCAATGCTATCCGATGGGTACGTCTTTAAATATAATAAATTTAATCAAGTGGTCAACAATGTAAGTTTTTTTTGCAGAAAAATACTTTTTTTGTAGTTGTTAGTGTCTGATCGTAGATAAAAATTGTAAAAAAAAAATATCAGGCTAATTATTAAATTTATTGAAAAGTTTTAGCTGGTGAAGACAGGCTTTATGAAGTAGTATGATACAAAAAGAGAATTTACCTCACATACACTAATGGGTGGATAATGTTCACTGCTGTACTATACACATTGCAACAGATTAATAAACGCTGGGAGAATATGAATTTTACCTGATAATTAAACCATAATTTACTTCCGATAAGCACGGTTGGCTACGTACGGTGTGAAAGAAGTTCAACATACAGTACATACGTACACAGTACAACCACATGGCATGTAATTTGTAGTCAAACACAGCCACGAATATCGTGCCAAACATTAAGTCACAGGTCTACAAAGCCTGCTGTTACATACACGGTCGTCTCACATCCATACAGACCTGTGGTTTGGTCATAGTCGCCATAATTCCACAGTATACCACCAACAAATAAACAAGACGGTTCAGGCTGGTCCAGAAGTCTTGTGACGCCACCCCCCACCCCCACAATTAATTATCTAAAACCTGCTACTCGTTGGCTACCAATGGGTGTGGAAAAACAGAAACGAATATGCAAAGGTAAAACAAATGTTAGGAGTCACTTAAATTGGGGAGGTCATCCATAAATTACGTCACGAACATCAAACGAAGATGAAGACCAACTCAATGATGCAAAACACACACATTATAGTATTGTAGATAATTCGGGGACTAGCTTGCCAGTGATGTATCAACACACACAATACTCACCTTCATCGTTCATTAAACACTGCATTATAACTAATATAAAGTACGCGACAGTAGGGTAATACTACGAACAATGGCCTTCCTTCAATTATGTACTTCCGATTACCAAGGAAGTTCAACATAGACAACAATGAAACCGTTTAACTAAATTAAATCCACCGTCTGTTTGAAGAATGACCAATGGAAGTGAACATTCGAGGATTCTTCGAGATCCCTTCAAACGTGACCTCTAGTCCACACAGTCGAAGGCAGCGCATTTCCCACCTGCTCCGATAAACCCTTGGACCGAGGATTGTTTTAATCATTAAGATCCAAGGAAATGACACATTAAGTGCCAAAACAGATGTAAATGTGATGTTAATTTTGTGCAGTTATTCTGGTGACTAGGCTGTGATCATCAACTCACTGAACCTAAGGATTTGGTTTAACTGCGAGTGGTTTGCCGGATTTTAACCCAGGCCCTCACGTCTGCCAGCTAAGTGCTTGGACCTCCGAACCACTTGGCCCATCCACTCAATTCTCGAAATGTCAAAACAGACCCAGATGATTTTCTTCTCCACCCCCCCTCCCCCCCCATAAAACAAAAATGTGTAAATGTATAAGAATAGACCCTGCCAGTGTCTGAGGACATGACGAGTCAGTCATTTTACACTCAATTTTATTTTACTCTCAAGACAAAGGAGTGAGCGTTTGCCACCACTAAAGCATTCGGTTCGTTTTCTGTACATTCTGTGGTGAATACAAAAAAAATATAGGTACATATTTTTTGGGTTCCACTTTTGATTTCACCAACGACAAAACATTAACAGAGGAATACGGAACAGGGAGGTCACAATCCGTGAATTGGTGGAAATTACTTTCCCCGTCGAATATTTGTGGGAAAGGGCCAAATTGGCAGCACATTGTGATTTGCCCATTTGCGTCCATCGCATATTGGTGGACAATTGGCTTTCCACCAGCACACACATTGGGGTCCCAAGTATTTAAGTTCTCAGGAACAAAGGCAACATTGAGATTGTAAGCACTGCACAGTTCGGTACACGTATATCCCCCCATGCCATATACAAGTTATTATTTTGTCCAAAAAAAACACACAAACGAGAAACGAAGACGTAAAAAAATGAAACTACAATACAATAATGAAACGAATTAACAACACTGAAAATTGCACCAAATCGAAAAATGCACGCGTCTGCAAAGGAAGTCTGGCAAGTTATGAGAGATCCCCCCCCCCCCCTTTATGTAACAGGAAACCTTTACCCACAAAATGCTCACCGAGTCTAAAGACACTTTTCCAGGAACGTCCCGCTTTACGGTAAAACCTTTTGTTACGAGGAAACCGGAGCACACGGGTTTTGATGTCTCATCCTTTACATAATCCACCAACCCCAGCTTTTAGTCTGTGGCTCAATAACCTACGTTCCTCAATATTTCACTTTGTTTTTGCCCGCGAAAAACATTTGCTTTTGTGAACGCCAGAACCGTGAACTCTTCACGCGCCCCACTTTTAAACATTGTACAGTGTTGAGGCAGTCAAGTAAGTTCGCGATCACACGAAGTTGTCTTTGTCTCGAACCCGGCGCTGACAAACACGCTGGCACAACACCAAATGTGGTAAGATTGAAGTCAACCGAGAGGGAGATCAGATGCCAATTTGGCAAACCGGTGTTCTGTGTGCATCAGGTCCAATAAAACCGGGACGCTGGCACGTAGCGCTCACGATAACTGCCACGACGCTTCCGGCACACACGCGCACAAACACACAAAGAAAAAACACAACCAAAATCTGCTACAAAAGACGCGTTCATCTGTTCGCGGTTGTTTTTTTTCCGTTTTAGATATTTTTTTTTGCTTATTTTCATATACAGTATTTATATATATCAAAACCGATGTAGTTATTACAGTTTGATGATGGCGATATAGCGGGTTGCACCCACCCCCACACACACCCCCTCTTTGCTGTGTGTGAATAACGACAAAGTCCCCGTTTATTTAATCGGAGTTACATTCTCTGTCCCCTGAAGCTGACGTCCGTGCGTATCACGGGGTCGCTGCTCTGATTAAAAACACCACGCCTTGCCCTTCCTCTTCCGAGTGCGGCTGCTTGTGTGCTTTGTTTACGTTTCCCACTCGCTTGCGGTTTCTTAATATTAATATTATTTTACAAAAGTCCTCAAAAGATCTGGACGAGAGGAAACAACCCCCACCGGCTCCTCCCCCCCCCCCATCATCAATAAATGAGGATCAGGGTAACACAACCTGCTTAACCATCATAGGGAGGGCCTTGGTAGCTGTGTGCGGTTTTGAGTGGTGAAGCGGTTTGTGTTGGCGGTGCGTACAGTCGGTGGTGTATGACAGGTACACGCTGAGTGGCGTGGCTGGCGTGTGCATTATGCATGGCGGATGCGCACCCCGGCGTACATAATGCATGGCGATGCGCGGCGTACGTGGCAGTGTGTAATCTGCATGGGGGTATAGTGTGAGCAGGTGTCTGCTGAGAATGCTGTGGATTGGGGTGTTCGGTGCACATGCCAAACAGTGGGGGTGTGAGTGCACGGTGAGAATGTTGTGGTGTGCAGTGTGGTATGTGTAGTGCATAGTGCATGTGGTGTACATGGTGTGTGACGTATTGTATTCTGTGCGTGTTTTCTGCGCAAGGTGTACATGGTGCATGTGGTGTCGCGAGCTCGTGGTGTGCATGCGATTTGTGGTCGATGGCGTGTGGTTCGCATCGTGGAAAGTACGCGTGGTGCGCACGTGGGTGTGGTATATGACGCCACGTGGCGTGACAGAGCGCCGTCACGCTGGCGCGGCGTCCCTCCCGTGACCGCGCGCCTCCGTGTGGGCACAGCAAGTCGCTCCACGTCAGCTCCACGTCGGATCCACGTCAGCTCCACGTCGGATCCACGTCGGATCCACGTCAGATCCACGTCAGCTCCACGTCGGCTCCACGTCGGATCCACGTCAGATCCACGTCAGCTCCACGTCGGCTCCACGTCACATCCACGTCGGCTCCACGTTGGCTCCACGTCGGCTCCACGTCGGATCCACGTCAGCTCCACGTCAGATCCACGTCAGCGCAACGTCAGCTCCACGTCGGATCCACGTCAGCTCCACGTCGGATCCACGTCAGCTCAACGTCAGCCCCGCCGCAATCTCACCCACACCGGCCTTTCCGCTCGTGGTCCAACTCCGTCGTAGATGTTCGCGAATGGATATTTGCGCTGTCAGTTTGTTTATCCGTTTGGTTGCTACTATGCTTTTGTCGCCGTCGTCGGCCGCCGATGCTGCTGCTGCTGTCCCAATCGACGTTCCCATGGGAGCGTTAGTGGGGGGGGGGGGGGGGGGGGGGATGAGGACGAGTAATGGTGTTGTCCGGTCACTCGTCCCGGCGCCAGCTCTGCTCGGCCTCCACCTCGATGCTGACGACGAGTAGCAGCTCGCAGTGCTTCCCGCTGAACTGCTCCTTCAGGAAGCGCCTGGACGGCACGCACAGAGTCGACGGTGACCACTCCGGTCTGACACCATCAAATCTCCACACTTAGAAAGTCGCTTCAATCACACTGGCAGCAGCTGCCTGGATTCTAACTCAGCTTCTCAGCGGCACCAGCTCAACACTCTTGGGCCTCCGAGCCACCCAGACACCTCTACATTTTTACTTACAGTTTCAAAACATGTGTCACACAGTCCCATACAATCCAATCCTCTAACATCTTATGGCGGATGTTTTAGGGACCACGGTGGTGAGATGTTAACTACCTTGCCTGGTATACAGGGGGACGTGGGTTCGATCCCGACCCCGACGCCTGTCCATTTGGAGTTTGCATGTTCCCCCCCGTGGTTGCGTGGATTTTTCTCACGCGTTTAGAGTGTTTGGCTGCATTGGATTTCCACATGATAAGCCACTTGGTTGAGCTATCTTTTGTGATAGCCAGGTCACTTCTGATAAAGAGGATATAAGACTCAGTGGGCCTTATATCCTCGTTTAGATAGTTAAGGATAGCAGCGGCGGCAGCTTCCTAAAAATGTTTTGATTCCTTCAAGGTGCAACCCTAGTGACCCGGGGACGAGCGTTAGCACATTTGTCACATGCTGCAGAGGTTCGCGGTTTGGGGCCAAGCGGCCATCCTGCTAAACATTGCTGATGTTAAAGATCTCGAGATGTTAGTTAAATAAAAGAGTGGGCCACGTGTGCTTGCGCTCATGGTCCAAATGTGCGTAATTAGAAAATTACAAAAAAATTCGAATTGGATGAAGCTACAAAGCAGCTTCGCTCTCTTCTGATGAAGCTGCTAAAGTACCAAAACGCTCTCGTGGTTAAAAAAATATTTTGTTGAATAGGTAAAGCCCACCGAGTTATATTGCCCTTTTTTAAGTGACCTGGCCACAAACGATACCTCAATGAAGTGGCTTATCATGTGGAAATTGATAGCAGCCAAATGCTCTGAATGGACATTTATCTAAAATGAGGGAAAAACCGGAGGACGCGGAGAGAAAAATCCACGCAACCACGGGGAGAGCGAAAACGCAATCATCAAATACACAGCAGGGGTCAAGAGTCGAGATCGAACCCACGACCTCCTGCAAACCAGGCGAGGTAGTCAACATCTCGCCAGGTCAGTGGTGGGCAACCTGCCTCCCGCGGACCTCACCCACCCCGTAGAGCCCCTCGCGGTATCCCGGTCTAAGTTGTCTCTATGTTGTGCATGTATGTTGAACTCCTTTCGCACTGTATGTAGCAGAGGTCGCAACCGGGTACCCGATACCCGTACCCTACCCGATACCCGGAGTACGGGTACCCGTTTGCGACCCTGGTGCGGCCGGGTACGGGTAGACCGTGAGTCACTGGTGAGTAACTGTTTGTCACTCATTTCCCAACGTCTTGTCTCTTCTCACAATTAAAGTTCCTAGAATCGAACCCACCCACGCCTGCAACATGGCTTCATCCCAGAGGTCGCAATCAGGTACCCGATACCCGTACCCACCTGGGTACGGGTAGGGTACGGGTACGGGTACCCGTTTGCGACCCTGGTGCGGCCGGGTACAGGTACGGGTAAGGAATCAAAACCGGTTTGCGACCTCTGGTATGTAGCCAACCGAGCTAATTGGAGGTGTGGGATTGTCAAGCTTGCGGCCCAACCGAGACGAAGGAGGGGCTCGCTCGGGTGACCCACCGACTCGTCTGCGGTTGCCCATCGCTGCCCTACGTCGACCTGAACCGTGACGATCGCCTGCGCCATCGCTCACCGCAGCTCGTCCTCGCAGCCGATGCGTTGCGGCGCCTTGAGCTTGGAGTCGAGGTTGTAGTAGACGCCAGCGACCTGGCGCACGCCAATCCAGTGCTTGCGCTTGAGCGGCAGCTGCAGGGGTCCCCAGCGCATGCTCGACGGGATGTTGAGAATGAGGCCCACGACGTTCCCAAACGCGATGCTGTCCACGTCCCTGCTCGGAGGGGAGGGGAGGGAGGCGGGGACGGAGGGAGGGACCGTGGGGACGGGAGAGAAGCCGGGTGGGGGGGTGGAGAGAGAGAGAGAGAATATGAGTTAAAGAGTGAGAAATTTTCCATTGCTTACAACGAAATGATTATCAACGCTCCCCCAATCGCTTGGTTTGTCATTCAGGCCTGGTCAGCCATTCAGGTCTGGATTGGACTGGGCCCGGTTAGCAATGACCATCAGAACTGTCCAGGTGTTGCGGGCATGGGGCGGACGAGGTATAGGTCAGGAGATAGTAGACGTGGCTGTGTCAACCCCTCCGCCTATGCGTGGGGGGGGGGGGGGTGGCGGGTGTTTACGCCATGTTCTCTGGTTTCCTCCCAGACGAAGTCAAACACTCATGAAAGGAATTGGTAAAATAAGGCAGGGCCATTCTAAAAAAAAAAAGTCTTGAAGCTCAGTGAGGCTTTCCCATTTTAATAATTAGCTTCATCATTTGAAATGTTTATGGAACAGACCACCGCTGCACAATTAACCGTCCGTGCGTGCGAAATGTACGCATGTGTGCACGGGGAAAGAGATATTTTTAGAGCGACTTCAAGAGACGCTGGCTGGAGGTGATGCGCATGGCAACGCACAACCAACGAACATCATTAAACGTTATATGGCAATGATAAAAATGTCATTAACACAGAAAAGCCTCGTCGACCCTTAAGACTTATTTTTTCAGGAGGATCCTGCTACGTTGGGTTGTTTGGCCAAATCCTTGTCAATAATTAGGTGTTTTCTGCACGTGATAGGAAACCAGTGCCAGAGGTCGCAACCGGGTACCCGGCTACCCATACCCGTACCCGGCTGGGTACAGGGTAGCCGTTTGCGACCCTGGTGCGGCCGGGTACGGGTACGGGTAAGGAATCAAAACCCGTTTGCGACCTCTGCAGAGTGCTCAGAGATGATCCACCACCACCACCACATGAGGGGATAACGCTCCACGACCCACACACACACGGGTACATGAACCACCTTGTTGTACTGCAATATCCTGGTTGACCTCACAGTCCAAAGAGATTGGGAAGTTTCACAAAACCTTTTTCGATCCACCAACCCTCGTCTCCAACGCGCCGAATGCAGGTGTCACCATGCCCGCCTAAAAACCATGCGACTCGCATCCCCTTCCACCCTGGGTCAAAGGTCGCCCAGATATACAGGCCACGAGCGCTGCTGTAACGTAGGGATAGTGAATGCGGCACCGATCAACAAAAACGCCATTTTTGTTAATCCACCGAGAGATGAGGGCCTACCCATGCACCCCATGGGGGTGAGTTTATCATACTTCACCACGCCTGTCAACCTTTGTCTCCCCTGCACCAAGGTACTCGTTTGAGTCCAAGTTGACTTAGAGGAGGCCCAGGACCGGTTCAGATAATCATCACTGGTGTTGGCCGCGAGCAGGAATTGAACTTGGGTCGCCGGGTTCGTAGCGCGGTGCGCTAACCGCGACACGACCGCTCCCCACTTATGGACACAAATAGACCAATACTGATACCCGCCATTTGCCACTAAGTGACGGTGACATCACCACGGCGCCTGTGCCAGGCCAGGTGCACTTAGAGACCATGGGGACACGGGACAGACTCAGCAGGTGCCATGGCTCAGCTGACTGAGAGACTGGCAAATGCAGCAGCCGTGCAACCTACTGTGCCAACTTGCTGTGTTTTGGCCGCCCGGCGCTCCGCTCGTTGTTGTGAGCTTCGATCCTCTGTCCTCAGTTGTTATTGGAGGGCGACTGCCTCAAACTTCCCAGTAGCGTCCTTCACGTGCCACCTCCATAGAGGCCATTCTGGCAACGTTGGTACCAATCTTCGGCAAGTCCACTCAGCTCCACATCCTCCCATACCGCATTAGCTCCATCTCTTCTCCAGGCCGTGTCTTGCCCGTTATAGCCCCCTCAAAGCGGCCACACAGAAGCTGCTTGGGGCGTGCGGTGGCTAGACTTTCGGGCTACATAACTCAGCCAATGCAGCCTTGTCTGCCGGAGGAGCTCACGGATGGGAATGTGTCCAGATCTTTCAAGGATTTGTGAGCTCCTCATACAATCCAGCCTGGTTAAACCCAGTATGGATGGTAGGCAGGCCAGCCTGAATGTTTCCTAACAGAACTGATGTTTCATTAAAGGGGTCCACGTTTCACAAGCATAGAGAAGGGAGGGCATGACTGTGGCTGAGAAGACCCAAAGCGTCATGTGGAGCGACAGACCAGGTAGCTTCCACACAGCGTTACGCAGCCGATTAAAATATAATGCCACCTGACTGATTCAGAGTGAGACCTCTACTCTCAAATCGGAGCTGGTCATAATCACACTGCCCAGGTATGGAAAACTCTCTACAACTGCTCTATCACCAATGGAGAGTTGATGGGTGGAGTGTTTGATGGCACAAAATATCCAGGCAGTTGCTTAGTTTTGGTGGGGTTAATGGTAGGACCCCACCCTCTTAGTGGTTCACTCCAGGTTCAGCAGCAGCGCCTCAAACTCATCCTCTGAGTGAGCAGCAATCACCAGATCATCAGCATACATAACACTGTCGACCGCACTCGAGCATCGATCAGCCTCCCATTGTATCTGTGCCAGATGGAAATTTCTCTGGTACAGCCATGGAAAGCTTCTCAAACTACGTGGTCAAAGATGATGTTAAATAACGTGGGAGCCAGAGGACATGCCTGTTGCACCCCAAGGTGAACAGGGAATGGCTCTGACTCTTGGCCACGTAGCCTGCGCCTGCCCATCATCATGGAAACCCTTAATGACTAGACACCACACCACATATGACAAGCACCAATATGCTAACCACACCATACATAAATCCCTCCACATAAAGCAACACTATTAAGATGCTCACTCCATACATACAACACCCACACATATACTACACCAACTGCATCCACACAACACGTACCCATTAACAATACACACATCAATCCACACCACTTCATCAAAATATGCCACAGCCACCCATACTACAAATACAAACGCCCGCAACTCAATTCATACACCACACCATCCCACTCCATCGCACACCACAAGCACACACCACATCATCCTTAAAATACACTCACCCACACCATACGTGCAAAATTATCTCCGAAAACGTTTAACTAACCAGACAGCACCATGGTCAGAATTACACTCACAATTGGAACGTTTTGAGTTCAAATCTGGTTGGGTGTAGACTTGACGTAAAATCATCATCTCTCGACATATATAAAACACATAGCTCAACTCTGATAGACACCAACAGTGATCCCTCCAAGGAGGGACTGACTCTTGCCATCAGACTGTGGAATTTCCACCGCTGGCCCAGGATTGCCAATGGCGCCAAGTGCTGTCCCCATGCTCCGACTTTGTTGTTTTTACGCTGTATGAGAAATGTGACTCGTATTTGTCACCCAGCCATCATTCTCAGCTGATTAAATAAAGGACACTGGATTGAAAATAATGGTTCATTCATAAGTCTTCAACAAGACTTAAACACTCTATATGGAGCGTCCTGCCTTGAGGTATTTGGCAATCCATCTGGAGAAAATCCACCAACGCACTCGAGGTGACGTGAGGACAAACAGGTTCTTGGAAGCAAATGGGTTTAGGCGTTTTGCAAATCTCTGCACGAGCTACCAGCCCTCGCCTCAGCGTAGGATGGCAGGGCAATGCATAATAGCCGTAGGTGTTGAGCGGTTAAATATAGCAGCGGTGGGAGTAAGGCGTGCCTGGTATTTGCACGGGGCAGTTGAAATGGGAAATCTCGCGTTGGTGACGTTGCCGCTGTGGAGGGAGTGGTAGACGAGGGTGGGGAGTGTGGGGTAGTGGGAGAGGGTTGGGCGGTGAAGGGGCCGAACCTTGGGCCGTGGACAACCCAGGTGATGACGCCAATCCGCCGGTCACCGCTCGTTAAAGCGTGGCTAGCGAACCCGCCAGGAGACACGGTAATGAGGCGGTGGGCACAGGGGGCTCATAATGGCCGTGTCGGAGTGGCAGAACCCACGCTGCTGCTGCTGCTGCTGCTGCGTGAGATCCATGCCTTCGATGGCACAAGAGAAAGTGCTGCCCAGAGACCGAGTTAGAAACGTAGAGTCTGGTCTATGTATGTCTCTGTAAGTAGACTCGTAATAACCACGTCAGAGTAGGCGACCTAGCACCAAAGCTTCTGGTTTCAAATCCTGGGGTGGTGTCTCTCTCACTCTCTCTCTCTCTCAAGGTCACCCCTAACGGTCACATCAGCGCCTGAGAACTTGTACCGTTGAAACAAATCAGGTTTCCGATACTGACACCGGGAATTTTTCTCCTGAGGGTTCATAACAGCATTGTCAGAGAGCACCTCAACTGACGCGATTGCGATTTGTGGGTTTGAGTCCAGGGTATGGGTGTCTCTCTCTCTCTCTCTCGTGGGGTTTTACATAATGATTGTCAGAGCACACGAGCCGGCACCACTAAGCTTATAGGTCTCAGTCCAGGTTCCCACCCGCTGAATGTAAAACCATAATCCAGTGTCCATCAAGTTTCATTGTTCGCTTTGAATCTCTTACAGACCAGCGGAAATGTTTTTTTAATGGAATTTGTTTTTTTTACACTCAAATACTAAAAAATATCAGAATTGCTGGCTCACAGACTGATACAAGCCCTCACCCGTTTTTTTAATCCTGATGAGTCTGTTTACAAAGCTGATTTCAAAATGCGCAATACATCTCCGCTAAATCTGTTTGAGAGCTTCTAAATCTGTTTGACGTAAAGCCCCACAAGCCATTACAGTTATTACAATTATTATCATTAAATTCCAATGTTTTTTTTTTCTCGTACTAAAAGGCCACTCATTGAGCAGTGCTATAAAGAGCCTGGGCAAAAAGGCTGCTATATTTTTAATTCTTGACACAAACTCGTTGGTCTCCGCCGACACTGCTAACATTTAAATGTCTTCAGCCGCTTGCGTCGCCAACTCACAATTGTAAGGTCACGAGCTAAATTTGCTCATCGTTGTTAGAATCGCAAAGTGAACGAAACCCGCTGCGTCCGATCAGACTGGTGTCCTCTGGCGACGACGGCGAGTCGAGTTCAAATCCTGCCAGAAGGTCGCCTGCGTCAATCACCACTATCATGACCCCCCCAATTGAGGTTCATGAACCCTTCTGATTCCGTTCCGATTACGTACGTTTACGTCATCGGAATCGAATCAATTCCCAACGGAATCGGAAGTCAAAGGCCATGCGTAAGGGTGTGTGGCAGTTTGGCGCCAGCTATCATAGAGTGTGGTCGTGTCACTACGGTTCTATGATGATTACAGTACAATGTCTTTAAAAACAATGGTGCTATGCCTCTCTAAATAAAATGAATGCTGAACGGCTTGCGCGTTTCGAGATTCAGCGGTGAACGGGACCCACCCTGCAACTTGCAGGCGTCTTGGAATGGGAAAGGGTTAAAATGAGCACTGCTTTGTGGGAAGTCAACACAAGTTGCCTGCCCTATTCAGAAGACTGCCTCCTGTACAGTTGCTCTTTCTCTCCTGCTGCTCCCACAGTCTGGAATGTCGTTCCCCGAGCAATCAGTGCTGTCGACTCCCTGCCACTGTTCAAGTCCAGCCTCAAGGCCTTCTTGTTTAGTCTGCCTACTGACTGACTTGCATTGTATTGAAATTTGTATTGTCATCCGAATGTGGAATTTGCACCATTGTCTCAGGACAGCTGAGATGAGCCATCACCCGATGCTCATTTGAGAATGGAGACACTAACTTGATTATGTGACCTTGAACAATTCATACGTCAAACTGGTTCGTAGGCTCACTATACGTGCATTGACATGGAAGTAAATAAAACTTTTTCCCCCGTGTATGCAAATTAAATACTACTGTACCTTGATGCTATAAAAGAACAAAACACAATATGAGACAGACCATGAAAACGATACACGACAAATGAGATGACAGAAAATTGAAATAGTTCCAGGAAAATAACCAAGTCGCCGGTTTTGATTTATCATCTAATCGGCAGGGCGGTGAAATCACGCCACGCCTTGTGACCGCTTTGTTGAGTATCCGTTGTGGCCGGTCTGAAAATCCAAGCATCCGTCGAATGTGGGAGCTAATTATTTACATTACACTGCATGACTTGTGTGTATGCATGCATGTATGTTGAACATCTTTGGCACCGTAAAAGTAGCCGACTGTGCTAATCAGAGGTGGGGGAACTTGGTGAACGGACTGGGACCGTCAACTCTTCTGGGTGGTTTGTAACCATGTGCGGCCGAAACCTGGATTTGAACCCAGGATCTCGAGATAGTGGTGCCGGTTCTGCGTCCTCCGACCCGGGATCTACCCCCACTGATCCACACCCCTCACGGCCTTGGGAGTCTGTTGACCTTTACCACGGTCAGTCCTCGACTTACGAACGACGGGCGACGTTCCCGGGATCCGTTCGCATCTCGGAAACTCAGTATTTAATAGTACGTACGGTCAGTGTCATAAAACGTGTTATGGTTCAACAAAAACGGGAAGTGTTGTGAAACTCATGAGAAGAATGTGTACACGTGCATGTAATGTGACTGTAAAGAAAGCGTAACTTTAAGTGACATGAAAAGAACCAAAAATAGTTTTACTTTCACGTACCCTGAATCCTGAAAGGGTGTTTCTAGGATGCTGGGACTCATTACATCTTGCGGGGGATCCCTCCGCTGAACAAAATAGTTATGCGGTTGGGTTCGCAAATACGACCCTAGGTTCTCACAAGTCGGAGGGTTTTAATGAAATAATCTTATGGTGATTCGTTTGTTAGTGCGAATGTTCGCATCTTGGGGACTGCCTGCACTTTTGTCAGTAAAATTTAGTTGGAGGATCCGTCTCTGCTAGAAACCCACAAACTATGAAAACTAAAAACATTGTTTTATTTTACCAGGTAAGGGCCCACTGAGCTACATAGCTCTTCTTTTAGAAGCGACCTGGAAACAAATAATAGCTCAACAAAAATGCTCATCATGTGGAAATGTATAGCAGCCAAATACTCTGAAAAGCATGTTTCTAAATGTGGCGGGGAAAAACCGGGGGACCCGGAGAAGAATCCACAGGGAGAGAGACGCGCAAAGTCCACATATACAGCAGGCGTCAGGGTCGGGATCGAACCCACGACCTCCTCCATACCAGGGGAGGTAATTAACGTCTCACCACCGTGTCCCACAAGCAGCTTTGCTTGGATAGCCCAGCCAAGCAAATAAGCACTGGGAATAAAATTCAGGTCCCTGCACACGATTTGTTTAACCAGAAACCGTTGTCTATCAATGTTTAACTGTCGTTTCTCTGTGCTTTGCGCGGCAGACAATGGAATAAAGAAAAAAACGTGATAGCAAATACATTTGAGATTAAAACATCACAAATTCTGCCTCGATTATGTGAATCCCACAGTGGAGTTCTGTGAAGTGTAGTGTTTCGACGCGGTCATTGTGAACACACAAGGCTCCTCCTCGACTTTCCTGATGACATGTATGTTCAACTTCTTTCGCAGGTGTAGGGGAAGAGCAACAAACTACACATAAATCAGTTCGAAAGAAATACGTTTTTAACTTAGAATTAAAAGTGCAAAGCTCAAATGGCTTCCTAATATCGGAAGGAACAGCGCTCAAGATGGCCATAGAAGCCCATCTGAAAGCGCGCGATGTAGTGACCATCTTTGTTCGATGGCGACCCAAAAGCTGCTGCTGCTGCTGCTACGAGGATGACCGGAGTTTCAGTGATGGTTCATGCTCCTTGACGAGATCAGCAAGGTATCTGGCATTTCGGCATGGTAGAGATGTTATTGCAATAATCAGCGATTGTCTCGCGGACTCCCGCCATGGTGTCCTGACCGAGAGGTCTCGGAGTGCTAGTGTGACTGGTGCAATACCTGCGCTTATCCCACCACACGGCTTCGCACGCCTTGGTCTGCAGGGCGGCCATGATGACGTTCACGTCGTAGTTTCCCGTTCCCAGCATGCTCTTGTGTGGGTTCAGCATCGAGTCTGGAGACAGCCTGTGAGAAGACAATGGATACACCCCCCAGCCGTTATTATGACAGACCACAGTAAATGTTGTTAGTGAGCACCTATTAAGGCTGGTATGGCACGTGATGAAGGGGTGGTGGTGGTGTGACGAGGGCACCACGCCCGGCCACCTCTTGTATCACCAGCGCCGACGCTTACGCAACATTACATACCAAACCACTGAAATAGCTCTCAATAACACTGTGGCATTTCTTTATTGGAAATGTTAGCGGACACACCCAGTGTTAAGTGGGGGTGGTCATTGCTGGTGATGTAAAAAATAAAAGATGTTTCACAATTAGACAGGTGACCAGAGGTCGGGGGGGAGGGGGGCGGGTTCATCGTGACCGCGTCAGAGACACCGAACTAGCGCCGCTGGGATCCTGGGCAAGAACTCGAGTCACCGAGTGAGTCGATGGTCGCAGAAAGAAAAATATGATTAAAGTCAGTTGGTCACAATTTCGCACAATTAAGTAGAGAATAAAAAGTTTCATCGCGATGCTACGAATACTCTTTGCGAGGAATTTAAGAGGAATGGCGGGCGTGGAGTCGTGCGGATAAGACGCCCCGATAATATTCATGACTCCAGACGTAGTTGGGTGACATCTTCCTAGGAGATGGACACGATGTGTGATGATACACAGCTCTCTGGCCCTCAGTGACCCAACGGGAAATTCCTCCGTTCCATGACAACCGCGACGCCAGAAGCCCGGTTGAGGTGGTGGGGGGAAATAGCGGAAAATACAGAAAGTAAACAAAAAATATTTTTCCAAAAACTACGAACGCTGGCAGAATCAAATGGGGGAGAGGGGGGGCGAACCCCCGTCGCATGCTCCGGTAATTATAACCCGCACGGGCATGTCACCGATGCGTAAGGCACATCATCGGCTCGTCGCGTTACGTTAATATTTAATTGGGTGTTTTTGATCTCTCCCCGGCTGGCTCTAATCGCGCGCGGGCCCTCTCGCGCGTGCAAGCGGGCCACGTTAAACAAGTGACGTTTTTTATTTTTTTACTTTACCCACCGTCACAATTACTGCCGAAGCTCATTATGGTCTAATTGTGACCACGCGTAAAGTCCCATCACCAAAATCTCCACCGAAACAACAAAATACTACGCGTGTATCAACCCGGGCTTCGTGTGCTGATAAGTCTGTACCCTATTCAAGCAATTGTTCCTGTATTTTGTGTCTCTTCCAAACGGTTTTTGTCAACTCTTAAGGGTTCTTTGGGTCCTTTCACTAAAGTCACGTAAATAGGTTCAAATAAATAACCAAAAACTACGATGTTTCGATCGCAACACAAGCGGTCGTCATCGAAACGTCGTAGTTTTTGGTTATTTTGTTTTGAACCTATCTACGTGACTTTACCGAAAGACCCAAAGAATATGAATTCCTGCAGTGACGAAAGCGTTAAGTCAAGATTTTACTCTTAAGGGCTCTTAACCGATGAAATTAATAGGTCGGGACTGCGTCGACAGTGGTATGTACTGTAATAACAATGAGAAAACAACTCAATACATGAGTATGCTATATAGAAAGTGGTATTAAACGGTGAAAGTTATGGGTTTGTTTAGTTTGCGACGGCGACAGAATAGTGTGTTTGAATGACTTTCACCTGAACTAACCTCCCACCATGGTCAACAATATTTATGGTATTCATGCCACTCGCACACACGAACACACACCAGCCTGCACAAACTCACACAAAAGTGCACAACACGAGGCAATAAAACAAATACAAGGCTCAGATACACCACAAGCTGACGCACATCACACTGCATGCTCATGTCAAATATATAGCTTACACACTTGTACAGCGTAGACACACAGGCGCATACACACCACAAGTTGAAACAAGCAAACTGCTGGTTAACACTCACACACCAACAAACTCAAAGCACAATAAAGTAGAGATACAAGCTTCAATAACACAGAATTGCTATAAACTAAAAGATAACGTATATTACTATTTGCATGCCGCACACACACACACCCACAGTACACACACAATTCTGATTCAGCACATGCCACCCATACATACTTGCATACAAACACCCATCGCAGCATACACACACCTCCATCACCCACCGCATCTCCACCTCGAACACTTTTAGTAACACACATACAAGACACCTGCAGCGCACATTAGTGCGCGCACACACAGACACAACTACAACACACAAATACACCAATATCCCCGGAACACGACGTACAGAACAATACTCATCCACACCACAATCATATCCCCAAAAAATATTTAGCGAGCACCTAAGAAGGTCAGCACTGTACATCAGGGTGGTGTGGGCAGCAACAAAATCAAAGATTCCCCCGTGTAGCCTTTGACAGTCTGTCGGGGCAAGTGCTGTTAGCGAGTAGCACCTACGAAGGCCAGCACAGCACACGAGGGGGTGGGTGGCCAACACCACGCCGGGTCGCCTTTGTCTCCCCAGTGGCGATATTTACACACCACACCAGGTAATCATTTGAGACTGAGTCGATCTAGGGGAGGCCCAGGACCGGTTTAGATAATCGTCACTGGTCTTCGCGGCCGTGAGCGGGAATCGAACTTGGGTCGTCGGGTTCGTAGCACAGCGCGCTAACCGCTGCTACACCACCGCTCCAAACTGAACCACAAAGACTCTAACACACACACACTTTTAGTGCACACACCTCCAACACAAACATCTCTAGCAATACACACGCTCCATCACACTTCCAGTATACACAAAAGGAAAACGTACCCTCCCAAATAAACAAAAGAAACGATATCAAACGCCACATCTCAAACACTCCTCCTTATACATATCTACTGAAACGATACACACCCACACCTCTGGCACACAAACACACCTCCTAGCGCGCACACACCTCCTGTAACACACATTTAGCACTGTTGGCTACATACGGTGCAAAAGAAGTTCAACATACATACATATCCCAGCATCCTGCACACATCTTGTACAAAGAGGCAAAGACCACCTGTATAGTCTTTACCAGGCTGTTGCGGTAAGTGCTGTTAGCGAGCACCTATGAAGGTCGGCACGCCACACGAGGGGGTGGGTGGCCAACACCACGGCCGGCCAACACCACGGCCGGCCAACACCACAGCCGGCCGCCTTTCGTCTCCCCAGTGGCGATGTTTACACACCACACCAAGTACTCATGCGAGGCTGAGTCGACCTAGGGGAGGCCCAGGACCGGTTCAGATACTCGTCACAGGTGTTGGCCGTGAGCAGGAATCGAACTCAGGTAGCAAAGTTCGTAGTGCAACGCGCTGACCGCTCCCCACGCACACCACCTGCTATGCCACAAATCACCACACACACCAACACCTCTCACACACACACACACCTCAAAACACTCCCAACCATCCCACACAAACACCCACCCGCTCACACACACGGCACCTCTCTGAGATCATGCAGCTCCCATCATCACGCACACGAACCACTCGCACACAACTCGATATCTAAACTACGTACATGTACAACACACCGCCTCGCCACAATGCTCTCTCGCACCAACAACACGCATGCCACCCCCGTCAAGGACCTCCGATTAGCACGGTTGGCTACGTACGGTGCGAATGAAGTTCAACATACTGTACATACATCACACCACACACATCACGTCACACAAACACACCACCCCCATAAAATCACACTACACATATCATACAAACACATCAAACCCCTCACACCACAACCATACACATCACCCCCATCACACAAACACATCCCCCCACATCACACTACCCCCATCATATCATACTACACCCCCCCCCCCATCACACAAACACACCACCCCTATAAAATCACACCACACAAATCACCCCCATCACACCACACACTCCCCATCACCCCCTTCGTACCACACATACATCCCCATCACATCACAAATACCCCCATCACACCACACACAAACACATCACCCCCATTACACCACACAAACACACTACCCCCATCACATCACAAACACCCCCCCCCCATCACACCACACAAACACGTCACCCCCATCACACCACACACACACAAACACATCACCCCCATCACACCACAAACACATCATCCCCATCACACCACAAACACATCACCCCCATCACACCACAAACACATCACCCCCATCACACCACAAACACATCACCCCATCACACCACAAACACCCCCATCACACCACAAACACCCCCGCCCCATCACCCCTATCACACCAACACATCACCTCCATCACACCAACACATCACTCCCATCACACCCACCCCCACCACCATCACACCACACACACATCACCTCCATCACACACACACATCACCCCATCACACCACACACACAAACACATCACCCCCATCACACACACACACCAACACATCACACCACACACTCCCTATCACCCCCCCCACCCCCTAGCATCAAAAACACACAGCACACCACACCCCCCCTTAGCACCACACACACCACAGCACACCACACACACCTCTGGCAGATCTCGTCGAGTTGCTCCTTGGTGAAGGCGCCCCCGTCCTGGAAGACGTTGTTGAGGGCGTGCAACGCGCACAGCTCACGCCGCTGACGCTCGTGGTAGAGACCGATGGGGGCCGCCGCCTGCTGCTGCTGCTGCTGCTGCAGCTGCTGCTGCTGCAACGCGTCGGCTTCCACCTTCATCTTCTTCGCTGCGCTCGTCCACGGCACGCAGTTCATGGCCGTGGATGATGATGATGAGGATGTCGTCGTCGTCGTTGCTGCTGCTGCTGCCGTGGTCTTAGCCGAAGCCGCCAGGGCGAAGCGTGTGGCCACGACGATGGTAAAGATGATGATGGTGATGGTGGCGAAGCAGATTTCTAGGTGGGTGGGGATGCAAGCGATGTCGACCATCCGCTGGGGAGACCTATAAGGGAGAGGGGGGGGGGTGATGAGCACAAGAGAAAGCTGTTGTTGCATTGGGTTCCTACTGCCAACACGACGGCGGAGAGATCATCCAACAGCTTCGGGTGGTGATTGGTGATGAGGTTGATTGATAAGCGCCAAGAGAACGCTACATTTCCGATCTTGTATTCTCACCACACAAAAACAAACCGATGTTAGATTATCCGACACCTTAGGATGATCATTAACAGCATGATTGTGATGATGCTGATGAAGGTGCTGCTGCCGATGATGAACATGATGGGATGAGTACGCTATTGATGAAGACGCTACCGATGAAGACGATGCCAATGAAGACGATACCGCCGATGATAATGAGGCTAAGCCATAGAAACATGATGATGATGATGATGATGTTTTCCAACCCCCCCCCCCACCCTATGCGAGATGCGATAACGTTGACGACCATTCACCGAGACACCCCCGGGCAATACGCACGTGTTGTGTGTGCGCGACTATTACACAGATTAATCGAGATAGACAGACGGGTAATTAATGACACTTTGAACGTAATGAAGACGACTATCATCAACTGGCCAGAAACCCATCCACCCGAGACGCCGGAAAGACGATGATGTTGGCGATAGTTTTAAAAGATAGTAAAGAAGACGTTGGATGATGATGATCATCATTGTGTACAGTATAAGCTAACCGAGACTACCGGAGGCGGTAGAGAGCTGTACAGTACTGGGCAATCACAAGTTAATTACAAATGTTAAAAGGAGATACTTCCCTTTTGTTGTTAATACGATGAGGAAGATCTTGGGTATCGACAATGGATAAGAAGAGAGGGCGGTGCGATGCAAATGTTGCGCTGCGGGATTATTCATGATGATGATGAAGATGGTGATGATGATGATGGAGGGTGATGATGATGGTGATGATGATAAGGGTGAAGATGATGGTGATGATGATAAGGATGATGATGAGGGTGAAGATGATGAGGGTGATGATGATGAGGGTGAGGGTGATGATGAGAGGGTGATGATGATGGAGGGTGATGATGATGAGGGTGATGATGGTGATGAGGGTGATAATGATGATGATGAGGGTGATGATGATGAGGGTGATGAAGATGAGGGTGATGATGATAGTGATGAGGGTGATGATGATAGTGATGAGGGTGATGATGATGAGGGTGATGAAGATGATGAGGGTGATGATGGTGAGGGTGATGATGATGAGGGTGATGAGGATGATGATGAAGATGATGAAGATGATGAGGGTGATGAAGATGATGGTGATGATGAGGGTGATGATGATGAGGGTGATGATGATGATGAGGGTGATGATGAGAGGGTGATGATGATGGAGGGTGATGATGATGAGGGTGATGATGGTGATGAGGGTGATAATGATGATGATGAGGGTGATGATGATGAGGGTGATGAAGATGAGGGTGATGATGGTGATGAGGGTGATGATGATGAGGGTGATGAAGATGATGATGATGAGGGTGATGATGGTGAGGGTGATGATGATGAGGGTGATGAGGATGATGATGAAGATGATGAAGATGATGAGGGTGATGAAGATGATGGTGATGATGAGGGTGATGATGAGGGTGATGATGAGGGTGAATCTCAATTACCCCGAGCCGCGATGCCGATTGAGGAAGACGACGACGATGAAGATGAGGAAGACGACGACGTGAGAGACGATGTTGTTGTTGAGGAGGAAGAGGAGGAGGAAGAGGAGGAGGAAGAGGAGGCGGAAGAGGAGGAGGAAGAGGAGGCCAAAGAAACCCCAACAACCACCACCAACCACCACCACCGGGAGCTCTCGGCCCAACGGAGGGGTCCTCGCTGTTCCCGTGTTCACCTCTTCACCTCCTCATCAACAACAACGACGTCCTCCACCACCAATCACCCTTCGCCCTCCTCCTACCTCTCCTCCTCCTCCTCACCACCACTTCTCTTCCGAAGCTCACCCCGACGACGCCTCACGACCCCTGCCACACCACGTATTTGAACACCAATCGCCACCACCTCCTCCTCCTCACCTTACTACTACCCCCCACCACCACCACGTCACCCTATTTCCCACACAACCACCTCCACACCTCTTCAATCCTCACCTCGTCTCCTCCTCCTCACCACCACCACCACCACCCTCTATTCCCCGCCACAGACAAGCGCCTCACACTATTCCTCACCCGATAACCAACCGTCTCTTCGACACGAACCACTACTACCTCCTCGACATCCACCTCATCTACCTCCACCTTCACCACCACCACCACTCTATTCCTCACCACTCAGCCAACCACCTCAACCCACTGCCTCTTCGACACGAACCACCACTACTACCTCCTCCACGTAGATTTAGCATCCACTTCGTCAACCACCACCTTCACCACCACCACTCAATGCCTCTCCCGATTGCCCACCACCTCCTCGACACGAACCACCACGCTACCTCCTCGGCATCCACCTCGTCAACCTCCTCCGCCTCCACCACCTCCACCACCTCCACCACCACGACCACCACCTTCACCGCGTGACCGTCCTCGGCGGCCTCCTCCCTCGCTCTGCTGCCCCCCCCCTCCTCACCCGGGCAGCACTTCCACCCCCACCACTGGGACGCCTCCCATTGGTCAACCACGCGGTCACGTGGACTCACCTCGGCCAATCTGAGCATCCCGCCGCGGAGCCGTAAACAATTAAGTTCATAATCCACACTTGCGTGGTTATTTTTTTTAGTTTGTTTAAAAATGTTTTTTTTTTCGTGCGCTTTTGATGAATCTTGGTGATGGTTAAGAAAACCAAATCCGCGAGTTAATTACGAAAATAATTAAATTTAGCCGAGGGGGGGGGGGGGTGTCCCGTCATGCATCGGGGTGGGGGCTGGTAGTTGGGGTCCTTTCTGGTGGTGGGTGGGGGCTAGGGCTGCCCGCAGAGCTCTCTGTGGGTGCCTGAGCCAATTAAATTAAAATTAACTTTAAGCACTTAGGGGTCGTCCATATATGACGTCACGCACCTAGGGGGGGAGGTCGGGAGGGGGTGAGAAATGTGACGTCACATCAAAATGCGCAACTTTAAATATAGACAACACGTTCTACTTAATTAAATAGACTTTTAATAAATGTTTTCTCCTACAACATCAGAGTGCAGCGCCACATTAAATACACACTACAACAGTGGCGGCTCCTGCAAAATCTCTCAGGGGGGGCAAATGTCTGGATGATTGATAAGGATAAGGTCCACCCATGCAATGGATAAATTAACAGCTTAAGCATGTAAAGGCAACTTCACTTCTTTAATATTAATGAAAAATAAAGTGACTCTTACAATACATCTTGTTTGTTTCTATACTCACTATTAATACAATCCACTCAAGTTTCTTTTATTAAAGATTCCACTAGGTGGCGACAAATTATATTGTTGGATGAAACGTGCTTACGTATGATGACGTAGCACGTTAGGGCGAGCCCTCCCGGAAGCCATAGAGAATGCATTGCAGCGCCCCCTCTTTCGAAAAAAAACATCTTTGAATGTAAGTCTATGGGAACACTCTGGGGGATTCTCAGCCGGAGTGAAATCGCCCAAAAAGACGCGGTACTCTACAGAACGTGACATGACGCTGATTGGACTATATCCAGAGGCACAGTGACGGCTAGCGTGACTCTGTGGTTGAATGACATTGGTGGTGCGTCGCCCAATCGCCCTAATGAAGAAACCGCCCCTGCACTACAATGACAATAGTTTAAAGCGATTTTAAGCATGTTTTATTGAGGGGGGAGTCTGATTTTTTGTGACGCCGTATGACGAAGGGGGGGGGGGGGTCAAAAATCGTCCAAAATCGAGTGACGTCATTTATGGACGGCCCCTTAGGTGGTTTTTAGTCGCAACCAATAGTTATGATTCACAATTGAGTTGGTCGCGAGTTAGGCCACGCGAAATGATCTGGCCAAATGTGTCACGTGCCACGCTTCGTACGCGTGACGACTGCATTTGTGTCCGGTTGGTGGAGGGTCTTACGACACACATTTGGCCGGATAATTGATTTACGTGCATAAACCCAAATATTATACGATTCGTTAAACATTTATTCCGTCACGTCATTTCACACTGTAGATATGGTTTGTCTCTAAAAATTATTGGCAATAAATGTTACCAAAGCAAGCAAACATCTGCAGCGGTTTAGACGAATCTGGGCCTCATCAGCAGTCAGGCTTGTTAAAGACATTGTGATCTGAAAAGACATGCAAAAGGCGAATAGACTATACGGTATATGTTTTATTAATGTGGAGACGGAACGGAATTCTGTTTATATTTGGTTTCCCTCCAGAATGCTCCACAGTATTAACTCGCAGTGTGGCGAGTTTGTGCGCATTAGTCAGTCGCAATTTAATCCGGATCAGCCAGTCAAAATATGGCACACAGACAACACATGAATATGGCACACAGGCAACACGCATGAGAAGACGCACATAACACATTTTTTTTTATGAGAGGTTATTTTAAAATTTTAAAATGACCAAGTAACCAATTCAAAGCAGCTATGGCCAATCTAAGCAGGTGTAAGCCTGGATAGTCCACGGATTGGTGACTCCCATACATTAACGGGTTGTTGTAGGGAGCTGCCAGGTTTTGTTGTGCACCGCAGAGGGCAGTACAGAAAAATGTTGTACCGTACTTCTATGCTTCCAAGTTCACGTTTCCCGCCTTCACCAACCCGCTACTGATGATGAAGTGTGGTCAAATAACCCCCCACATCTTACACAGATGTAGATGACATCTGTGTTCGTATAGGATTCACTCTTGTTATGCTCATCGCTGACATAACCATGCCAATTTGTACACGGCAAACGTGCCATTATGGGTTTAACTCTGTGACTCATGAGTGACGTGACCGTGTTAACCCAAATAGCAACTGTGCTACTCTTTCACTCTTTGTGTTCATCATCGACATCGCCTTGTTGGCATAATGGCAATCGTCATGACAGTCACGGTTTCACCTTTATTGAACTTCATCAGTGATATACAGACACTATTTGCTGCTACTTTGCATATAACAGTGATAACGTGGGGTTTATTCTTACTTATTATATCTCCGTAATGTTGTGCATGACAAAGAAGCAATCGTTATAACTCAGTGGACTTTACCTGGTAAACGTTTTTTGTTTATTGATATAAAAAGTGTATTATTATATTCTTTGGGTCTTTTTGTAAAGCCACGTAAATAGAAAAATAAGAATTTTTTTTTTAGTGATTTGCTTACCTTACCGATATGTTGCACTACTATGGTGTGTTTTACATTGTTCGTTCAGAATTAGAATATTTATTTACACACAAGGAATCCGATGAGCTCTCAAGGGGCCGTCCATAAATGACGTCACGCGATTTTGGACGATTTTTGACCCCCCCTCGTCACAAAGTCAGACCCCCCCCCTCAAATATGACGTCACAAAGCTCTGCCCCCCCCCCCCAAACCATATTTACATTTTGAAAATAAAACATGCTTCAAATCGCTTTAAACTATTGTCATTGTAGTGCCTATTTAATGTGGCGCTGCACTCTGATGTTATAGGAGAAAACATTTATTAAAAAGTCTATTTCATTAAGTAGAACGTGTTGTTTATATTTATTTAAAGTTGCACATTTTACGTGACGCCACATTTCTCACCCCCCCCCCTCGTCACACATCGTCACAAATGTCTGAACCCCCCCCCCCCCTAGGCGCGTGACGTCATTTATGGACGGCCCCCAAGCTATTTTTCACAGATGCCCAGTAGGGGCGGGTAAGGACATTACAATAACAAACGGTATAAAACAATAGGAGTGCAAAGTACACGGGAGGACATGTGTGAAAAAAGAGCTTTATAGCTAATCGGATTCTTCCAGTCAAAATAAAGATTCTGATTGTGTGTAAACAACACACCTGTCAACCCCTTATCAGCGTTTTACATTATTACAGCCCAATTCAGACCTTATTGGTCACCCCGTGCCCTTATACATCTCAACGTTCATCCTACAAAGTCCCATCACAAGTGAGAATCAGAAACAAATAGACAACACAAATGTTGATAATTGGGGTTTTACCCTTTTATCTGGCAACAAAACTGACACCTTTTTTACAAGGAGTCATGTTTGTATAGACCACAATACCTGCAGTCAGAATGCAAACAAAAAACACAACTCTGATCATGTATGCACTGTCCTTGTAATTGATTGGTCCACACCCGAGACAGCTTTTCTTAGAGCCCAGTCTCACATGGTGTTGGACCAGATGACGCCAAAAGGCGCACAAATGTTTCCCTATTGAAACGGCTGTACGCCGTATGGACCTGAAAACTCAATTTCCCTGTACAAGAATACGGGTTAACCCCTATGGGTTGACAGCTATGAAACATCAATTATACAGGTTTTCTTGGGTTAGATCGCGTAAATATAAATGTGTCGTTAAACCCACGCTGTTTATCGTGATAAACCTTACTAAATTGGCTGTGTCGGGTGGTGGCGGGTTTACGACACGTTGATATATTTACGCTAACTAAAAAAAACTATATTGTGGATGATATTGGTCGCGAAAGCCTACTGCGTGTGAAACTGGCATGAAACAACTGGCTTCGTCTCCATTGGTGATCATCAGCGCGGCCGCATCCCCCGCCCTCTTCCCCCATCCATCCAATCAACACCACGCACGCCCTAGGCCACACCCCCCTATTGGGCCGCGAACCAATCGCAAGAGCGTTCACCCGCGGTGACCAATCAGCGCGACCCGCGAGGCGGCGGCTGTTTGCCCGTGTCGCCGTCGCGCGCTCCTATTGGAGGAGGGGCAACGCGGCGGCCGCCCGCACCACCGCCATCTTACCACGGGGTTGACTGCCTGCTCCGATGACGTCACAAGCGACGGGAGGGGTGGATGGGTGGGGGGGGTGGATGGGTGGGGGGGGTGGATGGGTGGGGGGGGTGGATGGGTGGGGGGGGTGGATGGGTGGGGGGGGTGGATGGGTGGGGGGGGTGGATGGGTGGGGGGGGTGGATGGGTGGGGGGGGTGGATGGGTGGGGGGGGTGGATGGGTGGGGGGCTGGGGGAACCAATGGCGAGGCGGAGTCTGAACCCCCACCCCGCTCCTCCCACGCCGCGTCCTCGAAGCCGACCAATCGGTGCGCGCCGGAGTACCAAGATGGCCGCCAAAGACACCATCAGCACCACGGCGAGCGGCAGCGGCGGCCTCCCCACCGTGTGACGACGCTTCAGGACGTCGCCTCCCCACCCACCACCACCCCACCACCACCACCACTGACTCCCCTCCACCCCCCCCACCACCACCACCCCGGGGTGCGTTGCGGGCTGATGTCGTCAGCACAACCGAGCGCGGACAGTGCGCGCTGCCGAGGAAACGTTCCCATGATGATGTCGTCGTCTTCGTTCGTCGTCGTCGTGACTTAGCGCGGCCGTGCAACTGCTGAGGAACGGCAAGAGCGGCGGTGCAGAGGGATTCGCGGCGTCGTCAAAGCGCAAGGAGTTGAGGCGGGTGGGGGGGGGACGAGAAGAGGCTTTTGACGGCGGCTCCTGGAGTCGGAATGGCGAGCGGAGGCCTCGTTTCGTCGCGCGGCCCCGGCTCGGCACGGCCACTGCTGCCGTCCATCTCGCTGCCGTTGATATCCGCGGGGACAGTTCGACTCCTACTAACACGAGCACAACATCGATTACAACAGCGCTGACTTGTTTAGGGGGGGCGGCGGCGTGGGGGGGGGGGGGTCACACTTGTTGTTGACGCGTGGGAAAGTGACAGCCGCTCTTGACGTTCGCTTGTCGCGATCACCTCAGACGTGACCATTGTCGTTCGGGGCCCAGGTGCACTTATTTATTGCCACCGATTCCCCCGTTGTGGTGTCGTAGAAGCGACGCGAGTTGGGGGGGGGGGGGAGAGACGTTGATTGTATCGTGGGAGCGGGCGGTGGGGGGTAGAGGTCGCAGGTCTGCGTTGGAAGGCGACACTCGGGGTCAAGTTTATTTTCAGTGAATCGCCGTCGGTGAGGTGAAGGAGGAAGAGCGAGCGAGCACCTGGTGGTAGCACCACCACCATCACCACCATCATCACCGCCGCCACCGCCGCCACCACCAGCGAGATGGAGTTCCCCGGGTCAGCGGCCGAGGGCAGCAACCTGTACGCGCCGGACAGCGGCGTGCTGGAGACGGTCAATGGGGAGGCGGACTCGACACTCGCATCGAAGGTAATGGGGGTGGTGGTGGTGGTGGGGGTGGTGGTGGTGATGGGGGTGGTGATGGGGGTGGTGATGGTGGTGGTGATGGGGGTGGTGGTGATGGGGGTGGTGATGGTGGTGGTGGGGGTGGTGGTGGTGGGGGTGGTGGTGGTGGGGGTGGTGGTGGTGATGGTGGTGATGGGGTGGTGGTGATGGTGGTGGGGATGGTGGTGGTGGGGGTGGTGGTGGTGGTGGTGATGGGGGTGGTGGTGATGGTGGTGATGGGGGTGGTGGTGGTGATGGGGGTGGTGGTGGTGATAGGGGTGGTGGTGATGGGGTGGTGGTGGTGATGGGGGTGGTGGTGGTGATGGGGGTGGTGGTGATGGGGGTGGTGGTGGTGGTGATGGGGGTGGTGGTGGTGGTGATGGGGGTGGTGGGGGTGGTGGTGGTGATGGGGGTGGTGGTGATGGGGGTGGTGGTGATGGGGGTGGTGGTGGTGGTGGTGGGGGTGGTGGTGGTGATGGGGGTGGTGGTGGTGATGGGGGTGGTGATGGGGATGGTGGTGATGGAGGTGGTGGTGGTGATGGTGATGGGGGTGGTGGTGGTGGTGATGGGGGTGGTGATGAGGGTGGTGGTGGTGATGGGGGTGGTGGTGATGGGGGTGGTGATGATGGGGGTGGTGGTGATGGAGGTGGTGGTGATGGGGTGGTGGTGGAGAGGCTCCTGCCTCGGGAACGAGTCGGTCCCACGCCTGGCCTCGTCTTTCCTGCACGGCTAGGCCACTGCGCGGAGCATTGACGGTGGAAGCGTTGAATTGCCAGCAACGTAGCCTCGCAGCGACGTGATGATGACCGTGTTTGTGTGTGGGTGGTCGTTCATACCAAACACTGTTTCAGGTGATGTTGTCATAGACCTGAAACATCTCACCAAGCCGGAATAAGATGACACCTCGGCGAGATGTTAACCACCTCGCCTGGTATACAGGAGGTCGTGGGTTCAATCCCGACCCTTACTCCTGTGATGTAGTATATGTAGTGTGCGTGCTCCCCCCCCCCTCTCCACATGTAGAGACACGCGTTTAGAGTGCTGTGTGTGGCTGCTCGACATGTCCACACGATGAGCCGCTTCGTTGAGCTCTAATTTGTGGCCAGGTCGCTTATAATGGCTCTATGTGTACCAAGCAGCTGGCCAAACATTCCGTGATTCGTGAGCGCTATATGGGCATCTTTGTATACAGTTATGTAAGTCGAGGTGCCGGCGACGTGTCGAATTTGGGCCAACACGTGGGGATATTCAGTTTCACGTGGCCTTGATGTGCACCTCGCCGACAACAGCACAAGAGGTGTAGTGACGTTGCAACAACTTGGTGGTGACGTTGCAACAACTTGGTGGTGACGTCGCAACAACTTGGTGGTGACGTCGCAACAACTTCGTGGTGACGTTGCAACAACTTGGTGGTGACGTCGCAACAACTTGGTGGTGACGTTGCAACAACTTGGTGGTGACGTTGCAACAACTTGGTGGTGACGTTGCAACAACTTGGTGGTGACGTCGCGACAACTTGGTGGTGACGTCGCAACAACTTGGTGGTGACGTCGCAACAACTTTGTGGTGACGTCGCAACATATTTGTGGTGACGTCGCAACAACTTTGTGGGGACGTCGCAACAACTTGGTGGTGACGTCGCAACAACTTTGTGGTGACGTCGCAACAACTTGGTGGTGACGTCGCAACAACTTTGTGGTGACGTCGCAACAACTTGGTGGTGACGTCGCAACAACTTTGTGGTGACGTTGCAACAACTTGGTGGTGACGTCGCAACAACTTGGTGGTGACGTCGCAACAACTTGGTGGTGACGTCGCAACAACTTGGTGGTGACGTTGCGACAACTTGGTGTTGACGTTGCGACAACTTTGTGGTGACGTTGCGACAACTTGGTGGTGACGTTGCAACAACTTGGTGGTGACGTCGCAACAACTTTGTGGTGACGTCGCAACAACTTGGTGGTGACGTTGCAACAACTTGGTGGTGACGTCGCAACAACTTGGTGGTGACGTTGCAACAACTTGGTGGCTAAAAAAAAAGGGGCCGGCTGCTGTTGTTGTTTTGGGTTGTAATAAAGTTACAAAGTAAACGAAACAACGTGGCACCGCGTTGAATGAACATTCTTTCACGGCGTGTTGCTCACGTTCACAGCTATGCCATAGCTGCATACCCTGTTCAAACGAACAGCTGATTTATGTTTAGTTTTTGTTGTCTTCCACACACCCCCCGCATCTACGATTAGCACGGTTGGCTACGTACGTTGCGAATGAAGTTCAACATACGTACATTTAAGTCAGTGATACCTCATACATGGCAGGCAGGGGCCTAGCTAACATCCGGTACATTTTCCGTGTGTGTGTGGCCGAGTGTCAAAGTTGACTTCCCTATGAACTTTCAACGCTGTGCCCTTAACGTCCCTATTCGATTGTTATCTTGTTCGTCTTTCGTATGGCGTTTCAAAAATAATAATCGACACGCTACACATTCCAGGGCACGATGGTCGATAATGGTTTGGGTGATATTCGTATGAATGGGCAATCGAACCCGGGTTCTTTGCTCGTCAACACAGCCACTAACCCCGCCAGCCACTCAATCCCTCTGGCTATCAGTGATCGCGGGCTATTATAAACACGTTTCTCGTTCAACAACATTGTTCCGAAATGAAAACGAATGCGTAAAAGTGGGCGCAAGCATGGAAGATCAGCCGTAGTTATTTAGAAAATGTACATATATTATTTGTGACCTTTTAGGGCCACGGTGTTATTGACGATCGTGTGTGTTGTGGTTTGTTGTTGTTTGTGCACCACTGACAACGCAGCAGCGGCAATCGCCACATAATTTGGTGTCATTAAATGCCTACCATCGTATCCCATCAGCAACAGCAATATCGTCATTACGTCGAGTTATTCTCTCGAGCACTTGTTCTGTTTCCCTTGTTTCTATGTTTTTTTAATAAACAACTTTTATTTTAATCATCGGTGGTTGTCCCCCCCCCCCCCCCCCGTTTAGTATGGGGTTTAGAAGTCCCAAAATCTAATTTTAACACAAAAGCTCAACACACTGTCAACGTGTTAACACTGCGGCCTTCAAAGGAAACATATATAATCGGTGACGTTTTGACCAATGGCCCTAATTCATAGCACGTAAAATGTCTTTGTGTACCCACGTCTACCTCTCACACGTGTCTGTGTGTGTGTCCATGTGCACGTGCATCAGCTGGCGCTGGTGAGCCCCGACGCAGAGCAGTACGAGCGCCTACTGCAGCAGCTGCGAGAGCGTCTCTCCGAGGGCCAGGGCGAGACCATCTACGTCATCGGGCAGGGCAGTGGTGAGTCCGGTACTCGCAAGTCGGGCCCTATAACACGGCCCGGCGGTAGCACGTTCACCGATTGTTGCCAGAGGGTTCGTTTTGTGCTAAGTTAGCCGTATAATTGCAAAGATAATAATCGTCGATTATTAAGACCTGCGCACACACGCGGATTATTTTTTTCCCCCAACAGACTCCGAGAGGGATTGTTGTTGGATCAAGCAGCCCTCGCTAGAATTGCGCACCAGGGCATGACAATTTTGGGGCGGGCGTTAAAGGTTGGCGTCAGTTGGCGGGCAGTAAATTAATGGCTGAGGTAGGGAAATGAGAGGTGGCCTGGTGGCTCAGCGGGTGGATAGCGTGTTGGAGATGTTGGGCTGGCACAACGGAGGTCGTAAGTTCGAATCCAGATTTTATCCGCTTGGGTTTAAACTGTTTCTGAAGTGTAGTGAGTTGCTCGTCACTGGCTGGTCACACCTTCAATCGAACCCCTCTACGTTGACCGGACACAGGCGGTGATCAACCACGTCCTTGCCTAAGGTCTATAGGCCGAGGCCTGATAATTGCTTCATGCCAGTGTTCTTCACTAATTTTTCAGAGGGGGGCCACCTTTGCCGATAAGATATCGGTGTGAGGGCCGCCACACATTTGAAACCGTTGGATTTCACAGCACGATGTGGGTGTTTTCACAATTTGTGTTTGGTAGGGTGGGGGGGCCGCACGTCAGGGGCCGCACTAAAGGCCACCAGCGGCTGCCAGTGGCCCGCAGACCTTGCAATGAAGGAACACCGCTTTATGCATTCACCGCGTACGTGTCAACGCAACACACTCACGCGTGCGCTGCTGCATCACCCCTCCCCCCGCCCTCACCGGCAGATGGCGGAGAGTACGGGCTGGGCGAGGACGACATGGTGGCGTCAGCGGCGACGCTGGAGGGCATGGCGGGGCAGTGCGATGCCGAGATCGTGCTGCTGCGCGAACGCTCCGAGCCGGGCGGGCGAGCGCGCGAGTACCTCGTGCGGCGCAACGTGGCTGACAACGACTTCCTGGAGGTCAGGTGGGTCAAGCGAACGACAGGTCGCGCCATCACGCCGACCCCCTCCTCCCACTGCTGACCACGGAACTTCACAGCCTCTGCACAACTAAACTATTAAAATAATGTTTTATTTTACCAGGTAAGGCCCACTCAGCCATGTAGTTTTTTTTCAGAAGCGACCTGGGTAGCTCAATGAAGTGGCTTATCACGTGGAAATGTATGGCAGCCAAATTACTCCATAAACTAAATGTGGAGGGAAAAACCAGAGAAACCGGAGAAAAATCCACGCGACCACGGGGAGAGAGAATATGCAAACTCTAAATAAACAGACATTAGGTTTGGGATCGTGCCCACGACCTCCTGTATACCAGGCGAGGTAGTTAAAATGTTGCCACCCAGGTGAAACTGCAGGAATGACCCCCATCAGTGCAGAACTGCAATGGATGAGACTTGCCTCTCCACAACTGCACTGCTCCTCGAACTACAAAACGGTGGTGCCACCCTCTTCTAACCACACAACCACAGGAATGCCCCCTTTTGTGTCTAGCGATCGCAGTGCCGCCCCCCCCCCCCCCACCTCTAGCCACAAGTGCAGGGATGTCTCCACGCTGCCCAACAGCATGCTCCAGCCCACGCTGAAATCCTCGACCGTGTGCTCGATTGTTTCGAAACGCCGTGCTGTGCGAGGCTGTTTTCTGATTTCACGGAGATGTGTGTTAGCGGAGAGATTAGATGAGACGCCGCGATATCACTTGGTTGAAAGAGAAAGCACCAACCTCCCTCCCTCTTCCACCCAAATCTCCCCCCCCCCTACCACAACCGCTAGTCCCCAGACCCCCACGTGACCACTGTCTTTGCCTCCTCGTGCTCCTCTGTGGCCCTAACCACTCCACTGACCCCCCCACGTGTCAATTCTCTCCCCTCCCCATGACCATCCTCTGTAATTACCACCCCTTTCCTTCCATGACGAACCCCCCCCCCCCATTCACCCTCCCCACCTCCCCATCATACCACTCCCTCACCGTGACATCCCCTCTTCCCTTCTGTGACCATTCCTTTAATCGCCGCTGCCCACCTCCGTGACCACTCCTCTCTCTTCCCTTCCCCCGTGACCTCACTTTGACCCCCCCCCCCCACCTTCCCGCCCCCCAATGGTCAGGGTGGCGGTGGTGGGCAACGTGGACGCGGGCAAGTCGACGCTGCTGGGCGTGCTGACCCACGGTGAGCTGGACAACGGCCGTGGCTTCGCGCGCCAGAAGCTCTTCCGGCACAAGCACGAGATGGAGTCGGGGAGGACGAGCAGCGTGGGCAACGACATCCTGGGCTTCGACAGCGCCGGCAACGTGGTGAACAAGCCCGACGCGCATGCCAGCGGCCTCGACTGGACACGCATCTGCGAGAAGTCGTCCAAGGTCATCACCTTCATCGACCTGGCAGGGCACGAAAAGTACCTGAAGACCACGGTGTTTGGCATGACGGGTCACCTGCCCGACTTTTGCATGCTCATGGTGAGATGCACACAATTACACGTGCGCGTGTGTGCACGCGGCGCGCGTGTGTTTTGGGGGGGGGAATGGTGGCGCAGTTGTTGGTGCGTCATGCGACGAAGCCTATGACACGGGTTCGATTCCCGTTCACGGTCGACACCAGTGACGGTTATCTGAACCGTTCTCGGGCCTCGCCGAGGTCCACTCGCCCACAAATGAGTAGCTGGTGTGGCGTGTAAACATCGCCACTGGCGAGACAAAGTTGCTCAGGCGTGGTACTGGCCACTCACCCCCTCGTGTGCCGTTCTGGCCTTCATAGGTGTTCGCTAACAGCACTTGCCCCAACAGTCTGTCAAAGGCGATATGGGGGACCTTTTTCTTTGGGCACAAGGATGGAGGGTGGTATCCGTTGTGTTTGGAGTGATGCGATGGAGGGGGCGAGCAGTGACTTGCTCTGTGGTCCGTTGGTTGAGATGCGGACTCGTGTGCAGATTCATCGAATTGCATAGACATCCACAGACTCGGACGGAGATTCGTATAGACTTATACGATGGAAGCCGGCAGACGTGTTGCTGTGCGGTCCAAGGGTTGGAGGTTGTTCACACCGTGTGCTCGTATAGATCTCTGACATTGACCGCTCGCGTTGCGCCCCTCCTGTCCTCCCTCCTGCCCTGCCCGCGCGTGAACCAGGTGGGCAGCAACGCGGGCATCGTGGGCATGACCAAGGAGCACCTGGGCCTCGCGCTCGCCCTCAATGTCCCCGTGTTCGTGGTCGTCACCAAGATCGACATGTGCCCGCCCAACGTGCTGCAAGGTGCCACTCGTGACCTCGTGACCGGGTTGGGGCAGAGTGTTAAAAAAAAAAACTCCAGCCGTCATTCCCTTTCTTGTTTGCCCAAGCTTCTCCATTCGAATGCAGAGATAATATTACGCCACCGTGGGCGCCACGGTGGTGAGATGTTAACTACCTCGCCTGGTATACAGGAGGTCTTGAGTTCAATCCGGACCCTGACGACCTGCTGTATATTTGGAGTTTGCATGTTCTCCCTGTGGTCGTGTGGATTTTTCTCCGGGTCCTCTGGTTTTTCCCTTCACATTTAGATTCAACATGTGTTTAGTATTTGGCTGCTATAAATTTCCACGTGATAGGCTACTTCATTGAGCTATTATTTGTGGCCTGGTCGCTTCTGAAAAAGAGTTATGTAGCTCAATGGGCCTGACCTGGTAAGAAAGATAAAATTAGTTTTTAGTTTTTTATCTGTGCGTTACATGCCGAATGCGCTTCATGATTGTTAAACGTGTCGCGCGTGTTCAGTGGTACGGTCAGACAACCCCTGTACCCCTGTAACCGATACAGTGTGGGGATGCCTTCAACCAGCCGTGGATTGACAAGGGGTCCGTAATTTGTGCATAAGTATCCTCCGCTATAACTTTGTCGCATTATGCATTGTATCGTGTATATACATACGTTGCTGAGGAATTGGGGAACATTTCCTCGTAAGTTTAACGTTTCGCGTTCTTGAAAAAAAACGCAAAATTGTATGCACAATTTCGAAAGTGGGAATGCACATCGTGATAACAGACTATTGAAGGTATTTACAGCCTCATTTGTAAGAGTGGGTTACCAAAATGAAGTTGAAGTACAAGAGTGAGGCAAGTTGAAATATTGGGATGGTTCCTTCCTCCCAAGAAGAAGGTTTCCTAATCCTCCTGCAGCTGCCGCTTAACGTCCAATCACAACCTGACCTGTCTCCTCTTCCTCCCCCCCTCTTCCAATTCCCATCACCACTGTCACCATCATCGTCGTCGTCACCAGACACGCTGAAGCTGCTGCAGAGGCTGCTGAAGTCGCCCGGTTGCCGCAAGATCCCGGTGCTGGTGCAGACGCGGGACGACGTGGTGGTGACTGCGACCAACTTCACGTCGGAGCGCATCTGCCCCATCTTCCAGATCTCCAACGTGAGCGGCGAGAACCTGGACCTGCTCAAGATGTTCCTCAACCTCCTGTCAGCGCGCATGGGCTTCAGCGAGGCCGAGCCCGCCGAGTTCCAGATCGACGACACCTACTCCGTGCCGGTAACGCGAGCATGAAACTAAACTATCAACTGGTTTATTTTTTTAGCACGGATTTTAAACGTCCGTTGCCCTATTCCCGTTGTGACATCATTTTTTTGGGGGGGGGCAGGAAAAGTACGGAAGCGATGTCATGCTTTCGGATCACTATCGTTTACTTTTAACACTGAACAATTTATTATTTGACCAAGTAAGGCCCACTGAGCGATATGGCAATTTTTTCAGAAGCGATCTGGCTACATGCGATGATAGCGCACGGAGTGTACCTTTCGGTGGCACAAGTTGCGTGGTGCAGTCACGTATGATGCAGATAATGGCAGTTGCATACTACTATGCTGTTTATCTAATTTTCAAGCTTGTCAAATGAACTCTAAAAAAAGCTATTTTTTATTTACCAGGTAAGGCCTGAGTTGTGTAGCTCTTTCTCAGAAGCGAACTTTGCCACTCGCGATGTGATAGGTCAAAAATCGGAGGACCTGGAGAATATCCAAGCAACCATAGGGAGAGAGAGACATGCAAACTCCAAATATATATGCATGCTCGGCATAGTTAACATCTATTTAGTACGTAACACGTAGTCGGTTTTCTCAGCCAATGTCATGAATTAAATTAGAATGAATAAAATTTCAATGGTTACTTTGGGGGCGGTGATGTGGTCCAGGGGGAGCCCGTTTTGCTGATTGTCGCAGAGTTTGCGATTCGACGCCAGGTGTCTGCCCTGGCTAACACTGCAATCGTATTAACCGTAAAATACTCGGCCTTGCTGCTTTTTGTGTTTCGTTTGTTGTCCTTGCCCCCGCACCTCCGATTAGCATGGTTAGCTACGTATGGTGGTCTGAAAGAAGTTAAATATGCATACGTTAAAACGCTTTGATGTGTTTAAACGCTTGTACACGTGGCAATTTAATTTGTTTTTATTGTCAGGTGGTAGAGGGTTACACGACAAACATTATCTGGCCTAGCCCAACCAACCACGATGATAATTAGGTATTTGTGCCATATTCAGAGCTCCGTGTTTTACAGGCGAATGTCGTCTGCGAGAAGGGCTAACGATTCCTCACATCGGTGGCGAGTGGATATCTTGAACCGATCCAGGGCCTCCGTGCTGACAACAGCAGTGACAGTGACTCCGGCAACCATCGTCAAGCGACGGCTGGGTGTGGATTCTGGCCGCGCCACTCCCTCGTGCGCCGTGCCGGCCTTAATTGGCGTTCACAAACAACAATTGCTCCAGCAGCCTTTGTGGGCTACGCGGGGGATCTCTGTCTTCGTGTGCGTGGAGTGGAAGCTGGGCGGCTCTCCTAATGGGTCACAAACGTGGCCACCCGAGTTAGATTCCCGGCCACGGAGGAAATGCATCTGTCGCGAGCGTTATCTGAAAGCTGTCCTAATATGTGCGCGCCTTTCTTTCGGACTGCACGCTTGAAGCACGCGCAGAAAGGATCACTCTTTTCTATATCCTGATTTCACTGCCGCTGCGTTTCCAGGGCGTGGGCACGGTGGTGTCAGGCACGGTGCTCCGAGGCCTCATCCGCCTCAACGACACGCTGCTGCTGGGCCCCGACCCGCTGGGCGCCTTCACGGCAATCGCCGTCAAGAGCATCCACCGCAAGCGCATGCCGGTGCGCGAGGTGCGCGGCGGGCAGACCGCCTCCTTCGCCCTCAAGAAGGTAACGTAGCGGCCGCCAAGGCTCGTGTCGGATGGGTTCGGGGTGGAGGGGGCTGGTGGAGGGGGGGGGGGGTGGAGGGGGGGGTGGAGGGGGGGGTTGAGGGGGGGGGTTGAGGGGGGGGGTGGAGGGGGGGGTGGAGGGGGGGGTGGAGGGGGGGGGTGGAGGGGAGGTGGAGGGGAGAGGGGACGTGGAGGGGGGGTACGTAGATTCACAATGTCCTTGTCAAAGGTGCCGAGATGGCTTTTTTTCTTGCGACCCGGCAAGGGGACGAGCGGATTTATTTTGGGCAATTGCCGGGACCAAACCGCGAGATTTAACCGACGAGAGTGCAACAGTTCGGCAGACGAAGGGCAAGGTCACCAGGGTGGATGGGTGGCTCTGGGTTCTGGTTCACGATGGCCGTGTCGTAGCCACTGAGCCCGGGGAGAGACTGTTTGAGCCCTCTGCGAGCAAACCGCTGTGGGTCCTGGTTTTTGAACTCAGAATGAAAAGCGCTGGTGAGTGAACTGCTGCGCCACCGCTCCCGCCATCGTTAACGCGCCGCTCCCTGACGTCGCTTGCGGTCTGCGTTTCGTTGCCTACGCAGATCAAGCGCGCGTGGATCCGCAAGGGCATGGTGATGGTGTCACCACGCGTCAACCCTCAGGCTTACTGGGAGTTCGAGGCTGAGATCCTGGTCCTCCACCATCCGACGACCATCAGCCCACGCTACCAGGCCATGGGTGGGTCCGTCGTTTGTGATGACGGTCGCAGGGACTCTGACTCGGCAACCATCGCCCTAGAGCAGGCGTGGGGAATCTACGGCCTATAGGCTGGAGACGGCCTACGGGCTGGATACGGCCCCGCAAGCGACGTTTATTATTCCGTCACGGTCTTGTCTGCAATTCACGATTCCGCTCTCGTCATCGTGTACGTTCCCTCATTGCCGCCGCTACGCCCTGACGCCCCCCCCCTTCACCCCCCACACCCCCTTTTAAGGTTTAACACATAGGCTTTCACGACCAATATCATCCAGAATAGAGGTTTTTGGGTTAGATCACGTAAATATATAAATGTGTCGTTAAAACCTGCCACCAGCCGACACAGCCAACTCGTAAGGGTTGTCACGTAAACAGAACGTGGCCAATTCGTCACTAGTACAGCACTAGTGTGTAGTGTATAGTAGTGTATAGTGTAGTGTGTAGTGTACTAGTGTAGTGTATAGTGTAGTGTGTAGTGTAGTGTATAGTGTAGTGTACTAGTACAGCACATCAGTGTGTTGGAGAGCCAAGCCACAACATTTACAAACTGAGTACGGCGTTTCGCCAGTAATTACAACCAGCTTCATCAGGCGACAGCCAGATTGTGTGGAGACGTCCACCTGTTTCGTTCCTCATATAGAGGCGTAGAAGTGTTGACCATCCTTCTGCGCTCTTGCGCAATGTGGGTGGGGGGGGGGATTACTGAGTCAACGTACATTATGCATGTGCATTATGCGAGTCCTTTTAACTTGTCCTTCCTGTCTATTGTGTTTATTAAAATAGCCGTACCTGACGGTAATCCCTATTGAAGTACGCTGCCCTTTGTAGGCATGCACTTAAATAATGTATTATTTGATGATTCGCTTTCACGCAGCACTAAGATGGTAGCTATCCGAACGGTTAAAGTTATTTAGATTTCTTTCAATTTCGATAGATTCTCTAATTAGTCTTGGCCAGTAGTAGCTAGTTTTGCACAAAACTTCAACATTATCAAAATCAATTGAGTGTCCTTGTTGGCACGTGTGTTCTGCTACTGCTGACAGTTGCATTTGGGAGAATTTAATATTTCTCTGATGTTCTTTTAGTCGCGTGCTGATCATTTGTCCTGTTTGCCCAACATAACATTTACCACACGTGCAGTTAATCCTGTACACAGCTTCTGTTGATAGCTTCGGTAATACATCTTTTGTACCAGATATTAAATTCTGTATTTTATGTACCGTGCCATATCTGACTCTGATGTTTTGTTTTTCCTCTCCGCCATTGTCCTCTGCCCTCTTTCCCTGTGCCCCCCCCCCCACCTGCCGCATGCAGTGCACTGTGGGAGCATCCGGCAGACGGCCACGATCCTGGGCATGAGCCGCGACTGCTTGCGCACGGGCGACAAGGCCAACGTGCATTTCCGCTTCATTAAGAGCCCCGAGTTCTTGCACCCGGACACCCGCCTCGTGTTCCGGGAGGGCCGCACGAAAGCCGTGGGCACCATCACCAAAGTACGCGCGCACTTGTGTGTGTGTGTGTAGTGTGTGTGTAGTGTGTGTGTAGTGTGTGTGTAGTGTGTGTGCAGTGTAGTGGTGAGCGCTATTGCGCTACGAACCCGGCGGCCCGAGTTCGATTCCCGCTCACGGCCAACACCAGTGACAATTATCTGAACCAGTGCTGGGCCTCCCCTAGGTCGACTCGGCCTCAAATGAGTACCTGGTGCGGTGTGTAAACATGGCCACGAGGGAGACAAAGGGGGTCAGGCGTGGCACTGGCCACTCACCCACTCATGTGCCGTGCTGGCCTTGGTAGGTACTCGCTAATAGCACTTGCCCCAACAATATTTTAAGGGTGGTATTTACGTACGCATCGTCCGGGGAGATTGAAATATATTGTAAACAGATATTGCCTGAAGTCTCGCTTAATACGTGCTGTTCACACAACGCTGTTTCGCTGTAACGCGGTTCTTCCATTCGGGAACACTTTTCGCACAACGCAGAGTGCGCCCCGTTATAACGCGCAACGCTTACCACGTTGTAGCGCAGTTCCTGAGCGGTAGACTGCAAACTACTTTCTTGAGCCGCGTGGCTGAATGGTAGAGTCATACAGTACGCGGAATGATACAGTAACGCGGCGGCGTACCCTCAGCTATTCGTCCCGCCATCTCGCTGTGTGTGCACAGCATATCGTATCTACAAAAACTTTATCGTTATATTATTTACGGGGAAACAGTTTGGCGCTTGGCACGCTTTTCGCTTGACGCGCACTTTGAGTGTTGGGACATGTGTAGTGTGGTTCAAGGAGACTTGGACGACGTAGTTGGAGGCACACTTATTTATTAAGTACAAAGTACAGAACAGGCTGGGATGTACAACATTTGAAGGGGTATCGGCCCCTTCACCCGTCTAACTGGGAGATCAACACTCTATGTCACAGCTAGCCTACTCCTAGGTCCTCCACTAGCGGGCTAGGGGAGGCTAGCTAACCCAGCCCTGGTTAAGCTGGGATTACGGCACCCTGAATCCCCAGGCCGGCTCTGACAAGAGCATCGGCTCTGGGCTCTCGCGGCCACGCCACTGGCTCGCCCTGGTCGGCCCTGAGAAGGACAGCGATCCAGGGGAGTCCCAGGGCCTATCTAGCAGATCTTATTTCTTCACTGGTTAAAGCTGAACACACTGCCCCGAGCCCTCCAGCTCACGGCCTTATATATCAACTCCCCCACTGAGGGGTGGGGCCGCGGGGGATCCCAGCTCCGTGTCAGCCCCCCAGGCTGAACGGTGCGGACGTCGCTGTAAGCACCTCCTCGCGTATAGACATAGCCACGCCCAGTGTGTTTGTTTCCCATCCGTAACAACTCTACAACACCCCCTCCGTAACACCTCTACACATGCTGTAAATGTCAGCTTAACACTTGTGAGGCTTTCGAGACCAATATTATTCATAATCAACTTTTTGGGTTTAGATCGCGTTGTTTATAAATGTGTCGTAACCCTCCACCACCCGACACGGCCAATCAGTAAAAAAGTGTCACGTTGACAAAAGACAAATAGTTCACTGCTTTAGCCCACCGGTGTGTTGAAGCGTGAAACCACAGCATTTACAATTTGAGTACGACGTTTCGCTGGTAATTGCATCCAGCATCATCGGGCAATTCGCCAGAATGGTGAGGCTCTGCTGTGTCTCCCGTTCTTATATAGAGCAGCAGCAGGGTGACGCCATGTGCTCGATGGTAGCGAAAGCATTCCGATGACGACAATGACGATGGTTGCCGCAGGCTCTTTAAGGACTGCAGGCTTCCGAAATTCGAAAAAAAAATGTGGAAGCCCAGTTTACCAGTGGGAGTACAGTTCACCATGGAAGTCCAGTTCACCATGAAATTCCAGTTTACCATAGAAGTCCAGTTTATCATGGAAGTCCAGTTCACCATGGGAGTACAGTTCACCATGGAAGTCCAGTTTACCATGGAAGTCCAATTTACCATGGGCAGGGGTCAGCAACCTGCGGCTCTGGTGCCGCACGCTTCTCAAGAAGGACTGTTTTGTGACCACCGCCTCGTATTCGCGTGCATTGGCGGCTCTTGAAATATTGATGGTGTTTTTTTTAACCGAATTAGAAGAACAAAAAAAATGCCGCTCCTGTTGTGTTTGGGTTGCCGAACCCCGTGCACCAGCTCATCTCCAGCGTCAACACGGCGCCCACCAACATGAAGACGCAGCAGGTGAAGATGCAGCCCAGCAAGAAGGGAGGCTTCGGCACCAATGCGGGGCACCACGGAGCCGCGCCGGGCACGCCCGGGGCGGCCGCTGGGGATGCCGGCGCCGAGGCTGGAGCCTCGTCGTCGTTGGAGGACGCGACGGCGCAGGTGGCGGCACAGGGAACACAGGTGCGCCACGGGGAAACCGGCGCAGGCGCGCGCGGGGTTCGACTCCGGGCCCTGGTGCAAGTGTGGCGCTCGGTCTGTCTGTCTCCCTCGTCTGTTGTCGTTCTCAAAAGGATTCGGTCGGTATGCGTTGGCGCTGTGCCAGTGTTATGTCATGAGTGAATAAGTAGACTGATTCATAATTTATTTTTTGGGGGGGGGAGGGGGCGGTTAGGCCGTGTGATGATCGATCTGGCCACATTTTTTGTCGTGGAACCCTGCGGCATCTCGCGTAGCCGAGCAATTGAAACTGTTGTAACGTGAGCGTTTAACGCGCCGATTGTTATTTTCATTATTATCTGTTCAATCAATTCCATCACCTGATAAGTTGAAGGACGATTCTTACAGGCAAAGTTTAGCGATTAGAAAATAAATGGTTTATTTGGAACTCGGCAGCTAGGAGCGCACAACCCCGTGTCGGAGAATGCGTCTCTAAGAGAGCGTCCATTGTAACCACTTGTGAAGTCGCTCTTCAGTCGACCTCTAAATCCCACTCTGTAGGGGCTCACCTCTCGTACGCCCCGCAAAGAGGCCTCGTCGCATGGGACAGACTTTTCTGTTAAATCGCAGAGCTGGAATGAAGCTGGATGGGGGGGGGGGGGTGGTTTTGTCGTGCAGTCATTGGTGAGCGGGCTGAGACCATCTGCTCCCGGATTAAACTCTGGGCGCCACGGTGGCTAGGAGATGTCAACTACCTTTCCTGGTATACAGGAGGTCGCGGGTTCCATCCCGACGCTGACGCTTGTATATTTTGAGTTTGCGTGTCTCTCTCCCCATGGGTCGCGTGGATTTTTCTCCCGAGTCCTCTGATTTTTCCCTCCACATCCAGAAACATGCGTTAAGAGTATTTGGCTGCTATACATTTCCACATGATGAGCCACTATATTGAGCTATCATTTGTGGCCAGTAGTTTGTGAGTGGAGGTGTAGCTGCAAGTGGTGCAGCTCATCTGCCAGTCATCTCAGTCAGTCAACCCAAGGCACCGGGTTCTTCCAAGTGACCTCCTGCCAGCGGCGTTCGACACTCCACGTGGCTTTAGAGTGGACAGCCAGGCACAAGCGCCGGGGTGACGTCACCGCTGTTTGGTGGCGAATGGCAGCTGTTGTTGTGTATGTGTTTAGAAGCGTGCTTGTGTGTGTGTACTGATGTACATCCTGCTGTGCGTTATCGTGTGTGCATGTGTGCATGGCGAATGGTGGTTGTTGTTGGTGCAGCTCTCCTGCTCTCTCCACTCTCTCTCACTCTCTGGGGGGTCTTGCACTCTGATCCTGCCACTATGCTTTGCCTTCCTCTCCCCCCCCCACCCACTCCCCCTTGCACACCCCCTTATGCAGTCACAAGGAGAGGAGGCAGACAAGGAGAAGGTGATGGTTGTGAATGTGACGTCTTGATTCATCACGTGCGCTCACTCACAAAAGTGCTCGTTCTTTGTCCGAGAGCGTGACGCGCGGAGTTTTGTGCGTTTACACTGCGCAGATAATGCAGGTGTGGGGGGGGGGTTAGTGTATTTACACAGATGCAGGTGGTGTCGTGTGTGTTAACACACACAGACACGTGTTGTGTGTGAACGTTCGCACACTTTTTTTATTTCACCAGGTAAGGCCCACTGCGCTATCTCTGTAGCTCTTTTTCATCAGCGACTTGGCCACAAATGATCACTTAAAGAAGCGGCTTATCATTTGGCAATTTATAGCAGCCAAATACTCTTAAACGCGTGATGTTGATTTTAAATGTGGAGGGAAAAACTGGAGGACCCCGGAGAAAAATCGCCACGACCACGGGGAGAACATCCAAATATACAGGCGTCAGGGTGGGAATCAAACCGTGTATACCAGGTGAGGTATCGACATCATTAGACCTCCTTTGCCAGTACCAAAATATAATAATAGGGTTTTCCCCCTTTTTTCTGGCAACAAAACTGAAACCTTTTTACAAGGATTCATGTCTGCATTAACCACAATACTTGCAATCAAAATGCAAAAAAAAACATACCATGATAATAAATGCATTGTCCTTGAAACTGATTGGTCCACACCAAGGGACGGCTTTCTTTTGAGCCTCGACCCAATTGGTGCTCGACCAGAGGAGATGCCAAATATTATCATAGTGTGTTTTTTTGTTTGCATTTTGACTGCAAGTATTGTGGTTAATGCAGACATTAATCCTTGTAAAAAGGTTTCAGTTTTGTTGCCAGAAAGAAGGGGAAAAACCCTATTATCAGGTGAGGTAGTTAAAACATCTCCCCACCTTGGCTCCCCTCTCGCGCCCCACAGATACACATGGGGTAGTGGGTATAAACATAGACACGTGCAGTGTGCTCATACACACGGACACGCGTTGCACAGTGTGTGTTTACACACGGACACATGCAGGGAAGTGTATTTACACAGAAACACGTGGGTGCATTGTGAATTTGCCAATACAGCCGACGTTATGTAGTGTACGGCGTGTTTACACTTCGACGTTCGTGTGTCGCGTTTCGACATGCACTGACCTGAAACCCCGGCGGCTGGGGTTTAACTCCTGGTGCTTGGCTATTGGCATTTGACACTTAATGGGGCTTCCCCCAGGTCGGCATAGTGGAAAACAATTATTGAACATCAGCACTGGCGAGATGATGATGGTCAGACGTACTGGGTGCGGATCCCACCGATCACTGTACAGCGTGATCCTGCCTAGTGCTCGCGAACAGCACTTTCCCTAAATTTTACGCGTACACTTTAGAGGCCAATATTATGATGCATCATTTATTTTTGGGTCAGATTGCGTAAGTAAAATGTGCGTCATGCACCATCCAAACGTTGCCAGTTGCTGCTTCAGCTGCAGCGGTGTTGCAACCAGCGTCAGGCAGTTCGAACACAAGTGTGCCCCTGAATCAGGAATAAGTTGGCACGTTTGTTCACACGACGACTTTTATCAGTGGGCCGTGTAAGGTGTGGAGGAGGGTGTACGACACGCATTATTTGATGTTCCCCAAAAATGTATTATGAAGCACTTGCCCTGGCATCGTATATATGTCTATAAACAGTGGTGGAACTTTTAGGTTTTCGGAGCAAATACTATTATCAATTTCGATTTAAAGCTTTCGTGACTGCAGGGATTCATCTTCTTGGTTCTTTCGGTAAAGTCACGTAGAATGGAAATAATAAAATAAAAATATATAAAATAATTCTCGCGACGTATTTGTCATTGGGCTAGGCATAGCAGTAGCCTAACCCAAAAACAAATATGGATCACGGCACCTCTGTTGTCACTTGTTTAATTTCATAAACATATTTGGTTGCTTACGCAGTCGCTCGCGTTCACGCATGAAACTACGGCGTGTGTTCACGTGCACCGGAGTGTTTTGTGCGCGCGTCGACGTGCGCGCTCGCTGGTGTATGTTCACGCCTGTCTGTCCGTCTGTCCATCCGTCCGTCTGTCCGTCCGTCTGTCCACCACAGGGAAGGGGCAGCGGCAAACGGCGGGGAGGTCAACGGCAGCGAGGCAAGCAGGCATCCCAGACGGCCGTGCAGGTCACCTCGTAGAGGGGTCCTTCCTGGTACCTGCCCACGCCCCCCCGCGCCTCCTCTCGTTGTCAAGGCAACAGAGGAGCCCCCCCCCCCCCCTTTTTCCATGCCTCCGTGGCCACCATGCCTGCCTGGTCGCGTACAAGCCCCCGCTTTCTTTCTCGTATCGCACGCACGACGGGCGGAAGAGAAGGTGTAAAAACGCCCGTGTTGTTTTTAATTAAACGTTAGGTGTGCGACATTTCAACAATTATCCGATATTGCTGGGGGGGGGGGGGGGGGGGAAGTATCGAAAGAAAATTTCTCGCGTAGACACAAGAGAGAGAGAAAACACACGGCCGCAGCTCGCAGTCGCAAACGACGGGCGGAATCGATCGGCGAACAGGTAAAGGTTTTAGCAACGTTGAACTTTATAATTGTTTTAATTGAAAATGTATAAAGAGAAAATAAAATAAAGTTCCACTTGGGAGGTGTGTAACAAAAACAACAAAAACATTACCGTCACCGGTGACGTCTCGTTGGGAGATGCCCAACGAGGTGTCTTCCTCCGCAGCCCGGAGGAAATCTGTGCGGCAGCTCGCTCGCCCGTCACATCATCACATGGTCAGGGTTCATCTCGTCACCGAATGCATGCGGTCCCCCCCCTCCCGCCAACAGGAACCCAAACGACCCCTCACCCTCCAATCGCTCGTTGCTGTAGGCCTCAGGATGAATAATTAAAATGTTTTCGCTTGCTGCGTGTGGTTTTGTTTTAGTAGTTTTACTTAATAAAGACATTTCCCCTAAAGTCTGCTTCAACGTCATTTTGGATTATAAAGAAAAAAAAGGTACATATTTCAATCGTATAATTTGTTGCGTTCCACCGCTGGCCGCTGTGGATGTGTCGCAAGTCGAAGGTGTCGGCTCGTGTGAGCGAATCGACCATTGGGTCAGGCAAGAGGCCCTGGGGAAGACGATGGCACAGAAACCACAGCAAGGGGCCTCTGTTCCATGCCACACGCGTCGCTCATTCATCTGCCAAATGACAGGTCAACGAAGTGGCTTATCACGTGGACATGAATAGCAGCGGCCAAATAATCTAAACCCGTGATGTTGATTCTAAATGTGGAAGGGAAAACTGGAGGGCCTGGAGAAGTATCCACGCGGCCACAGGGAGAGAGACATGCACACTCCAAATATACAGGCGGTCAGGGTCGGGATCGAATGCACGACCTCCTGCATACCAGGCGAGGGAGATGACATCTCGCCACTGCGGCGCCGTCGGTGGGCCTTGCTGGACATGTTTCCGGACACGGGGCGAGGTCTCTGTGTGACCAACCTCCACCGGTGGCGGTCTGCACGACAGCTGTGGCACTATACAAACAACGTCGAGCGGTGTTGATGAGCTAGAAGGCCTCGATGAGAATTCCACATGGCCACCAAGGACGCCATCGCGTGGCTCAGCGATTTACGCGCGCGCGTTAGACTGAACGCTCATCCGATATAATTTGACTTGAGATTTTTAGCCAATGGAGATCTGACGATCGGGTGTATCCATGTCTGGATACAGCAGTTCTGGGAAGCCGTACACAACTCAGACAGCAGGATATGGCCGTTTCCCCTTTATTGCATTGTGGTTTTGAACATTTTGAAAATTTGAATCGAGGAAATTAGTTGCACTACCAGATACTCTCTTTGACGTCGGCCAGTCCAGTGCAGTGGCTCTGCCTTGCGCACGGTTTGCAAAATTTCTTGTTTATTCCTCTTTTCACGAAACCGTCCTGTTCATTGCCGCAGCTCCCACAATTTTGGGCTAGCGTAGCTGTTTATGGGTGTCTGCATCTGCAAACCACCCCGTAACAAAAGATGGCGTTGGTTTTTTACGATGCTGTTTCGTTGCTGATTAGATCCAGCGAAGTCAAACCCATCCAGGTATCGCCTTGTTCAGTCAACATGCTGCTGGAAAAACTAATTAAATGTTTACCCGTCAGCCTATAGATTAACATTATTTCCCAACGGCGAGTGTTCGACACCAGGCTTGTTCTGGGTCTGAATTGATCATTGTCTTTGGGGGGTTGACTTTTATATGCTTTGTGTTTAGTTTGTCGTCCTTCCTGCACACACCTTCGATTATCACGGTTGGCTACGTACAGTGCAAAAGAAGTTCAACATATCGTAAACGTCCATTGCCTTAAGTATTTACAGAACCAGATTAATTTTACGCGTGGGGTCAGTGTGGACAAGAAACCTTTATACTGGTAGGAACGAAGTGGACCAGCCTACAATAGATTATATCGTCCGTCCGTCCGTCCGTGTAGCAACATCGCCCCCTACTGCAAACACTTGGCATGACCCTACAAAAACCTTTACTCAGTGACGCTTTCCTGGCTAAACAAGTGTAATATTCCCTTATAATTCCCTCAGATAGCTTTTAATTAAAACATTTCAATTAATGAGGCTTTCCTGGCTAAACAAGTGTAATATTCCCTTATAATTCCCTGAGATAGCTTTTAATTAAAACTTGTACATTAAAATGGAACTCACAGCGGCCTAAAGCCTACAGCTTGGCCTAAAGCCTTGAACAACGCCTCAAACTCTCCCTTCGTATTGTTCCCCCGCGTGTGTGCAAGGGAGTTAATGTTTAACAATGTTACATTCCCTGATGCTTTTAAATAGAAACATTTAAATTTAAAGCTTTTACATAAATAATAAAAACAGTTAAATAAAAAATTAACTCACGGCGGCCTAAAGCCTACAGCTAGGCCTAAAGCCTAGAACTAGGCCTCTAACTCCCTTCGTATCATTCCCCCGCGTGTGTGAAAGGGAGTTAATGTTTAACAATGTTACATTCCCTGATGTTTTTAAATAGAAACATTTAAAATTAAAGCTTTTACATTAAAAACAACTCCCTACCCCCCCCCCCCCCCCCTCGTCAGCGGCTCTCCAGCCGAGAGCCAGGCCTGGGAATCTCTCCCCTGCTCGGGGTGTATTGGGCGGGGCTACAGCGGCAGGGGGCGGGGCTATGCAGGGTTGGGGCGGGGTTACAGCGGTAAGGGGCGGGGCAACGAGCTGGGGGTGGGGACACTGAGATGGGGCGGGGCCACGGGTGGCCGGGGCGGGGTTACGCGGGTGGAGGGCGGGGCCACCGGGCATCCACTTTTAAATCCTTTATATTAAGTTCGCTTGCTTGCTTGCTTGCTTGCTTACGACCGTGCAAATCTTTCGGTCGTTTTTTAACCCACTTCCCGTGATCCAATCGAGCTGACATTTTCCACACAGACTCGTTGTGCGAGACAATTAATGTTCGTGGATAATTTTTTCCAAAATTTTACACTGTTTAGGGAAAACAAATTAAATATTTAATTACCAATTGCTTAATACTGGCAGACAATCATCTGACCCATAGGTGGCAGCCATCTCAAGCCAGAGGACGAGAGGACTCTAGCCGCCACGCATATAAAGGATTTATAGTGAAAAACTTTGTTTTTACGGGTTATACTTATTTGCCATTTCATTTTATTATAGCCATTCAATTGTTCGTTCCTACAAGCCCACCCCGCAGGGTCCTGTTTATTACCGCCATGGGAGTTGAACCAACTTTCGGAGGACACCACCAGAAGGCGTTTTGATGCCTCGTCGAGAGAGTTTGCCGACGAATCAGAAGCTTCAAGCCGAGCTTCGCCTCGTCCCGCTCTTTCGGACTGCGCTTGCTGCTCGTGCTTACGAGAGGGGGCAGCAGCTGCACGGTGTTTGGGACGTGCGCGTCTCAGACACCGTGAAGAGTCGGGTTACCGAGCGAGATTTGAAGTTTTCGTGACTGCACGGATCCATACTCTTTGGTTCTTTCGGTAAAGTCACGTAGGTAGAAAATAAATAAGTTTTATTATTATTTACCTACGTCACACATTCACTTTAAGATGTTTTCTTGTTTTTGTTTTTTTGTTTGTTGCGGTTGCACCCGATTCAAGAGCCGAATGGCTCACAGGGCTATACCTAATAAATGAACTTGAACGTGACCGTGTGTGTAGTCGCGTAGTGGCTGGATTATAATTTTTTTTTTTACTTGGGCTTAATATGTCTATAGAGGGGGTAGGGGGGGTGAGAGGCCCGGGGCAAATCCCACCGTGTGACACCGAGATGTAGAAGCACCTTCGATTCGCACGTTTGGCTACGAAAGAATGTCAACGCAGGGACGCAGCGGGGGTTCGCCACAGGTGATGTTGGCGAGGCGACACGAGTTCGATTCCCGGCTCACGGCAAACCAACACCGGTCATAGCGATTATCTGAAACGGTCCTGGGCCTCCCCTAGGTCGACTCGGCCTCAAACGAGTAACTGGCGCGGTGTGTAAACATCGCCACTAAGGGGAGACAAAGGCGGCCGGGCGTGGTGTTCGCCACCCACCCCCCTCTCGTGTGCCATTCCGGCCTTCATAGGTGCTCGCCAACAGCACTTGCCTCCAAGTCTATTAAGACTATACGGGGGTGTTTGGGGTGGTGGGGGGAGTGAGTGAGGAGCTGGTAAACTGGTAGGCACGATGCGACTGGTAGCGAGTAAACTAAATTCAACGTTTTATTTGACCAGGTGAAAGGTCCACTGAGCGATGGAGCTCTTTTTTCAGAAGCCACCCTGGCCACAAACGAGAGCTCGAGGAAGTTGTTTATCACGTGGAAATGTATGGCAGTAGCCAGATGCTCTGAACGCGTGATATGTTGATTCTAAATGTGGGAGGGGAGAACCCGGAGAAAAATCCACGCGATCACGGAGGGAGACGCAAACTCCAAATATACAGCAGGCGTCACCGGGTCGTGATGGAACAGCACGACCTCCTGTACCCCAGGCGAGAGTGTGGTGAACATCTCACCACCCTTAGCTCAGCAGATGTGCAAAACAAATATTTCTCACGGAAACAACAACACAAATCTTGCACGTGCTCGCGCGCGCACACAAAGGTGAAAGTAGTTCACTTCTCGCCACCCTCGTGCTCCGCACCCCCCCCCCCCAAAGGGCGGGGCCCAGGGCGGTCACCCAGATTCCGCCGTTCGCGACCCCTCGCGTTCCGTAGTTACCGCCACCTGCCAACCTCGGTGTTGTGGTGTCGGAGGCTCCTCGATCCATAGGGGGGGGGCTCCCTCCCCACACCCCCCCCTCCTGCTCCCCCCCTCCGGCTCACCCCCCCCCCCTCTGCCCCCCCCCCTGGCCCCCACATCCGGCTCCCCCCTCCGCCTCCCCCGATCCATCCACGTGTTCACGCTCGCCGTGCGCGTGTCAAACCGTTCACTAGCTCCGTAAATCATTAACAACACAAATGTTGACAGCTGTAACAAACCACCTTCGAAACGAATGCCCGTGCGTCGTATTGTTATTATTGAGATGAGTTAGAAATCTTAAGAACGCACGGCCGCCGAATCAATTATATTAATTATATTAATTAATGAGTGAAATTACTCCCCCTCCTCCCCCCCTCCCAGCTAAAGCAGATACCAAGTGCATCATCATCACCTCATCATCATCACCTCATCATCATCATCACCACCAACACCACCACCACCCCTCTTCTCTCCGTCGCCACAAAGGTCCATTTGCACCTCTCATTTGGTTGGCTACGTTACGGTGCGAAAGAAGTTCTCTCCCCGTACGCACAAACATAACGGAGACACATCACTCCTCCAAGTCTGCACGCGAACCCCCCTCGCGGCCACGACGAAGCGCCAATCGCGAACATCGTAAGGCCGTGCCGAGGGGAGACGGCGAATCGGGGCGAACGCCCAGGGCCCCGCAATTGGGGGGGGGGGGTCGCCCCGCGCTTTGACGTCATGGCGTGTAAGCTGAAACAACTCAGTGGGGTTTAAACTTGTAAAACAATAACAATCGTTTACTTGTACTTACAGTGATGTGCTTACTTTGTCTAAGCTACGCACTCCGATCGCGGCGTTTGTTGTATTGTTTGTTGTTGTAACTTCATGGCCCGGGCCCCCGGCTGGACATCTGTGACAAAACAGCTTCATAGCTCATCGGATTCCTCCAGGATAGGTCAAGATTATGATTTTGCCGCCCCCCACCCCCCTATAGAGGGCGCTGGTTACCATCAATTGGCTCGAATCGCCAACGGTGTTCGCTATTTTATTTGTCTTCATTACGCTGCTGTCCCGGCTGTGAGACGGCTCCGTCAAGTAAGATGCACCCCGCAAGCGCTCGGGGGCTCACCTTGTGTTCAACCCAGACCCATCAGGGGAAGCGCGGAGTGTAATATAATATGGAAACTCACCAAGTAGCCGGTACACAATCGGGACGCTGGGACAAAATAAAGTCGCTGCTCACTATCCGGAGAATGCGGTAAAATAAGAACAGTATGAGGGTGTCATCATTGTCATCATCATTATTATAGGAACCACCAGTTGCTATGACTCTTCGTTTCTTTCGGTAAAGTCACGTAGAAATCAAATAAATAAAATATTAGAGTACGACGTTTCGATTGCAACACAATCAAAATCAAGTTGTTATGACATTGACACGAACGAGTTTTGTCCCTGGGTAGTGTTATTTCCTAATTGCTTATGCTTAAAAAGTACAGAAAATGGCTTTTATTCCTCACAAACTTTGCTTTTGTGACCAGGACAGAGACATTTTTAAATGTACCTATTTTCAATGAGAAAACGTGTGCATGTGTGTCATTCCTTCACATAAAGTCCTGGTCACAAGTGCAAAGTTTGTGAGGATTTATAGCCATTTTCTATACTTTTTAGGCATGCGCAATTTAAAAATAACAGGAACAAAAATCGTGCTACATAGTGTCTAATTAATCGCTGCCCATGATCACCACGCTCCGTCGTTATCCGTGTGCAGCGCTCCTTCCCTTCTGACATTCGGAAGCCACCGGAGGCGATGCACTTTGAAATCTTCCAGATTGAAAACTCACTTTCTTTAGGTCCTCGTTTTTGCCTGTCGCTTGTCGTCCTGAACCTCCGATTAGGGCGGCTGGCTACGCGCGAACGAGCAGCATGCATACTCGCGCGCGCGCACACACTCACTCCTTCTCACTCGCACAGCATCGCCACACAACGAAAACGGACGTCGACCCAACATTTGCATTTGCAACATCATTGCCGCGGAAAGTCCACTCCGCTTTTTAACTTAAACCACCGGGACCATTGCACAACCGTCACCACCGTCACCACTGTCACCACCACCACGGATCCAACTTACGACTGTAAACCAAAGCCTGCCACGTGCAGCAACCGGATTTCACGTCCGCTGTTTGCGCGGCGTTTTCCCAGCTTCCATACAAAATAAACAACAACAACAACAACCACCGTCGTCGAACTCGGGGTCGCCCTAGCAGTGGCGACTTGTCGCTGGCCATCGAAACGAGACGATCACCCGCGTCACGCTTCCAGACGCGTTTCTGCAGCCCTCTGGGATGCCCTTTCGACACTGGGAAGCCGCTGCGCACGTCTAAATTCATCATCTCGAGTGAAAACGAATTCCTCTCCAACTGATTTGTGCGTTAAGTTTGCCATTCCTCCGCACCTCCGATTAGCGCGGTTGGCTACGTACAGCGCGAAGGAAGTTCAACGTGCGGTACATAATCAATCAGCCGCGGTCAATGCACTGCTGGATGAAAGCCAGCATCTGCCCATCGAGTGCCTCCGCGTGGCCCGAGTGAGCGAGCGAGAGAGAGAGAGCCAGCCAGCTGACATCGATTTACTTTTCTCGAGCGAGTGAGCGAGAGCCTCGGTCGCGTCGCCAATGTCACCGCCACAGATCGGAGACCCGCGGAGTTGGCGTGCGCGAGGGCGCGGGGGAGGCAGCGAGAGCTCCTTGCAAGAACGTCAACGAGTGCCGCAGAGAAACCAACACTGGCTCCCTCGACGCCGCCATCGGGGTCGACGAAGGTGCAGGCAGCGCCATCACCCCGGCACTTTCTCTCTCCCCACTCACCCCGCCCGCCGCCGAACTCGCTTCCTCCACCTCGGCACACTCAGGGCGGGTGGGCGACCTGCCGCGTCAGAGCTGCGCCACGTGGCTCTTCAAGGACTGCAGTGCGGCTCTTGAAATTCGGACGAAAAAAATGTCTCGTTATTTTTTTGGTTGCCAAGCCCTGGCCATGGACGTCCAGTTTACCATGGGAGTCCCCAGGTCACCATGGGAGTCCAGTTTACGAAACTCCAGTTCACCATGGAAGTCCCCAGTTTACCATGGGAGTCCAATTCACCATGGAAATCCCCATTTTACCATGGTAGTCTAGTTTACCACAAGACTCCAGTTTACCATGGGAGTCTCCAGTTTACCACGAGACTCCAGTTCACCATGGGAGTCCCCAGTTCACCATGGAAGTCTCCAGTTTACCATGGAAGTCTCCAGTTTACCATGGGAGTCCAGTTCACCATGGAAGTCTCCAGGTCACCATGGGAGTCCCCAGTTCAACATGGGAGTCCCCAGTTCACCATGGAAGTCCCCAGTTTACCATGGAAGTCCCCAGTTCACCATGGAAGTCCCCAGTTCACCATGGGCAGGGGCGGGCAACCTGCGGCTCTGGAGCTGCATGTGGCTCATGAAGGAACCGCTTCGTGATGTTATTGATTAAGGAGCACGTGCATTGCCGCCCTTGAAATATTTTGTTTACCGAATAGAAAAAAATGGCTCCTCGTGTTGTAGTGCTCGCCGACCCCCCCCCCCCCTGGTCTAACCCAACTAATTATCCCACCCCCCTCGACTTCCTCGTCTAACACCCAACTACTTCACCGGAAGGTGAATCCATCCCTCGGCGACTCCGCTCCTTGTGCCCCTTCACTCTGTTCGGCACTGCTACCGCTTCTGCTTTGCATCATAACTTAATCGGCCCCCAAGGAGGAGGAGGGGGAGGGGGGGGGCATTGCTTTGCAACCGTCACCAAAAATAAACCCGAATCCCTTTGCCAACGCCACATGTAGCCGTAGCCAAGCGCAACGCACAAAACGCAAAATCCGAAAACCAAAAAAACACATACAAAATTCTTTAAACAACTAAAGTGTCAACGTAAGCGCTACGATATATTTTATACATTACATCCAGTTTCTCTCTGTCACCCTACTTTCAAAAATCCACATTTCCCCATTCAGAAAAACTCACTGCCCCCCACCCCACCTCCTCGCCAGGTGGAGGGTGAGGGGGGAGATCAGAATCCATTCCAGCTTTTTGGGATCTCCGGTCTCTCCGGCAGCTCCGTGTGCCATCGTCAAGCCGAGTGGAGCACCAGGATTTGACCGGCACACGAGCAGCACCCTGTTAGCTTCAGATCCTGACCAGGGAGGGATTCCACCGTGGATGCCAACCTCGACTATCCCGTGGCTGAAGTGGCCCAAGTGCTCTCTGGGAGGGAAAGAAAAAAAAATAGGATCGGACCGCGCGGGAACACGGAATTCACATAAATCCTCTCGCCCAGTGAACTTACGCTCTCACTGAATATTTTCGTTTAGGTGGTCGGCAGAACTGGGAGTAGGTAGCACGTGAGCAGCAGCAGCAGCAGCCGCAGCCAAAGAGGGACGCTGGGATGCCGTGTGCCGTGCGAGGAAGTATTTTCCGGGCCCGCCTAGTCGTAGAAGACGCGGTGCCCCCGAGGGTTAATCCTGGGATGGAGCCATCTGGATCCGGGCGACGCGACCGTCCGTCCTACGCCGAGGTTTTAACGCCGTCAAACCCCCGCTTCTCATTTCGTAATACTGAACCGCGGGCGTTGGTGCGCGCGTCGCCGTAACGCACCGCGCGTTACTCTCCGCACGCACGTGCGCGCACGGCACTTGCGAAGCGTCGCAATGTTCATTCTGGAGCGGAGATTTGCGTCGCGAAGGTCACTGGCCAAGTGTCTCCACCATCATCTTTGAGTCGTCATATTTACGATCATCACCATCATCATCATGTCCTTCTTCATCAGCCTTGTTCCCATCGTCATTACAAGTCATGGTTTTCACGATTATCACCGTCATCTTCATGACCATCATCATTGTCGTCGTCGTCATCACCACCGCTACCACCACCACCACCACGCTCTTCTGTGGGATGATGCCCCATGTAGAATAGGGAGGTCAATAGCCGGTTGCTGCTACCCCCGCCGCTGTGGCTGCTATTGTTGTGTTGCTGAAATTACGGTTCTGCCGGTCACCGCCATAGTATTGTGGAATTTTCCACCAGGGGGCTCAGGACAAGTGCGTGCGAGCGAGAGAGGCGGTGGAATACGTTTGTGAGCATCGTCCGTGCGCAGCGTTTGCGATGATTATGATGCGGTAGCGGCGGCGAATTATCCGCAGACTCCTCGCAGAGTTTCGTTTCCTCTCTGGCGTGCCCCCTCGTCCCCCAGGCCAGGCCGTGCAGGGAGGAGGCAGCTCGGGCGGGGGGGGGGTGCAGCGCTTGCAGGCAGCAGTACACAAAGTAGGCCGTAGGTCGCCGGCCGAATCGTAAAGCAAGGCGTTTTTTGGCTTGTTTCTGTTTTACCAGGTCGCTCTTTTTCAGAAGCAACCTGGCTATCACAAATGATAGCTCGACGGAGTGGCTTATCACGTGCAAATATATCACGGCCAAATACTGTGAGCACGCGAGGCCGATTCTCAATGCGGAGGGAAAAGCCGGAGAACCCCGGAGAAAAAAGCCCACGCGACCGCGGGGAGAGGGAGACACCGCAAAGTCCAAATATACAGCAGCAAAAGCAGGCGTCAGGGTCGGGATCGAACCCGCGACCTCCTGCATACCAGGCGAGGTAGTCAACATCTCGCCATCGCTCCCCCCTACAAGCGCGCCCCCCGTTTACTCAATACTGTACAGCAATTGGTCGATCATCCCGATGTGGCCGGAAACCCCCCTGAGTCACGAGACTCAGCGGGGCTCTCCCGTACGAATAAAGAAAGGGCTTTTGCGATTTTTTTATTTATAAATTATTATTATTATTAAGGCTGTACAATCAAGAATCGGCTGCGTTTTAGGGTTAAGGTAGCGCGAGGGTTGATTTTGAGAGCGAGGGGGTGGCGGCAGCTGCTAAGGATGATGGGAAATTGAGACTGTTGGGCGGCGAGGAGAGGGGCAGCACAAGCCGGGGGAGGCACACACACAGAAAGCTGCGGACTAAGCTGTGGGTTGGGTTCACTTGTTTTGTGGGGCGCGGGCGGGGGGGGGGGGGGTGGCGGCAGTTGAGAGGTTAAAGGTGAGGGGTCGAGACGACGTGAGAGTGCCCCCCCCCCTCCCCCCAACTCCTAGCCGTCGATGTCCCAGCTGAAGAGGTGGTGCTTGACGAGCATGTCCTGGATGCCCTCCTTGAGCGGACGAGTGTCCTTGTCCTGGAACGCAGACGGACGGACGGACAGACGGAGAGTTAACGTACGAACAGCACGAGGAGCCGCCGCTGCCGCCGTTGTCCACTCCGTCTCCCATGGAGACGCCCTCACCGTGGCGCGAGAGTCCGCGCAACGTGGGCGGGCGGTCGACGTTCATCGCCGCGTGTTGCCGGTTTTTTTGTTGAGGTGAAGGCCATGGTCATGATCTGAAGATTGTTGTCGTTGTCGAGTAAGACCTCCACCACCCGATGCGGCCGGACTAATTAAACCGTCGCGTGGTGTGCGTGCGTTCAACTGCTTTTTGTGTTAAGTTTGTTGTCCTTCCCGTACACCTCCGATTATCACGGTTGGCTGTGTATGGCATGAAAGAAGCTCAACATTTTTCATACAAATACGTTTAACAACGCGCCGATTGTTACCGTTTCAGTGCCGATTGTTACCGATTCCCACAACTGAATTCATCTCGAATGTATAACGCGTCGTTTCAATCGATAGCTACGCCAATTATCTTCCTTCCGCAGGCAACGAAACCAGGAAGCTGGAATTCAACATTCAATATTTAACATTATTAATCAATTTCATGAAGCGCTAACTGGCTGTGACTTGAGCTGTTAGCGAACTCTATTAATTATGAGGCACTCATTTCCCCCCGGTATTAAAGCAAAAATTGGAGGCGCGTCTTACGATGCGCGTGTATGTCTGTGTGTGTCTGTGTGTGTGTGTCTGTGTGTGTGTGCCTGTGTGTGTGTGCCTGTGTGTGTGTGTCTGTGTGTCTGTGTGTGTGTGTCTGTGTGTGTGTGTCTGTGTCTGTGTGTCTGTGTGTGTGTGTCTGTGTGTGTGTGTCTGTGTGTGTGTGTCTGTGTGCCTGTGTGTGTGTGTCTGTGTGTCTGTGTGTGTGTGCCTGTGTGTGTGTGCCTGTGTGTGTGTGTCTGTGTGTCTGTGTGTGTGTGCCTGTGTGTGTGTGCCTGTGTGTGTGTGTCTGTGTGTCTGTGTGTGTGTGTCTGTGTGTGTGTGCCTGTGTGTGTGTGCCTGTGTGTGTGTGCCTGTGTGTGTGTGTGTCTGTGTGTGTGTGTCTGTGTGTGTGTGCCTGTGTGTGTGTGCCTGTGTGTGTGTGCCTGTGTGTGTGTGTCTGTGTGTCTGTGTGTGTGTGTCTGTGTGTGTGTGTCTGTGTGTGTGTCTGTGTGTGTTAGGGAGCGGTAGTGTCGTGGTTCTGACGCTGGTCACATGCACACTCACGTCGAGTTCGATTCCCGCTCACGGCCAACCCCAGTGATGATTCATGTGAACCGGTCCTGGGCCTCCCCTAGGTCGACTCAGCCTCAAATTAGTACCTGGTGTAATGTGTAAACATCGCCACTAGGGAGACAAAGGCGGCCGGGAGTGGTGTTGGCCACCCACACCCTCGTGTGCTGTGCTGGCCTTCACTAACAGCACTTTCCCCAACAGTCTGTTAAGGCTATATAGGGGATCTTTGTCTTTTGAATGTTCATGCACAGTGTTAATGTGACCAGATCTGTTTCACGTTATTGCACCAGGTGCACGTTTGAGGTGCATCTTACTTCACGGAGCATCTTATAATCGGGATAATATGCACACACACGCATGCATGCTGGGTAATGAGACTGAGATGCCTTAACAGACTGTTGGGGCAAGTGCCCCACGCCCGACCGCCTTTGTCTCCCCAGTGGCGATGTTTACCCACCGCACCTGGTATTCATTTTAGGCTCAGTTGACCTAGGGGAAGCCTATGACCAGTTCAGATAATCTTCACCGGTGTTGGCTGTGCACGGGAATCAAACTCGGGTCGCCGGGTTCACAGCTCCGCACGCCAGCCGCTGTGCCACCGCTCCCCACATGCACACAACAACAACACATGCACACAACAACAACAACAACACATGCACACAACAACAACAACACATGCACACAACAACAACAACACATGCACACAACAACAACAACACATGCACACAACAACAACAACAATACATGCACACAACAACAACAACAATACATGCACACAACAACAACAACACATGCACACAACAACAACAACACATGCACACAACAACAACAACTGCGGTTCGGCACCAAGTGGTGGTGACGTCACCACGGCGCTTGTGCCAGGCTATGTGCACTTTAAGGCCACGTGAAGTGTCGAATGCCCGCTGGAATGAGGTCACGGGACGGACCCAGCAGGTGCCACGGGTTGCCTGACTGAGATGACTGGCCGATTGCACCACTTCGTACGCACACGAACGTACACACACATGCATAATCACGCATACGTATGCACACGCGCACACGCACATACGTACCTCCTTCTTGAGAGGAAGCTCCCAGTCGGGCGAGAGATTAAACGCAAATTTGGAGAGAACCCTGGGGGCGGCAGGGGTGGTGGCAATGGGTCATCACACATGGAGAAAGACAGCGAGTCACACAAAGACAAAGATCCCCCATATAGCCTCAACAAACTGTAGGGGTAAGTGCGGTTAGCAAGCACCTATGAAAGACGGCACGGCACACGAGGGAATGGGTGGTCAACACCACACCCGGCCGTCTTTGTCTCCCCAGTGGAAATTTTACACACCACACCAGGTACTTATTTGAGGTCGAGCTAACCTAGGGGAGGCCCAAGACCGGTTCAAATAATCGTCACTGGTGTTGACTGAATCAAACTTAGGTACCCAAGTTCACAGTGTAGCATGCTAACCGCTACACAACGGCTCCCCTTTGTCACACACATTCACATTTACGTGTGTGTGTACGTACGTATGTAGCCAACACACCCACACTGGTGATGGCGACCTCCAAACACGACAGCCCAGTCTCAGATCATTGACTCAGAAACTGATTTGTGGTGCGTGTCTCGCTGTGTGTTTATTACCGTGGGGAGGCGCACGGCGCTACAAAATCCTGGCGGCGCGAGTTCGATTCCCACTCACGGCCAACCCGCCAGCGACCCCAGTGTAGAGCCTCAACAGACTGTTGGGGCAAGTGCTGTTAGCGAGGACCACCTATGAAGGCTGGAACGGAACACGAGGCGGTGGGTGTCCTTCGTCTCCCAAGTAGCGGTGTTTACGACACATCGCACCCGGTACTCCTTTGAGGCCGAGTCGACCTAGGGGAGGCCCAGGAACCGGTTCAGATAATCGTCACCGGTGTTATAGGCCGTGAGCGGGGATCGAACTCGGCCCGTCGGGTTTGCGAGCTGGGGCACTAACCGCACGCATTGAAGACGCACGCACACACACAGACGCGCGCACACAGACGTGCGCACACAGACGCGCGCACACAGACGCGCGCACACACGTACCGAAGTTCGCACTTGATCTGTACCCAGCCGGGGCTGCGCAGGAACGACCACGTCTGGTACCACTTCTCTACGGTGAGAACACTCGAGCACAGCACCTCCAGCCACAGGTGGAGCACCTGCTCGCTGCATGGACACAGGGGTCAGGGGGCACGTGGGGTCAGGGGGCACGCGGGGTCAGGGGGCACGTGGGGTCAGGGGGCACGTGGGGTCAGGGGGCACGTGGGGTCAGGAGCACCCAAGGTCAGTGGCACACGAGGTCACAGGCACACGGGGTCAGTGGCACACGAGGTCACAGGCACATGGGGTCAAACACCCTCATCGTCAGCATTAGAAGCAAAACTATCACCATGAACATCATGACGCACGAGCAACAGCGCTATGGCACTAAAAGTGACGCATGCACACACGCACACACGCATCTGTATTTCACGGGACGTTGTGGAGGGAAGTGTTTCGCTTTGGTGAGGAGTTAATCCCACACTGAACAATGACCATAACCCTTCCGCGTCCAATCTGTTGTCAATACAAAAATAATTTACTCCGCATTGCCACAGATTCTCCGGCTGAATAAAATTTCCCCGTACGTGACAATCGTCGTCACCGACATCATAACAACCACCACATATCGTCGCCATCTCCGTTTCCATCACTCACTTGAGGCCGATGCAAATGAGCGAGCGGACCTTGACGTCCATCTGTGCATGCGCCGTGTCATGCGACTGATTCACAGACTGCACCGCCTGCACACACGCGCACACGGTGCTGTTAGCGAGCACCTATGAAGGTTGGCAGGCATGTGTGCACAAAGACAGAGATAGCCTTAACAGACTGTTGGGGCAAGTGCTGTTAGCGAGCACCCCATGAAGGCTTGCACGGCACACGTGGGGGTGGCGTCCAGTGGCGATGTTTACACACCGCGCCAGGTACTCAAGCACACTCACACACACACACGCTTTCTCTGTGTGGCTCGTGGAGCCAACGTAAGACAAAGATGTCATGGACTCACCCGGTACAGGAGCTCTTCCGGGGTGAGAACTTTACCGTCTTCGTCCAGCCTGTACCACGCCACGCCAGCACCGGTTAGCACAACCACCACTCACGTTGGCCATAGCCAGGCATCAATTACAGGTGGTCGTTGGGTACGTAGCGCAGTGAGCTAACCACTACACCACCGCTCCACAGACACAACAACCGCCATTTGCCACTAAGTAGGGGTGACGTCACCACGGCGCTTGCGCCAGGCTATGTGCACGTTGAGGCCACGTGAAGTGTTGAACACCCACTGGCAGGAGGTCACGGGACAGTACCAGGTGCCATGGGTTGATTGAGATGCACGCATACACACGCACAAAGATCCCCCATATAGCCTCAACAAACTGTAGGGGCAAGTGCGGTTAGCAAGCACTTATGAAAGGCGGCACGGCACTCAAGAGGGTGGGTGGCCAACACCACGCCCGGCCGCCTTTGTCTCCCCAGTGACGATGTTTACACACCGCACCAGGTACTCATTTGAGGCCGAGTCGACCTAGGGGAGGCCCAGTACAGGTTCAGATAATCGTCACCGTTGTTGGGCGTGAGCGGGAATCCAACTCGGGTAGCCGGGTTCGTAGTGCAGCGCACTAACCGCTGCACCACCGCTCCGCACACACACGTATAAAGACAGATATCCCCCATATAGCCTTTAACAGACTGTTAGGGCAAGACAGGTTGAAGCAGGATTCACTGTAATTTCACGCTGAGTGTCACACTTGGGTCACACTGGGGGGTCACACTGGGGGGTCACACTGGGGGGTCACACTGGGGGGTCACACTGGGGGGGTCACGCTGGGGGGGGGGTCACGCTGGGGGGGGGGTCACGCTGCCCGTGTCTCTCGGCGAGGAGTGGCTGCGCCCACCTGTAGGTGCGGCACAGCACGAGTCGCGAGTAGACCGACTCAAAGTCCTTCTCCACCTCCTTGCTCGCCGCCTGCCGGGATGGGGGGAGGGGGAGGGACACCCCGGAGCGGGGCGAGAGAACACAACGGCCTTGTATGTACACACATGTCGAGCTGACACCTACGGCAAGCGAGGGTGTCGATACTCGCGCGATCTCAGGCCCCAGTGTGAGGATGACGTCACGAGGAAGGAAAGAGAGAGAGAGGTGACGTCATCGGAAGAGGCGGGGCGATCGGGTGAGGCTTGTTGGCAAGTGCCAGGCTAGGTGTACGAATGGGCAGTTGAGAGGCGGTCGCCCTCAAGCAATGACAGAGGGGTGGAGAAGGGGCCCTGCGTGTGTACACGCATGCGCACGTGTACGCGCGTGTACGCACGTGTACGCGCGTGTACGCGCGTGTACGCGCGTGTACGCACGTGTACGCGCGTGTACGCACGTGTATGCACGTGCGTACACGCGCGGTTTAGCACGCTGCGCTACGAACCCGGCGACCCGACTTCGATTCCCGCTCACGGCCGACACCAGTGACGATTATCTGAACCGGTCGTGGGCCTCCGCCAGGTCGACTGAGCCTCAAATGAGTACTTGGTGCGGTGTGTAAACATCGCCACTGGGGAGACAAAGGCGGCCGGGCGTGGTGCTGACCACCCACCCTCTCATGCGCCGTGCCGGCCTTCAGAGGTGCTCGGTAACAGCACTTGCCCCAACAGTGTGTCAAGGCTACACGGGGGATATTTGTCTTCGTACGTGCACGCGTGTAAGTGCACGCGTGTGTACGCGCCCGTTGGCGTGTATGTGTGCGCCCCCCGCCCCACCCGCCCCACTCAACCCCACCTCCTCGATGAAGAGCCACGGGTGGCAGGGCCCGCCCAGGATGGACGGCCGCTTGAGGCCGTGCTCCAAGATGGCCTTGAGCGCCGGGCAGAGCGTCCCGCGCACCAGGTCCGTCACCCCCTCCGTCACCGAGTCGTCCCCCGCCATCGAGTACTGCGGCGCACGCGCGTCCATGCACACCACACACGCACACACACACACGCACACGCAGAGACTAAGGCCCCGCACGCCCACGCCCGGTGGTAGCCTTCACACACCGTTGGGGCAAGTGCTGTTTAGCGAGCGGCGCCTATGAAGGCCGGCATTGTGGCCCCACGACGGGGTGGGTGGCCAGCACCACGCCCCACCGCCTTTGTCTCCCCGGTGGCGATGTTTACTGCACACCGCACCAGGTACTTCACGCACGTCAGGCGAAGACGATCTACAGACTACAGAGCCTACACAATCTCCACTTGGCCAAGTCCTTTCGTCACTATCAGGCTTGTTAAACGGAAACCGTTTTTTTTTCAAAATTGCTCACCGATTCCCCCCCCCCCCCCCAAAAAGGTCAGGAACCACCCAGGTTCCTGTGTATTTTTGTGATGAACGCAAACAGACTTGAAACGTTCCCCTCGTTTAAAAATGTCACCCCCCCCTTCACTTATTTTCTCACTTTTAACCATCTTTACTGGCACGTACGTTCGCAATTACACTACAAAGAGACAAAGATCCCCCCCCGTATAGCCTCAACAGACTGCTCAGTGCTGTTAAAGAGCACCTGTGAAGGCCGGCACGGCACGGCACACACACACACGTGGCACGACTCGCGCATACACGCCCGCACACCCACCTGCTTGCTCCGTTCATCCAACACCTCGACGAACTTGGCCGGAAACCAACCTGGGAAGAGACGTCACCGCGCAGGGACAAATTAACGATGTCCGCCGTTATGCTTCACCGAGCCATCGTCGTCACCGTCGTCACCCTCGTCGTCGTCGTCGTCACCCTCGTCACCCTCGTCATCGTCGTCGTCGTCGTCACCCTCGTTACCCTCGTCACCCTCGTCACCGTCGTCACCCTCGTCATCGTCATCAGCTACAGGTCCACCGCGTCGTGGGCGGTCATTCCCGCGGGTCTCGACAGGACAAAAGCCACGCGGGCGGCAGCCACGCGCAACTCCCTCCCAGGAGCACTGGTTCAGCGCAAGCAAAAAAACCTGGGCCGGTTTCAACATTCAGTGCCTCGCCGGTAAAGGTTTCACTAACCAGTGGAATGGAATCGACAGATTCAACGAGCGACCGGTTGGTTGACTGCTTGACAGAGCAACTGAGCGGCCGATCGACTCGGTGATCGAACCATCGACTGACTACCTGAATGACTGATTGAAGACTTGGCCGACTTACCGGACTAATTCACCGATCGACCGACTTATCCATTGACTTGCCAAACGACGAGAGGACCGCCTAACCGACTGGTTAAACGGACGAACCCCACCGCTCACCTCGAAGTCCGTTGAGCTCTCCGACCCAGCAGTGCTCGTCCTTTTGAGAGATGATCTGAGCCAGGGCGGACACGAACGTGAACACTCGTGAATAACAAGAATAATGATAACTTCTAGATTTGAAGCTTTCGTGACTGCAAGGATTCATATTCTTAGGTTTTTTCGGTAAAGTCACGTAGGTAAAAATGTAAATTAATAAAAGTAAACACAAGCTTCCATCTTCAGGTGGAACCGTCACAGCACGATAGCTTTTTTAATTTTAATAATGATAACATTCGCAACTGCGTAACACGGTTTTTCCCTCCGCATTTAAAATCGAAATCACGAGTTTCCAGTATTTGGCTGCTATACATTTCCACGTGATAAGCCACTTCTTCGTCGTGCTATCATCACGTGTGGCCAGGTGGCTTCGGAAAAAGAGCCTTACCTGGTAAAATAAAAAAAATAGTTTAATAGTTCGCTTGTATGTATGCTGAACTTTTTTTACACCTCATTAAAACTCATTTTGTTTAGCCAGGAGGTGAGAACTTTAGCGAACCAGGGATCAAGTCTCATTTGCAAGAGTGACCTGGGCCGTCAAACTCACGAAAATAAATGAAACAAAACAGAGAAAATAAAAAAAAAACACAAAACTGGAAGCCAGAGCAGCCACATCCCGGGAGCGTTACAAAACGCCGCAACTACAAATCAACAGTTAACACACGCGGCGCATTTACCGTAACATTAACGTGGATCGGCCAAATTAAAAAAACACATTCGTCGGTGATTCTCATCATCATCATCGTCATCATTGTCGGGAGTTCCGAGCCTGCAAATTCCACATTCCTATGACGTGTCCCAGTATCTTATACATTTTAAGAGCACTACTGGTAGCTTTGGACCAGAGGCTCTAAACGCCACATTCGAGCGACAGGACCCAGTCCGTGCCTAACAACAACAACAACAACTGCTCACGTCGTCTCTGTAATCAAGCCGTGGAAATACCGCACTCCTGCGGCAAGGTCAGGTTGCTCCACAATTAACAAAGGGTAATCATCATCCACAATACGGCGGGGTACAGTACATCCACTGCAACACAACAGCCATCGCACGGTTGCTACGAGGTCACCATGGCAACTCCCGTACGGTTGCCAAGGCACCCAGTGCCGTTGCCGTGGCACCCAGTGCCTTTGCCGCGGCAACTTGCGCACTCACCATGACAACGTGCACGGGTTGCTATGTCTCCGCCCCCCCCCCCCCCTTGGCAACCCCCCCACCCCAGCCCCCCCCACCGCCTTCCCCTCATGATAGAGCATTGAAGAAAGTTGGCTTTCTTTTCCATGCCAAATAATTATTTTTAACTCCAAACAATGATTAATGCATCCAGTTGCCATGGTGATCCTGGCCAACACCGGGATACCGGTTGCCTTTGCCAAAAGCGGGTCACAACACGGAGATACTGGTCGCCTTGGCGATACCAGGTCGCCTTGTCGATTAACGGTTGTCGCGGCGACCCCGATAACCGGTCGCCTTGCCGATTAGGGGTTGCCGTGGCGACCCCGCTAACCGGTCGCCCACGGCGGTACCGGGTCGCCTTGCCGATTAGCGGTTGCCGCGGCGACCCCGCTAACCGGTCGCCCGCGGTGGTACCGTGATGATGTCGTTCTTGCGGAAGCCCAGCTCGTCGTCGTCGTGGCGCTCGAAGTCGAGCAGCGCCTTGGCGCGCCGCCGGCGGTTGCGCGTCACGGCGACGTAGTTCTCGTGGTCCAGCTGGTGCGACTCGGTCGAGTAGTCCGGCGTGAGGTCCTGCGCGGTGGGGGGGGGGGGGGGGTAACACGCGCGCGGTTCGGCACAACGCCCGGCAACGACTCGCTCCTCGCGTGCCGATCGGTGTTCCTGACGGCAGCGAAGCGGTTCGGCGCGTTGCTCTACGATAGCCGGCGAGCCCGAGTTCGATTCCCGCCCACGGCCACCGACACCGGCGGCGGCGACGACCACGTGCGTCGGTTCCGGGCCTCTCCTTCATCGACTCGGCCTGAAACCCGAGTTCCTGCCGCGGTGCGCAGCGAATAACATCGCCACTCGGGAGACGAAGGGGCGTCCGGACGCGGTGCCGGGCGCACACCGCCGCCCCTTCCTGGTGCACCGTGCCGGCCATCGCGGGCGCTCGCCAACCCGGCACTTGCCCCAACGGTCCGTTAAGTCTACGCGGGGGACCTTTGTCTGCGTCACCCACCGCTCCCTGCTCGGGGTCGATGTCGTGGAAGTGTCGAGCCACGCGCAGGATGGCGTCGCGCAGCGCCGAGATCAGCTCCGTCTGCTTGATGTTCTTGGCCTTCAGAGACTCCGGGTCCTCCTGGTCGCCTGGCGGCCATGACAGGTACAGGGCATTAGGGGTGGGGGTTGGTGAGGGGGAGCGGGGGGGTGGGGTGGGGGGTATGGTAGCGGCATCAGCAACGCAAAGGGCAAGCAGTCGCAGAGACGGAGCCGAAGATCGGGGAGACGGGATCGTCGCATCGCCGGAGAGAACGAGGGGGAAAGCGCGGCCTTCATCCAACAGTGGATAGATCACGGCTGACGACGACGACGATGACGGTGTGGGTTCGTACCGAAGAAGAGGACCCCGATGACCGACTTCTGCCGCTGCATCTGCCTCCGTGCCAGCTGCCGGACGGCATGCACCCATGGGATAGAGGGGGGGGGGTAACGACAGGCGAGGGGTTAATGAGGCGAGGGGTTAACGAGCGAGGGGTTAATGAGCGAGGGGCCGGCATGCAGAGTGGGGGGGGGGGGTAATGAGCGAGGGGGTAATGAGCGAGGGGGTAATGAGGCGAGGGGGTAACGAGCGAGGGGTTAATGAGCGAGGGGCCGGCATGCAGAGTGGGGGGGGGGGGGTTAATGAGCGAGGGGTTAATGAGCGAGGGGTTAATGAGGCGAGGGGTTAACGAGCGAGGGGTTAATGAGCGAGGGGTTAATGAGGCGAGGGGTTAACGAGCGAGGGGTTAATGAGCGAGGGGCCGGCATGCAGAGTGGGGGGGGGGGGGGGTTAACGAGCGAGGGGCTTGCACGCTGAGGGGGGGTTAACGAGTGAGAGGCTGGCACGCCGAGGGGGGGTTAACGAGCGCCGTGTCCTCTCTCCCCACCTGCTTGGGGATGGTGGGGTTGGGCCCCTCGGGGTTGATGATCTGGCCCTGGTCGGCCATGAGGTACGCCAGGTGCTTCCGCCGCTGGGGTTCCAGGATGGCGTCCGTTAGGCCTCCCGCCACCCTCATCGACTCCTACACAAAGACAAAGATCGCCCGCCTAGCCTTAGCAGACCGTCGGAAAAGTGCTGAGAAACAGCAAATGAGGCCAGAATGACACACGAGAGAGGGTGGGTGGCTAGCACCACGCCCGGCCGCCTTTGTCCCCCCCCCCCCCCCTCCGGCGCCGATGTTTTATACACCGTACACCAGGTACTCATTTGAGGCCGAATCGACCTAAGGGAGGCCCAGGCCCGGTTCAGATAATCGTCACCGGCGTTGGTGGCCATGAGTTGGAATCGAACTCGGGACGCCGGGTTCGTAGCGCAGCGCGTTAGCCGCTGCAGTACCGCTGCCCGCACACAGATGCGCGGGTATGCAGGGGCACACACAGGCGCATGTGTGCACGCACGGGGTCGCACGCACGCAGAGGGAGGCAAACTACAACCATTATATAAATGGAGTGGTAGCTCCTGCAATCTCTCATTTACTTGATACAGCTGTCGTGGCTGTGACGGTACCACCTGAAGACGGAAGCTTGTGTTGCCTCCGAAACGTCGTGATTTTTATTTTATTTTACTTTTTAATGTTTTTACCTACGTGACTTTACCGAAAAAAACCTAAGAATACAACAATTGTTTATTTCACCAGGTAAGGGTCCACTGAGCTACGTAGCTCTTTGTCAGAAGCGATCTGGCCATCGCAAATGAGAGCTCAACGAAGTGGCTGATCGTCGTGTGGACATTCATCGCAGCCAACTAACCTAAACGCGTGACGTCGATTCTAAATGTGGAGGGGGAAAAAACGGACGACCCGGAGAAAAATCCACGCGACCACGGGGAGAGAGACACGCAAACTCCAAATAGACAGCGGGCGTCAAGGGTCGGGATCGAAGCCACGACCTCCTGCGTACCAGGCGAGGGAGTTAACATCGCCTCGCCACCGCGGCAGGAGCAAGGCAGTGAGATCAGCACAACGCAATAGAAGTGGAGATCTTGGGGGGGGGAGGGATGGGGGGGGGCAGGGGGGGGGGGCAGGTGCATTACCTGGATGAGAAGATCTGGGTCGTTCATCTGAGTCGGGATGTCCGACAGGGTGTTGAAGATGGAGGCAGAGTTTTCGGACTGTACCAACTCATCCTCCTGTGTGGGCAGGTTGGGAAGGGAGCGGTGAGGCAACGTGACCGTCATCACCACGATCATTATCGTCGGTGTGTGTGTGTGTGTACCCTGCGTGTGTGTGTGTGTACCCTGCGTGTGTGTGTACCCTTCATGTGTACCCTGCATGTGTGTGTGTGTACACCCTGCATGTGTGTACCCTGCAGGTGTGTGTGTACCCTGTGTGTGTGTGCGTGTGTGCGTACCGTGTGTGTGCGTGTGTACCCTGCGTGTGTGTGTGTATGTACCCTTCGTGTGTGTATCCTGCGTGTGTGTACCCTTCGTATGTACCCTGCGTGTGTGTGCGTGTGTGCGTGTACCCTGCGTGCGTACCCTGCATGTGTGTGTGTGTACCCTGCGTGTGTGTGTGTGTGCGTAGTGGGGAGCGGCAGCGTAACAGTTCGCGCGACGCCGCTGCCGCCGCACCTTCAGCTTGAGCATGCCGAGCGTGAGCTGGAAGAGCACGACGGAGCCCTCGCAGAAGAAGAGGTCCCAGAGGCGCAGCAGCAGTCGCACGTGGACCACGCTCGCAAACACCGTCAGGAACCAGTGCAGCGTGATCAGGGACAGCTCTGGGGGGAGGGGGGGGGAACAAGCGAGCAAACGAGCGAACGAGTAAGTGAACGAGCAGACGTATGAACGAGCGAACGAGTAAGCGAGCAAGTGAACGAGCGAGGAGAGCGAGCGGGCGGGCGGACACACCGATGTCGTGCTCGGTGAGCAGCGCGTGGAGTCGCGGGAGGTGCGAGGCGACGAGCTGGCGCAGCACGCGCTGGTCGGCCTGCACGCCCAGCAGCGTGGTGCTGAAGTACGCCGCCGGCAGCAGGTCCTCCACCAGCGCCGCCATCGACCAGAACGCGTCCTCCTCCTCCAGCAGCAGCAGCAGGCACGCCGCGATCTGACGCGCGCGGGGGGGGGGGGGGGGGAGCATAAGAGGGCGGGGGGGGGAGTGTACGAGCGGTAAGGGCTAGGGAGAGAGGCGGGGGGGGGTGGTTGGATGGCAGCCCCGGCAGCAGCGATGGGCAGAAGACCTCGGCCCGCACGTGTGAGATGGGAGCCGTCAGTTTGCGAGGCCGTGGGAGGTGGAGAAGGCTTGCGGAGGTCTTCATCCAGCAGTGGGTAGATCATGGCTCATATCCGTGTCCCCGTGTCCTCATGTCCCTATCTCACCATGCCGGTGCCCTGGCAGTAGCCGATGTCGGGGTAGAGCCAGGCAATGGTGCATGTCCCGTGTCTCCGTGTCCCCGTGTCCCCTTCTCACCATGCCGGTGCCCTGGCAGTAGCCGATGTCGGGGTAGAGCCAGGCAATGGTGCATGTCCCGTGTCTCCGTGACCCCGTGTCCCCTTCTCACCATGCCGGTGCCCTGGCAGTAGCCGATGTCGGGGTAGAGCCAGGCGAGGGCGCGCAGCAGGCGGCGGAGGCGCGGCACGCCGGTGCTCGTCATCTCGGAGAAGCACACGTTGGTCGGCATCGTGCGCAGCAGGTCCTTCTCGATCTACACGCAGACGTGCGCGCGAGCACGTGAGCGTGCACGTGTGTGAGCGTGTGTGAGCGTGAGAGCACGTGCGTGAGTTTGTACGTGTGTGAGTGTGTAAGCACGTGTGAGTGTGTGAGCTAGTGAGCATGTACGTGTGTGAGTGTGTGAGTGTGAGTGTGTAAGCACGTGTGAGTGTGTGAGCTAGTGAGCGTGTACGTGTGTGAGTGTGTGAGTGTGTAAGCACGTGTGAGTGTGTGAGCTAGTGAGCGTGTACGTGTGTGAGTGTGTGAGTGTGAGTGTGTAAGCACGTGTGAGTGTGTGAGCTAGTGAGCATGTACGTGTGTGAGTGTGTGAGTGTGAGTGTGTAAGCACGTGTGAGTGTGTGAGCTAGTGAGTGTGTACGTGTGTGAGTGTGTGAGTGTGTAAGCACGTGTGAGTGTGTGAGCTAGTGAGCGTGTACGTGTGTGAGCGTGAGTGTGTAAGCACGTGTGAGTGTGTGAGCTAGTGAGCGTGTACGTGTGTGAGTTTGTGTGAGTGTGTGAGCTAGTGAGCGTGTGTGAGTGTGTGTGAGTGTGAGTGTGTAAGCACGTGTGTGAGTGTGTGAGTGTGAGAGCACGTGTGTGAGTTTGTGTGAGTGTGAGTGTGTAAGCACGTGTGAGTGTGTGACTGATGGCCTTAATCTAAGTTGTCTTGTGGTTGTTGTTGTTGTTTGACTTGCATCCCACAGCGTTGGTGTACGGTGTTTTTTCTGCAATATTTTGCTGTCTTTTCTTGGATTTTCTGTTTGCACTCAGTCACATATTCACTTTAAGATGTTTTCTTGTTCATGTTTTTGTTTTTTGTTTGTTGCGGTTGCACCCGATTCAAGAGCCGAATGGCTCACGGGGCTATACCTAATAAATAAACTTGAACTTGAACGTGCGTGAGTGTGTACGTATGCGAGTGAAATAGACGTGTGCGAGTGCGTACGTTCGCGAGTGCGTGTGTAAGTGCATGTGAGCAAGTGCATGTGCGTGTGTGCGTGTGCGCGAGTGTGTACGTATTCGGGGGCGGGGGTTGGGGGGGGGGTGAAGGTGGGGCGAGGGGGGGCGGCACCTGCTTGGCCGTGAGGGAGGCGTCCTCGGAGCTGGCCCTCACCACGTCACGGTACGACACCTCGCTCGTCTTCTTCTTCAGCAGCGCACCCGACAGGCGGACCCACAGCTGCGGGGGGCGGGGCGGAGGGGGGGGGAGTGCGCAGAAGTTGGCGCAGCACAGGGAGAGAAAAGCTGCGTTGCGTGTGTACGCATTGCGTGCGTGTGCATCTGTGGGGAGCGGTGGTGCAGTAGTTAGCGCGCTGCGCTATGAACCTAGCGACCCGGGTTCGATTCCCGCTCACGGCCAACACCAGTGACGATTATCTGAACCGGTCCTGGGCCTCCCCTAGGTCGATTCAGCCTGAAATGAGTACCTGGTGTGGTGTGTAAACATCGCCACTGGGGAGACAAAGGCGGTCGGGCGTGGTGCTGGCCACCCACCCCCTCGTGTACCGTTCCGGCCTTCATAGGTGCTCGCTAACAGCACTTGCCCCTACAGTCTGTTAAGGCTATACGGGGGATCTTTGTCTTTGTTTGTTGTGTACGTGTGTGCGTACGAGTGCGTGCGTGTGTACGTGTGTGTACGTGTGCGTGTGTGTGTACGTGCGTGTGTACGTGTGTGTACGTGTGTACGTGTGTGTACGTGTGCGTGTGTGTGTACGTGCGTGTGTACGTGTGTGTACGTGTGTATGTGTGTGTGTACGTGTGTACGTGTGTGTGTACGTGTGCGTGTGTGTGTACGTGCGTGTGTACGAGTGCGTGCGTGTGTACGTGTGTACGTGTGTGTACGTGTGCGTGTCTCACGTGGGGGCGCATGCTGTGCGGGATGCCCGCGAGCACGAGCGCGCGCAGCTTGTCCGAGCGCGGCACCGTGTCGGCGAGCTGCTCCCACGTGAGGTCGCCCACGCCGTGGTTCTGCGTGAACTCCAGGTAGGCCTGCCAGCGCAGGCGCACCTGCGCGTCCTCGCCCGCGGGGGGCGGCCCCGTCGGGGGCGGCGGCGGCGGCGCATCCACCCCGTCTGGCGCCCCGGGGAGGAGGAGGAGGAGGAGGGACGGGAGACAGACACCTCGGACGTGTGGATCCGCGCGTCCGGTCAACGCTTTCAGCGAGCGGTGTTATTCGCGCGGTGCCGTCACCCCCCCCCCCCACCCCCCCACTGTGCGTAGTGTCGGCCCTAAGCCCCCGACGGTCCGTCGAGACCCCACGGAGGGATCTGTGCCCTTGCGTCGCCACTCACCTTCCTTTTCCAAGCGAAACCCGAACTCATCGAAGAGCAGCTCTTCCCCGTCTTGCGACTCCTCATCCTTCTGCACGGGAGAGGAGGAAGGGGGGGGGTCACGCGGGTCTCATTGTCATCATCGTCTGCCATGATCTCTCCACTGCAGCTGTGCAAGGGCCTCCCCTCCACCCCAAGCCGTCGCCACCGCTCACGGTGGAGGGGCGAACGTCCCCCCCCTCCCCGCCTCTCGGTGCGCGCTCCGGCGTGAGGCCACGGTGGCGAGGAGATGTTAACTACCTCGCCTGGTATGCAGGAGGTCGTGGGTTCGATCCCGACCCTGATGATGCCTGCAGTATATTTGGAGTTTGCGTGTCTCTCTCTCATCATCATCATCACGATGGCTAGGAGATGTTAACTACCTTGCCTGGTATGCAGGAGGTCGTGAATTCGATCCCGACCCTGATGATGCCTGCTGTATATTTGGAGTTTGCATGTCTCTCTCTCTCGCTCATCATCATCATCACGGTGGCGAGGAGATGTTAACTACCTCGCCTGGTATGCAGGAGGTCGTGGGTTTGATCCCAACCCTGATGATGCCTGCTGTATATTTGGAGTTTGCGTGTCTCTCTCTCTCTCATCATCATCACGGTGGCTAGGAGATGTTAACTACCTCGCTTGGTATGCAGGAGGTCGTGGATTCGATCCCGACCCTGACGTTTGTTGTATATTTGGATTTTGCGTGGCTCTCTCTCCTCGTAGCGAGATGTTAACTACCTCGCCTGGTATGCAGGAGGTCGTGGATTTGATCCCGACCCTGATGCCTGCTGCTGTATATGTGGAGTTTGTGTGTTTGCTCGCTCTTTCTCCGCGGTCGCGTGGATTTTTCCTCCACATTTATGATCAATATCACGCTTTTAGAGTATTTGGCTGCTATCAATGTCCACATGATGATAGGCCACTTCATCGACCTATCAAAGCGTGTGACCAGGTCGCTTCTGACAAGAGCTATATTGCTCGGTGGGACTCAAATAAAAATAGTTTTATTTAATTGTTGATGTGGGCAGCGGTGGTGTAGGCGGATAGCGCGCTGCGCTACGAACCCGGCGACCCGAGTTCAATTCCCGCTCATGGCCAACACCAGTGATGATTATCTGTACCGGTCCTGGGCCTCCCCTAGGTCGACTCAGCCTCAAATGAGTACCTGGTGCAGTGTGTAAACATCGCCACTGGGGAGACAAAGGTGGCCGGGCGTGGTGTTGGCCTTTATAGGTGCTCGCTAACAGCACTTGCCCCGACAGTATGTTAAGGCAATACGGGGGATCTTTGTCTTTGTGCGTGTGCGTGTGCGTGAGCGCGTGCGTACGTCACCTGTGCGAGTTTGGCCAGGATGTCTTGAGGCCACATGCTGGGCGTGAGCGCTGAAAACGGACCCATCGGGGTGGGGGTGAGTGTGCCTGAACACACACACACACACAAAGACAAAGACCCTCCGTGTAGCCTTTAACAGACCGTTGCGGCAAGTGCACGGCACACTAGTGGGCGGGTGGCCAACACCACGTCCGGCCGCCAGCTCTCCCCCAGTGGTGATGTTTACACACTGCACCAGGTATTCGTTTAAGGCTGAATCGACCTAGGGGAGGATCAGGACCAGTTCTGATAACCGTCACCGGTATTGGCCGTGCACGGGAATCGAACTCGGGTCGCCGAGTTCGTAGCGCAGCGCGCTAACTGCAACACCACAGCGTCAGACACATGGGCGTGCACACATGCGCGCACATGCGCACACATGCGCACACACACAAACACGTGCACACACAGACACGCACACACACACACACACAAACACGTGCACACACAGATGCGCACACAGACACGCGCACACAGACACGTGCACACACACAGACACACACACACAGACGCACACACACGCATGCGCTGTGCCACGCGCTGGGCTGTTGTTGCCGTTTTAGCCGAATTATCCGAATTATCCGAATTATCAGGTCAATGGTCAAGCTTTTTCGTGATTTCAACCCGGCTTGCGTAAACGACGAATCTTGAGCTTTCCAGGGACTCCTCGCTCAGCGAGATTGACGGAAGAGTGATCGAATAGAGGGCCTCAGGACAAACCCACAATCAGATTATCTGCTGATTATTTTTTTTGTGCGTGTTTATTTTGTGGTCTCCCCCCCTTCCACACACCTCTGGTGACCTCGATTGGCTACGTACGGTGCGGAAGAAGTTCAATGTCCATCCACGTGACACAAAATAACCATTCGCATCGTTGCGGACTAAATAAATAGCACGAGTAAAAGTAGCAATTACGCCTCCTTGACGCATATGTCCTTGCCACGTGAAATAAAAAAACGACGACTGTTTTACACAGCCCAGGTAGTTTTTGGGGGGGTGGGGCTCACCTGTCGACATGGTGCAGAGTGAGGGGGGGGGGGGTTGAGGGATGGAGGTGGGAGGGTGTCGCGGGGGTGGGGGGCAGCGCTGGGCGTTCAGCTGTCGCCATGGGGGTGGATGGGAGGGGGGTTGGAGGGGGTGGGAGGTGCTGGGTGGTGTGGGGAGCTCACCTGTCGGCATGGTGCGGGGCGACGGGGGGAGGGGGTCCCGCCGGGGGTCCCGACGGCACCGCGGGCTCCTCCGCCTGACGGGCGAGGGGGGAACGGGAGGTTAGCCGAGTCGGAGCGATCGCCATCCGCCGCGTGATCCGCCAACCCCCGTCTGCCTCCACGTCGCCGCGCGCGGACCGCAGGTGCCGCGATGCTTCGCCGCACCTGGTCAGGCGACGGTTGAACCGCGTGGCGACGCGCGTCGGGGAGGGGCTGGGGGAAAGTGTGGGGGGGGGGGGGTAGCGTGCGTCAATCGCGAAAGGTCACGTCGGTTATAGCGACGCCGCCGCCGCCGCCGCTCCCTCTCCTCCTCCTCCCTCCGCCACTGTGGCAGTGGCAGGTGCCACGCTGGCGGGATGTTGACAACCTCGCCTGGTACGCAGGAGGTCGTGGGTTCGATCCCGACCCCGACGCCTGCTGCTGTATATTTGGAGTTTGCGTGTCTCTCTCGCTCTCTCTCCTCGTGGTGGTCGCGTGGATTTTTCTCAGCGTCCTCCGGTTTTTCCCTCCACGTTTAGAATCAACATCACGGCGTTTAGAGCATTTGACTACCGCTATGAATTTCCATACGATGATGATATCAGCCGCTTCGTTGAGCTCTCATTTGTGATGGCGAGGTCGCTCCAGACAAAGAGTTCTACAGCTGAGTGAGCCCTCACCGGGTAAAATAAAATAAAAATTGTTTTAGTTTGAATTCCGGCGAATTCTGGCCGTCAGCGATGCTGCCGATCAACCCTCGCCGGAGTCGCTGACTCGGCACCCCCCCCCCCCCTCCACGTGTACACAGCCCCCACCACCTTCCCCCCCCACCCACGCCGGCCTCCATGCCGCAGGGCCCGATGGCCACTGCTGCCCTCTTCCCCCCCCACCACCACCACCACCGTAGCCCACACAGCCTCACGCCGCCGCAAGGTGCTGTTAGCGAGCATCGAAGACGACGGCTGCCACGGCGGCATAAGGAGGTGGCGTGGTCCCGGCCCCCCCCCCCCCAGATGGTGATGCTCTCCGCGCCACACGAACGCCAGGTGCTCGCTCTGAGGGCCGGGTCGACCCGGCTCAGATAAATCGCCAGCCCCGATGTTCGGCCGTGGCGGGCTGGGCTGGGAGTCGAACTCAGGTTGGCGGGGGATCGTACGTGTCCCGGTCTCGTCGCATCTCTGGGAGATAATGCGATGGGCGGTGGGGGGGGGGGGGGGGGGGGTGCCCTACGGGGCTTTGCTTCGCAGCACGTAAACTAAAGAAGGGCCGTTGCCCGAAACGTCATCGATTATATCCGTTCATCTTTTAAGGCCACGCGTCAAGGTTTGTTGTGTTGTTGTTGTTAATTGCGCTTGTGCACCACTGCCAACGCAGCAGCCGCAGCAGCATCACCGAATAATGTCTATTCATACTGCAGTAATGTACAGCCAGCGAATTATTTAATCCATCTGTGCGGAGCTGTGCGTCTTGGCGAGACCCAGACACATGTGAGACGCCGTTACAGCCGCCAGAGCGGTTACAGCAGTCCGCGTGCGACCACGATGGCCGTTAGCCTCAATGTTGGAACCCAGTGGTTCTCAACCGGAGGAGTACGCCTACTCCCAGGGGTACGTGGCAGTGACCCAAGGGGGTACACGCGAGGTTATTTATGAATGCGTGACATTATACCGCACGAGAGTCGTCGGTGAATAGCCACGTGTGAATGTGCCCATGTAAAATAACGACAACATTTAAATGCACGTGGTAATCTAGAACGCCGTAAGAGACCTTTCTCAACTCGCGGGTCGTAGACCACGTGGCTTCCAAGAGCAGCCGGCGAGTGCGAACAAATGACGTCACGCACGGAAAGCGTGACGTTGATTTGGTTGTTCTCTGCTTGCATATTCTTAGGGTCTTTCGGTAAAGTCGCGTAGATAGGTTCAAAGTAAATTTTAAAAAACGATGAATTCCTGCAGTCACGAAAGCTTGAAGTCAAGATTAACCGCTTGCAGTTACCGGCTAAGATAGGGATACCTCACAAAAATGGACCTTTGGTTGAAATATTGATGTCCATCATTCGTACGTTTACTTCTCAGAACCGTGTTGGGTCAGGCAAGGGGGGGGGGGGTTACTCGGTTGCAACTAAATTCAACAGTCGCCAAAAACCGGCTGAGAACCGCCGCAGTCTAAAACCACCGCAGGTGTGTTCAGTAAAAGTGTCTCTCCGTGGCCTCACGCACAGCGAAGGGAGAGGGGGGGGGGCATGTAACCGTGGCCAGAGAAGACGACACGGGAACTTCGTGCGGCTGCGACAGGTCCAGGTAACTTTCTTTACCCTGAGCGTTTATCCAGCCGATGAAACGGATAACCGTGCCTCTTCCCCCCCGCCGCTCGATTGATCCGGAGCGAGACCTCCACCCGCTCGTGAGCGTGCGCACACACACACTCACTACCCCAGAGTGTGGGAACTCCGCCACCCTCGTCGCAACAACCCCCACATTAATCACGGGATGGCCGAGGGGAGTGCGGAGTGTTTGACGACGCAAAGTGCACAGGTAAGCGCTTTGTTGGCTTTTGGCGGGGGCATGCGCCGCGCCTTTTAGCGGCACGCTACAGGTTCAGCGGCACGCTACGGGTTCAGCGGCACGCTACGGGTTCAGCGGCACGCTACAGGTTCAGCGGCACGCTACGGGTTCAGCGGCACGCACCGGGTTCAGCGGCACGCACCGGGTTCAGCGGCCGAGTCTCAGAGTAAGCGGCGCGTGATTGCCACGCCATCAGCGTGCACCACGCGGTCGACCGGTAGCCACAGGGCTTCGTCCCAACGAGTTCTCGTTGTATTACCGGTAAGGAAATACATTAAAAAAGATGCTTTACCACACTTTGTTCAAACACAACACCGTGCTCAACCCACTGCAGAGCACGACTACACACTTGCTCATCCACTCAGCCACTCACTCACCCAATAACCCACCCGCCCACACTCACTACTCACCCACTCTGCCGCTAACACACCCACACTACCACACTCACCAAAACCCACGCACTAACCCACCCACTCACTCATTCATCCACCCACCCGCACACACACACACTTCATTCACTCACCCATCCACTCACTCGCCCACTCATGCACTCTCTCACTCACCAACCCACTAACTCATTCACCCACACTCACTACTCTGCCACAACAACAACAACCGCCATTCGCCATTAAGTGGCAGTGACGTCACCACGACGCTTGTGCCAGGCCATGTGCACCTTGAGGCTATGTGAAGTGTCGAACGCCCGCTGGCAGGAGGTCGCGGGGCAGACCCAGGTGCCACGGGTCGACTGACTGAGATGACCGAGATGACTGGCCGATGCACCACCTCTGCCACGAACACATCCACACACCCACTCATTCACTCACTCACCCCACCCACACAACCCAGCTGCACCCACTCATCCTCCCACATACCTACCCACTCACACACTAGCCTTCTCACTCACCACTCACTCACCACTCACACACTCGCCTTCTCACTCACCACTCACACACTCGGTTTCTCACTCACCACTCACTCACCACTCACACACTAGGTTTCTCACTCACCACTCACACACTAGCCTCGTCACTCACCACTCACTCACCACTCACTCACCCACACAACACACCCGCACAAGCACCCACTAATCCACCCACACACCTACTCACTCACACACTAGCCCACTCACCACTCACTCGCCACTCACACACTAGCCTTCTCACTCACCACTCACTCACCCACACAACACACCTGCACAAGCACCCACTAATCCACCCACACACCTACTCACTCACACACTAGCCTTCTCATTCACCACTCACACACTAGCCTTCTCACTCACCACTCACACACTAGCCTTCTCACTCACCACTCACACACTCGCCTTCTCACTCACCACTCACACACTAGCCCACTCACCACTCACCACTCACTCACCACTCACCACACTGCAGGCCACCTCACTTTTCTTTCAGCTTCTGCCCTCCCACCGCTCCACTTTGAAATCACCACTCCCCCTTCCCCCCCCACAAGCCCATCCAACAACAATAACCTGACGACAAACAGTTCAAGATGTCCATTACAACTCTTATCGATGGCAACGTTTAATCCCTGCCCATTGTTGCACCGTTCCCAAGGCGTGACGCGGGCCCGTGCTCAGAGCAAAGCGGCGATTTTAAACAAATCACGCCGCTCGCACAAAGACAAAGATCCCCCGTGTAGCCTCGAGCAGACTGCTGGGGCAAGTGCCGTTAGCGGGCAGCACCTGTGGCACACAAGGGGGAGGGGTTTGGCCAGCACCGCGCCCAGCCGCCTTTGTCTCCCCAGTGGCGATGTTGACTAGACACCGCCACCAGGTACTCATTTGAGGCTGAGTCCACCTAGGGGAGGCCCAGGACCGGTGCAGATAATCGTCACCGGTGTTGTTGGCCGTGAGAGCAGGAATCGAACTCGGGACGCCGGGTTTGTAGTGCAGCGCGCTAACCGCTGCACCACCGCTCCCACCACCAACTCACACTCATACGCACACACGCACACGACAATGACTATTTTAGTTTTGCGATTATCCAGAGTCTATGACACACGAACACCCACGCCCCTCCACTCAGGGCCAACACCGGTGACGATTATCTGAACCGGTCCAGGCCCTCCCCTAGGTCGATTCAGCCTCAAATGAGTACCTGGTGCCGTGTGTAAAACATCGCCACTGGGAAGACAAAGACGGCTGGGCGTGGTTTTGGCCATCCACCCCCTCGTGTGCCTTCTGGCCTTCAGAGGTGCTCGCTAACAGCACTTGCCCCAAAGTTCTCTCGAGGCTATACAGGGGATCTTTGTCTGGTAGGAAGGAGGTCGTGGGTTCGATCCCAACCCCGACGCCTGGTTCATTTGGGGTTTGCGCGTTCTCCCCGTGGTTCGCGTGGAATTGTCTCTGGGTCTAACTCCCTCCGCGTTTAGAATCAACAACCACAACGCCGCGTTTAGAGTCTTTGGCTACTGCTTTGCATTTCCACGCGATGGTTAACGCCGCTTCTTTGCGCTTTCATTTGTGGCCAGCTCGCCTCTTGGGAAAAACGAGCAACACGAATCCGAGTTGGTCTTACCTGGTGAAATAATAAAAAATAATAGAATTTGGTTGAGTTTACTTCCCTGGGGGTCGCTGTTGCCTGGGACAGCCCAAAGTGGGGGGAGGGTGGGGGAGGGTGGGGGGAGGGTGGGGGGAGAGTGGGGGGAGGGTGGGGGGAGAGTGGGGGGAGGAGTGGGGGGAGAGTGGGGGGAGGGTGGGGGAGAGTGGGGGGAGGGTGGGGGGAGAGTGGGGGGAGGGTGGGGGGAGGGTGGGGGGAGGTTGGGGGGAGGGTGGGGGGAGGGTGGGGGGAGGGTGGGGGGAGGGTGGGGGGAGAGTGGGGGGAGAGTGGGGGGAGGGTGGGAGGAGGGTGGGGGAGGGTGGGGGGAGGATGGGGGAGGGTTGGGGGAGAGTGGGGGGAGAGTGGGGGAGAGTGGGGGGAGAGTGGGGGGAGGGTGGGGGGAGGGTGAGGGGATTCCAGTTGATCCGGTTCACCTGGGCACAATCCCATCCAGAGCCGCGCTCTGGCTCCATCACCCAGTCACCCAGTCACCCACTCCCTCACTCCCTCCCTCCCTCCCCTCCAGCCACAACCACACCCCGATCAGAGACAGCGACTGCTCCCCATAAGGCACGCGACGGAGAAGCGGAGTCACACCTGTGTGTGTGTGTCACGGTGTGTGTGTGTGTCACGGTGTGTGTGTGTGTCACGGTGTGTGTGTGTGTCACGGTGTGTGTGTGTGTCACGGTGTGTGTGTGTGTCACGGTGTGTGTGTGTGTCACGGTGTGTGTGTGTGTCACGGTGTGTGTGTGTGTCACGGCGTGTGTGTGTGTCACGGTGTGTGTGTGTGTCAAGGTGTGTGTGCGTGTCACGGTGTGTGCGTGTCACGGTGTGTGTGTGTGTCACAGTGTGTGTGTGTCAAGGTGTGTGTGTGTGTCACGGTGTATGTGTGTCACACCTGTGTGTGTGTCACGGTGTGTGTGTGTGTCAAGGTGTGTGTGTGTCACGGTGTGTGTGTGTCACGGTGTGTGTGTGTCACGGTGTGTGTGTGTGTCACACCTGTGTGTGTGTCACACTTGTGTGTGTGTGTCAAGGTGTGTGTGTGTCAAGGTGTGTGTGTCAAGGTGTGTGTCAAGGTGTGTGTGTGTCAAGGTGTGTGTGTGTCAAGGTGTGTGTGTGTCACACCTGTGTGTGTGTCAAGGTGTGTGTGTGTGCCACACCTGTGTGTCAAGGCGTGTGTTTCACACATGTGGCTGTCACATCTGAGTGTGTCACACCTGTGGCTGTGTGGGGAGCGGTGGTGTAGCGGTTAGCGCGCTGCGCTACGAACCCAGCGACCCGAGTTCAACTCCCGCTCACGGCCAACTCCAGCGACGATTATCTGAACCGGTCCTGGGCCTCCCCTAAGTCGACTCAGCCTCAAACGAGCACCATGGTGCGGTGTGCAATCATCACCGATTGGGGAGACAAAGGCGGCCGGGAGTAGCGGTGGCCACCCGCCCCCTCGGCGGACGCCGCTCGCTGACGGCGAGTGGACCGGGCGGGGAGGAGGATCTTAGTCCATCGTGCGGTCGAGAAACACTTTTTGTCCGCGCGCGCGCACGGCTCACAACAATAACCAACGCAGGTCGCCGCGATGAAGCCTTTTGTCGTCTGCCCCTGCTGCAGCTGCTGCAGCAGTCAAAACACGGCGCCCGTTGCGTGACGGCAACACGAGAGGGCATAACGGAAGGGAACGCAACGACGGCTGCGTGCCTGTGCTGACAAACAATCCTCGCCTAAGTGGCCTCTCTCCTTGGACAATGCGGCAGGGAGGGGTGTGTGTGTGTGTGTGTTACCCTGCTGCTGCGAATGACCCCTCCATTCAGTGCCCAACTCGGCGAGTTGAGCGGGGGTGGTGGTGGTGGCGGGGGTGGTGGTGGGGTGGTGGTGTGCGCGCGTGCGCCGCACAAGAGACGGATAATTCGCGAGCCACGAATGTGCTTGTAACACGTTTGGCAAGGAACGTTTCGTTGTTGATGTTTTGTTCACGTTGAGTGTCAAAATGTTACTGCCCCCCCCCCGCGCCCCGCCTGGAACAGAGAGGGAGAGAGTGCCCACATTTTCTGGGACCTGCACACGATTTGGCAAGTGAATAAACGAATTAAAAAATTTACCCGTAAAAACAAAGTTTTTCACTATAAATCCTTTATATGCGTGGCGGCTAAAGTCCTCTCGTCCTCTGGCTTGAGATAGGCTGCCACCTATGGGTCAGATGATTGTCTGCCAGCATTAAGAAATTGGTAATTAAATATTTATTTTTTCCCCTAAACAGTGTAAAATTTTTGAATTGTTTTTTCACGAACATTAATTGTCACGCACAACGAGTCTGTGTGCAAAATGTCAGCTCGATTGGATGACGGGAAGTGGGTTAAAAAACGACCGAAAGATTTGCACGGTCATAAGCGCGCAAGCAAGCAAGCAAGTGAACTTAATATAAAGGATTTAAAAATGTGTCAGGCGGTAGAAAACTAAACGTAGCCGGTGCGACGTAGACACGCCACAGATCCGCAGGACGCGAGCCGGGAACCAGACACATCACTCATGGCTAACTCTATAGCCCAAATCTATAACGAAACACACACTCTATAGCCCAGACTTATAACTCATCACCCACTCTACAGCCCAGACCCATAACTCATCACCCACTCTATAGCCCAGACCCAGAACTCATCACCCACTCTATAGCTCAGATCTAGAACTCATCACCCACTCTATAGCCCATACCCAGAACTCATCACCCACTCTATAGCCCAGACCCAGAACTCATCACCCACTCTATAGCTCAGACCCAGAACTCATCACCCACTCTATAGCTCAGACCCAGAACTCATCCCCCACTCTATAGCCCAGACCCAGAACTCATCACCCACTCTATAGCCCAGACCCAGAACTCATCACCCACTCTATAGCCCAGACCCAGAACTCATCACCCACTCTATAGCCCAGACCCAGAACTCATCACCCACTCTATAGCCCAGACCCAGAACTCATCACCCACTCTATAGCCCAGACCCAGAACTCATCACCCACTCTATAGCCCAGACCCAGAACTCATCACCCACTCTATAGCCCAGACCCAGAACTCATCACCCACTCTATAGCCCAGATCTAGAACTCATCACCCACTCTATAGCCCAGACCCAGAACTCATCACCCACTTTATAGCCCAGACCCAGAACTCATCACCCACTCTATAGCCCAGACCTATAACTCATCACCCACTCTATAGCCCAGATCTAGAACTCATCACACACTCTATAGCCCAGATCTAGAACTCATCACACACTCTATAGCCCAGACCTAGAACTCATCACCCACTCTATAGCCCAGACCCAGAACTCATCACCCACTCTATAGCCCAGACCTATAACTCATCACCCACTCTACAGCCCAGACCCAGAACTCATCACACACTCTATAGCCCAGACCCAGAACTCATCACCCACTCTATAGCCCAGATATAGAACTCATCACCCATTCTATAGCCCAGACCCAGAACTCATCACCCACTCTATAGCCCAGACCCAGAACTCATCACCCACTCTATAGCCCAGACCTATAACTCATCACCCACTCTATAGCACAGACCCAGAACTCATCACCCCTCTATAGCCCAGATCTAGAACTCATCACCCACTCTAGAGCCCAGACCTAGTAACACAACGACAGCCACTCTCGATCTATCACCGTGGTGGTGGAAATTCCCCGTTGCTCTGGTTGGTGCCGCGGCCGCCCTCAATCGCCGCGTCTCAACTTGACAATCATCACGGATGCATCCCTCCCCACCACCCGTTTTATCCACCGAAATGAGCTGCTGCTGCCATTTGGCAGATAGCCCGACCAGGTGTCCACTGGCAACGTCACGAATTGCGCGTTCAAGTTACGAATTAGGTTCGTGACCTTTGCAAGGCTCTGGTTAAGTCAGCGAAGCGCACGGGGTTAGGCCCGGAAGTTTGTGATGCAGGCCCAGGTGTTAACGCGTTGGTTGTTAAGCTATGTTGTACAGTTTTAAGATTAGAGTACAGTCTAACTGTTAAGGGGGTTTAGGCACGAGGCATCGTGTTGCACAGAGATGTCAGGGGCCTAAAGCTACGTGGGATATTCAGCAGAGGGTTAGGTCTCGTTATGGGGGTTCATGACCAGCCTTAAGAAAAAAACCCATATGGTTAGGGATAAACATATAGGGTTTAGTATTAGGGTTAATGTATGGTGAGGGTTCGGGATAAGTAATGGGTTTAGGACTATGGTTAAACATAATCCGCACGTGGTTTAGGTACACACACACGTGGTTTAGGAGTAGGGGGTAATATAAACTCAGCACAATAGCGTCTTAATCCACGGGGGGGGGGGGGGGGGGGGTATTAAAGACTGGGATTTCGCGAAAACCACAGACTTTGGGTACAACGCGTCTGGCGTCAGCATCAGCTGATCCACCGCCACAACTCCCGGACATCACACAACGCAGGTTCCACTCCCGTGCCCGCTGGGCTCCGAGTCCCTTTAAACAACAACAACAACCAAAGTCCTACTACGGTGCGAGCTCCTGGTACCCTTAACCACAACTGGAACAGTCCTGTCACCAGGGTCCCAGTGACTGAGTCCCAGGCCCCAGGTTCTGAGTCTCAGGTTCCTGAGTCTCATGCCCCAGGTAGTCACCACCAGGCCCAAGGGACTGAGTCCCAGGTCCCAGGTAAGCAATCCCAGGCCCCGAGTCCCAGGTGCTGAGTAACCAGGCCCCGAGTCCCTTCAATCACGACGGGACGTGATCCGTCACGCGAGGAGCGACACGGCAGAGGACACTTACTAGAATGTGACTACAGCAGCTGCAGCAGCAGCAGCTGTAGCAGCTGTAGCAGTAGCTGTAGGGGCAGGAGACTCGTCACGATGCTCTGCTGCTTCCGCTTGGTGGCGAAGGCGACCGCCGGCTGTGTTGGTCTCCCCCCGCTCGCTCCGTGGTGCGTGCCGGATGGAGGGAGAGAGACGCTACGGGGGGGGGTGGTCGCGGCCGTGTTTGTCTCTCACGCCGCCCGCCCCAACACCACCACCAACAACAACACCAACAACACCACCACCACCAACACCTCCTGCCCTGCCAGCTGGGCTCGGCATCCACGTCAGCAGCGGTGCGGAGTGTGCGTCACGAGCCGGCGGAGGAGGAGGAGCCGAGATGCAGCCCCCACCCACCCACTCCGCTCACCACCCCCACCCGCCCCCACCCGCCCCCACCCGCCCCCACCCGCCCCCACCAGCCCCCACCCACCCACTCCGCTCACCACCCTCACCCACCCCCATCCACCCCACCCACTCCGCTCACCACCCTCACCCATCCACTCCGCTCACTCCCCCCCACTCCACTCACCCACCCCCACCCACTCCACTCACCCCCACCCACTCCACTCACCCCCTCCACTCCACTCACCCACTCCGCTCACCACCCTCACCCACCCCCACCCACTCCCACCCACTCCGCTCACCACCCTCACCCACCCACCCACCCACTCCCACCCACTCCCACCCTCACCCACCCCCACCCACTCCCACCCACTCCCACCCACTCCGCTCACCACCCTCACCCACCCACTCCCACCCACTCCCACCCTCACCCACCCCCACACACTCCCACCCACTCCGCTCACCACCCTCACCCACCCACTCCCACCCATTCCCACCCTCACCCACCCCCACACTCCGCTCACCCCCCCACTCCACTCACCCCCCCACTCCACTCACCCACCCCCACCCACTCCGCTCACCACCCCACTCCACTCACCCCCCCACTCCACTCACCCACCCCCACCCACTCCGCTCACCCCCCCACTCCACTCACCCCCCCACTCCACTCACCCACCCCCACTCCGCTCACCACCCCCCCCACTCCACTCACCCCCACCCACTCCGCTCACCCACCCCCACCCACCTCCACCCACCCCCACCCACCCACTCCACTCACCCCCACCCACTCCACTCACCCCCTCCACTCCACTCAACCACTCCACTCACCCACTCCGCTGACCCCCCACTCCACTCACCCCCACCACTCCACTCACCCACCCCCACCCACTCCGCTCACCACTCCCCCCACTCCACTCACCCCCACCCACCCCACTCACCCCCCCCCCCACTCCACTCACCCCCACCCACTCCGCTCGCCACCCACTCCACCCACCCACCAACCTCCACCCACCCCACCCACCCACCAACCTCTACCCACCCCCACCCACCACGCTCACCCCCCCCACTCCACTCACCCCCCCACTCACCCACCCCCACCCACTCCACTCACCCCCCCCACTCCATTCACCCATCCACTCCACTCACCCCCCCACTCCATTCACCCACCCTCACCCACTCCGCTCACCACCCTCACTCACCCCCACCCACCCCTACCCACTCCATGCACCCCCACCCACTCCATGCACCCCCACCCACCCTCATCCACCCGCACCCAAGACGCACGATAACTTATTTGTCAGTTATTGTACAGGTACTCCTCTACTTACGAACACGCGACTTACGAACTTTCAGAGATACGAACAAACCTGTCCCGTATGTCGGATTGCAAGTTGGGACAGAGAGCCCTAAGTGCAACCGCCGCGCAATAGATGGCGGTGGTGGCATCTACATCTGTAGAACTTGAAGAACCAGTGGCATCTACATCTGTAGAACGTGAAGAACCAGTGCCATTTACATCTGCAGAATATGAAGAACCAGTGGCATCTACACCTGCAGAAGGTGCAGAACCAGTGGCATCTACATCTGCAGAACGTGAAGAACCAGTGGCATCTACATATGCATAACATAAAGAACCAGTGGCATCTACATCTGCAGAACATGAATAGCCAGTGGCATCTACATCTGCAGAATATGAAGAACCAGTGGCATCTACATCTGCAGAATATGAAGAACCAGTGGCATCTACATCTACAGGAGATGATCCAACTTTTAAAGCCATTCCCCGTGTTTTGTGTACACGCCATACAACACGTTTGGAATCGACTGGAGTAAAGTTGGACTTACGAACAAATCGACTCACGAACAGACCTCTGGAACCTAACTTGTTCGTTAGTAGAGGAGTACCTCTGCCTTTAAATCTTTATCCATGGATACTGTGACCGTGTGATCGTCTTCCTCCAAACCCCAAATACACACGGTGCAACTGAAATCATAGACGGTAGGCAATTCGATCCTGCATATTATTGTACACACGGGTCAAAGACATCCATAGTTCGTCGCTCCCCTGCGGTAGCTCTTGTGAACGAATCTCGCCCAAGCAAACAAACGCAACACGTTCGCCAAATTAGCGCTGCCACTCTTCCAAACCGATCTCTCTGCCACGAAGAAAGGGGGCCATTGCCCGAAACGTCGCCTCGTGTATGTGTATACTGTACATAGACATTTGTTTGACTTTCAGGGTTCAGAGTTACTGACGCGTTGATTTGACGAAGTAATTAACTCTTCCGCCAGATGGCAGTCGCGTGCCACGTTAAAAAAAAAAACACCTCGTCCTCAAATCTGCCTCTCCACTTTGACTGCAATAGTCGTTTTTATTACCACTTCCGGTCAAACGCACGGCCCTTTTTGCGAGTGCGACGATTAACCAGCAGCGTTGGGTCAATGCCAGCCAAACGCTGTCCGGACCCGGTTTCGACGTTCAGTATCTCATCAGCATCAAGATCGGTGCGGTGATCCAGCGGTGCGGATGGACTAAAATGATCAATCAAAGTGTTCGATTTGTCCCACCCCCCCCCCCTCCTCATTTGTCAACGTGCGTTCAGAGTATTTGTCTTGTAATACATTTCAACACGATAAGCCACCGAGTTGAGCTATCATCACGTGTGGCCAGGTAGCGTCTAAATAAGTATAACCCGTAAAAACAAAGTTTTTCACTCTAAATCCTTTATATGCGTGGCGGCTAGAGTCCTCTCGTCCTCTGGCTTGAGATGGCTGCCACCTATGTGTCAGATGATTGTCTGCAGTATTAAACAATTGGTAATTAAATATTTAATTTGTTTTCCCTAAACAGTGTAAAATTTTGGAATTGTTTTTTCACGAACATTAATTGTCACACACAACGAGTCTGTGTGGAAAATGTCAGCTCGATTGGATCACGGGAAGTGGGTTAAAAAACGACCGAAAGGTTTGCACGGTCGTAAGCAAGCAAGCAAGCGAACTTAATATAAAGGATTTAAAAAGAGCTACATTACAGGTCAGTAGGGCCCCATGACCTGGTAAAACACATTCCTCCTGCGGAGGGAGCTGGTAGGAACGTTGGGTTGCTCGGTCAATGGCCAGGGTCAACGGCGGCGTGGTGTATTCCGCAAATATTCCCGACTGTGAGGGCGGGCACAAGCCGGCGTGAGTAGGTTAAACGTTGAGTTTTATAAGGGCACCACGGGGTGACCAGCCCCTCCCCACCCAGCCCCACCCCTCCCACCCTCTCCACCCAGCCCCCCCCACCCTCCCCGCCCAGCCTCTCCCTTCCCACCTAGCCCCTCCTTGCACGACGGACACAATAATCCCCTGTGGGCTGGTGTAACCAGGAGGTCCCTACCAATATAAAACGCAGTTTAATATGTTAGTATCCTACAGATGGCGCTCTGGCACCAAGCCATCGATTCTCAAAATGGTAAAGTTTGCGAGTTCAAATCCCACCCGTTCTGGATTAAATCCATCATCACCATCATCATCAATACGTGGTCGATAGAACACGAGCATGAATGACAAGACAATTGTTGTTATTGTCTTAGATCACCGCCATGCTGACGAAAGAGGATGGAACGAAAACCGAGAAGTGCCGCGAGATGAGTGAGATGCGCTCGCTCCGAATCGACCTTCGAAGGTGGACGCGTGGATCGGCCTGCGAACGTCGTCATTCGCTCGCATCCATGTCGCCTTCGCCCAATCGACGCGTCACAGATTCGCCCCAATTGCTTCCCTCTCGCCGATCTCATTCACCTCGTCCCCCGCCGCCATGGCATTCACACGCGCGTCAGTGTTGTGCCGTTCTCAATTCCCTGCAAATCGCCTCGGTTGAGGCGCTGTACACACACACACATCCATTACGTGAAGAGAATGAGATCATTTGGAATGTGAAAGATTAAGCGAATGGACCTGGAACGGGAGTGGCGATGGGCCAAGGGAGACGTGGAGCGGTGACAGATTGACGACTCAACGGAAAGTTTGAGCCCGGCAGTAGGGACCACCACGTGGAGACGGAGCGGAACGGTGGATCGTGGTGGCACCACGAGACCGCGAGAGGGGGGAGGGGGCATCACCCAGCAGTGGATAGACCATGGCTGAAAGCTACGATGACGGAGATGTGGAATATCCACCACTGTCTGGCTCACGGCGGAGCAATGCACACCACTCCCAAGCATTTGGCGGCATCGCAAAGGATTCTTGAATCCATCTGCACGGCGGGGGGTGATCGCGAGCGTTACGCCCTTCTCGTACGGGGGCCCTGGTGGATGTTCTGCTGGCTCTCGGGATTCCTTTCCTCATCGCCACACGAATCTCCACCGCCCCCCCTCCCCCCCGCCAAAAAAATATAATCCCTGATGAACTTTAGGGGCCAGACATCTAAAAAAAATGAAATAGGAACCTGCCTGAAAAAATAAATTGCCTTTCAGACGCCACTAAAACTGCGACTTTCGCGGATAAATAAACTCCAAGATTATATTCGGATGTCTGCTGCTGCTGCTGCTGCTTTAGGACTTTTAAGGTTTCTTCTCTCTGAGAGGCGGGCAGGATTCGAGGCTGTATCGGTTTCGGGAATGCGCGTGAACACTCCGGCGTTTGTTATTAAATCACTCACACGGGAAGTTGTGCAGTCGCTTTCGGCAACGGATAGGTGGTGGTGGTGGGGGTGGGGGTTGGAGGGTCACGTAGGGATAGAGGGGAGTAACGTAGAGGAGAGAGCGAGCGAGCGAGAGAGAGCGCGTGCTGCGAGCCAGAGTTCCATCTCTTACCGCGCAGCCAGGGGCGTTTATCCAGGATGGGGTTCGTGTAAGGGGTGCGTGGGGTTATAGTGGCCTTGATTTGGGAGGCCCGTCTTCACCCAAAGGGGGTTGCTGAACCACGCCAGTGCTCGAGACTCGACTCGAGACTACT